AGCTTTAAACATGTTATTTATGAGACTAAAGTTACAGACCCGAGCTTTAAACATGTTATTTATGAGACTAAAGTTACAGACCCGAGCTTTAAACATGTTATTTATGAGACTAAAGTTACAGACCCCAGCTTTAAACATGTTATTTATGAGACTAAAGTTACAGACCCGAGCTTTAAACATGTTATTAATGAGACTGAAGTTACAGACCCGAGCTTTAAACATGTTATTAATGAGACTGAAGTTACAGACCCGACCTTTAAACATGTTATTAATGAGACTAAAGTTACAGACCCGAGCTTTAAACATGTTATTTATGAGACTAAAGTTACAGACCTCAGCTTTAAAGATGTTATTTATGAGACTAAAGTTACAGACCCGAGCTGTAAACATGTTATTTATGAGACTAAAGTTACAGACCTCACCTTTAAACATGTTATTTATGAGACTAAAGTTACAGACCCCAGCTTTAAACATGTTATTAATGAGACTAAAGTTACAGACCCGAGCTTTAAACATGTTAACTAACCCAAACCCCCTTGTTAACATGTAAAATGGATTAGTCCAACTAATGGCATTGGTCCGTTTGGGCCACGTGACTCGCGTTTCTACCCCCCTGAAAAGTGGACTCGCCCGGACTTGCGTGCCGCTTCGGCAACAGAGCAGAGTGTGTGATGAGCGCGGCGGTTTATTCACTGATCCGCGGGTCAAAACAACCGTGACATTATTCAAATATACCATCATTCTAAAGCTTATAATCTTAGATGTATGTGTGTGGTGTTGGTTTTCCAAAATCCCGGTTACTTACCGTGTAATTTGCTATTAAGTTCGTCGGATTATATCTCCGTAACCGCAACAGCTGGAGAGATGCCGCTTTCACCGTAATGCGCAGTAATAAGTGATCTGTTTACCCGGTAAATATCACGTCGCCGCGACGTCATTAACCCGCGCGGAATGCCGAGGATATCCCGACTCATTTTTTTTCAGAGCCCAGACTATCTGTGGCCCACTCTGCCTCATATTTGTCAACTTTATTAATTCATATCTCAGGAAATAAACGGAATATCAGAACAATACACACATTTATGGATTCTATGAATAAAAATATGTATATTGATAGTGGTGGTAGCTATATATTCTGATTATTTAGCTGCTCAGAATCATATGAACTAAAGTGAGTAAGACGGCGACCTCTTTTCACCACAGCGTTTCCACTGCATTGCTAGTATAAGACCATGGACCATCTTTGTCCATTCTAACTTAAAGTAGCTGACAACTAGAATGTTGTTAATATGCTGCTCATCACACTTAAAGTAGAACTCATAAATGCTGCTATCCAGAATATATAACTACAATATGTGTTTATAATATTCGGGTGTTCATTTTGATATAGTTCAGATGAATTATGTTAAAAAAACAGCTTTGAAGTCGGACCTTTTAACAAACGCTAGGGGGAGCCAAAATGGCGGCGATGACGTAGGAGAAGGGTATCTCACAGCAGCAGCAGCAGTCCTAGCTGGAATCCTGTAGGAGGTTTCACTGTCAATCTGAACAAGGTATAAACATATTGTCATACCGTTTTGTACATAATAGGTGAGCAACTCTTTTAACCTTTTAGCCTTATTTGTGAGATTCAAGCAAATTAGTGTTGGGCAAGTTAGCTAACATCTACTTGATATCATAAAACATGCTAACAAGGCTAATATTTGTTTTTTACATTATGCCAGGCTCATCTTTGGGTTGCCTTAGATTTATTTACCACAATGTACATTGTAATATCCATAAATGCTAATCAAAATAACTTGATATTAAATAAATGATTTTACTTTTATTGAACAAAAAGCTGCAGAAGTTGAAAACATAGACTACATGTGATGCAATCATTGATAAAAATGCTAATTAAACCGTTAATAGGTGTTAGGCATTTAATGGATATTACAATGTACATTGTGGTAAATAAATCTAAGGCAACCAAGTGAGACTGGCATAATGTAAAAACGAATATTAGCCTTGTTTAGCATGTTTTATGATATCAAGTAGAGTTAGCTAACTTGCCCAACACTAATTAGCTTGAATCTCACAAATAAGGCTAAAAGGTTAAAAGAGTTGTGCACCACTATTATGTACAAAACGGATGAAAATATGTTTATACCTTGTTCAGATGACAGTGAAACCTCCTACAGATTCATTCCCAGACTGCTCTGCTGCTGTGAGAGGTCCTTCTCCCTACTCATCGCGCGCCATTTTGGCGCCCCCTAGCGTTTCTATGCGGAAGTGAAAAGGTGCCACTACAAAGCAAGTTTTTTTAATATAATTCATCTGAACATGTCAAAATGAACACCCGAAATATTATAAACACATATTGTAGTTATATTATTCTGGATAAGCAGCATATTTAAATTCTAGTACTACTTTAATCTGTCCCTCTCACAGAGAGCGACATCTTCTTGCATTACAAGAAGATGTTGCTGATGCTTGACCCAGATGAGATATTAATATTCATTCATTCATTCATTTCTAAAGAGATGCGCTGCAGTGGGTCTAGATACTAGGGAAAAAACACGTATATATATATAATTTTTTTTTTGGTTTCTATTTTGACAAAATAATACAATAAAAATCAATATAAACTCTGCGTGTCACTAAATGGCCTTCTGTTGCGTCCAACTAGACTTGCTGGCCGGCTCAGATCTGTGCGTATCTCACACGTTCATAACTCCCGCGTTGAGTCTGGCGTAAATGGAATATACACCAAAAATAGTTTCATAAATGAGGGCCATCGTGCCTTGGCTTAGCACACAACAGTTTGGCACTTTACAGCCGCAGCTGCCCCACTATGGCACCTGGTATTCCTAGGTGTCTCCCCTCACAATTCTAACTATATAAAACCAGTGCATTATTATTATTATTATTAACAATAATTCAAAAATCGTTTTATAATTTGATTTTGATGAAAGAGAACAACCACAATTGGCTTGCGGATCGGGTCTCGCTTCTGTCTTCTCTGTTTCAGGAGTTAACGGTTCTCCAAAACATTGTTTCAAGCTCTTTGTGTGACCTTCTGAGGAAAGCCATAATATATAAATATACTAGACAATCACTACAAACCACCCAAATACATACCCCCACCCCCCTCACTAATCTCCACAAACTAACTGTCATCATTAAAGGCCTAAATCGTCATCATAAAGGGCCCTAATCTGTCATCATTTAAGAGGGCCCTAATCTGTCAATCATTAACAGGGACCTAATCTGTCACATCATATATAGGGCCCTGATCCTGACACAGTAATAAAACTGTTCTTTTCCATACTTCTTTAACCCTATATGCCCCGCGTGCATCGGCACGATGCAACCGCATACATTTTTACAAATGATCATACTCGCGAACCGTAAAAGTAGCAACTTTTTTGTCATCTGTGAAGTACGTATTACAGGGCCTTGTCCGTAACATTTTGATTTGTCTGTGCGATTCACGAGGATAAACTACGTTTGTCTGAAAGTCCGTGTCCAAAGCGTGACCCGTGAGGTACAAACAGCTGTGAGATACCAACACACACGGGGATCTAGCCCAATGATCGTCAGAGAGTGTGATGTCCTCACTCCTCTGCGTTTTCCTTGTCTCCCAACAGTTGAAACTTACAGGCTGCGATTGCAATAACCGGCGAAGAGTGCGCATATATTGATAAAGACAATAATAAATACAGTAAAATGACATTATGTGTATATGATGTAAATAAATATATGTAATAATAATAAATAATTGATGTTTTTTTTTTTTTTTTGGCTCAGTTTCTTAGTTTTAACGTTGTTTACAGCTGTACTACAGAACAACCCCAGCATTATAGACAAGACTGAAACTGCTTCAGGAAGGGCATTAGCAGGAGTACAGAGTTTTTGCCTTGTATAGTGGAATTTTTGTAAAAAGTATAATAGTTTAGAGGATTCAATTTTTTTTCCCCAGTATCCCAAGACTATAAAATAACATTTCTATGCAAGTAAAAAGTTGTTTATAGCATTTCATATGTGTTTTTTCAATACATTTTTGTTAAATTGATTTTCGTTTGATTTTTTTTCTTGTCCTCATGATTCCACAATTTTTTAATAATTCATATGAACAGCTTTACAATATGAATAGTTCTAAAACCCCAGGTTGTACTGAAAAAAAACAAGTATACTGCGTGACTCTGCATCAAAGATGACTGTTTTTAGAACAATTATACACAAAAAAACCAGCGAGGAAAGTTCCCCAAAATGAACAGTCATAGAGGGTGTAACGATAACAATAGTTCAGAGATATTTGAATTTCCAATGCAATGTTTGAATTATTTTTTTGCTTCGTTGTTTCCAAGTGCAATCAGTTCACTTTATGTAAAGAATAAAAATAATATTAAGATTAAAATGTATCGTTTAGCCAGTTTTTGTGTGAAATAAAATTTCTGAATAGTATAAATGTGGACCCCTTAAAAAAACCCTTGCCACCCCCTGGCCACCCTTTGTTTAAAAGTCTGGCTCCGCCACTGCATGTAAATTCTCGGGCTGTTTTCTGAATAGAAACTGTCAGTGCTGTGTGTGGGATTTTTTATGAATCTTAATGACTGTATGCTATGCTCGTCCTCGCCTGAAGCCTTTCGCTTGTATGCTATTGCACAAAGACTCATGTTCTGGGAGAATATAAGCATATGCTTGTCCCTACTCATGTGCACAGTGATTCTCTGTTTTGTTCTGCACACACTGAGGGGAACAGGCGGTTTATTCTGCTCTAGTTTGATAAAGAACAAAGCTCTCTTTCTGTGATCATCGACCTGCAGATGTAAACGCAGTACAAACACCAGGGCATTGATTTCTTTTACAAATCCTTTTCCTTTGACCCACAGTTTGTTGAAGTGGAAGGACAGATCACCTCAATAGTGGATCTGTATCCGTCCTTCCTAAGGAAGGGATACCGAAGAGAAATCTTCATAGCTGTGTTGTGTTCCATAAGCTATCTCTTGGGACTTGCAATGGTTACAAAGGTAAGTTCTTTCCAAAACATTTGGTTGGAACCAGCTTCACCAAACTCATTGTTGCTCTGACTAGATGAGGCCTCTGCCCTATTGTATGTGGTGATTTAAAGTTCACTCATGTGCTTTTCCATTTGTTAACTTTAAAAGTGTTGGGAGACAGCCAGAGTTCCCCACAACACTCTCCTTTCTTTGTTTTCCAGTCACATATAATGAATCCCCTGTGTGTGTTTCAGGGTGGCATGTACGTGTTTCAACTCTTCGACTACTATGCAGCCAGCGGTGTGTGCCTTTTGTGGGTCGCATTCTTTGAATGTATTGCTGTAGCCTGGGTTTATGGTAAGTGGAAAGGCCTCATTCAAATTCAGGTCTGTGTTGTTAGTTAAAGTAAAGATCCCACAGAAACACAAACTAAACTGTGCTAAACAGAGGTTTTTTGACCTGGTTGATGTTGGTAATAAATTAGTTTTAAATGTTTTTGTGGGCGTGTCAAGGGAAGAGAAAACAAGTTCTTTACATCAGCACACAACACGCGTCCTGTTTACACTGCTGTCTGTGGAGAAGACTCGTCATAATTCATCATATTCAACCTGCTCTGTGTGTCTTACAGGAGCAGATAATTTCTATGATGCTGTAGAGGATATGATTGGCTACAGGCCAAACCCGTGGATGAAGTGGAGTTGGACCATTATCACTCCTGTTCTCTGCATGGTGCGACACTAATGCCATTAAAAGATCCTTTTCCTTTTTTTTCACTTAAAAAGGATGAACTTGTCGTGCTCATCCCTGTCTGTCTTTCAGGGCTGCTTTATCTTTTCACTGGTCAAGTACAAGCCCCTGACGTACAATAAAATCTATTCGTATCCGGACTGGGCCATTGGTCTGGGCTGGTTTCTGGCCCTCGCCTCCATGATCTGCATCCCCCTCGTCATGGTCATCAAGATCCTGCAGTCCAACGGATCCCTGATTGAGGTGAAGCCGCGTGATGATGCATTTAATTTCATTTGACAACTTCCTGTGTGACACAATATAAGCAGTGTTCTCTCTAAAACTGCTGATTCCCTCCAAATCAAATCAAGTTGTAAATAATGTTGTTTTTATGCGGCTTTCCGGGGGTTTTCCTTCATCTAGAGGGGAGCGTCTCATTTCTTTACTCATAATCTAGTCCACAGAATGAATATCTATCTTATTCATTCTGTGGACCCACCACCTGCAGGAGGATCAGAGGGACTGGTGCTTTGAGACTTGGGAGGCAGCTCTGATTGCCACCCCCACAACCCGGAAATGAAATAACAACGGGGAAGAAAATGACATGACATAATTTAATATTTATAATTAAAATCCATCTTGAGACATTGTTCCACATTTGAAAAAATGAAATGCCGAATACATATTTAAGCTCTATGAAACCTGATCTCTGGGTTCTTCTCAGCTCTTAACCCTTAAAAGACGATGCCATCGCCGACGATGGTGGCGCACATGTTTTACAAATGGTCAATTTAATCGCGAACGGTGAACGCTAGCGACTTACTTTTTTTATCTCCGTGAAGTACACATTCCAGCCTTTCCGAAACTGCCTTCGGTTTGTCTCTGTCAGTCCCCCAAACGGATCTTCAAGCGGTGCCCCGTGAGCCAGGCACAGCCGCATGTAACGTTGTTTACACACACGGGGACTCAGACAAAGATTGTCAGAGAGTGAGATGGCTCACTCCTCTGTGCTTACTTGTTGCAGCATAGGCAGCAGCGCTCAGAGGAACCAGAGCGGTTCGCATTATTGAGAATAGACAATAATAAATACAGTAAAATGATATTATGTGTATATAATGTATTTGTATATATAAATTAGATGTTTTTTTTTTGTTTGTCTTAGTTTCTTTTGTTTTACATATTTTACCGCTGTGATACAGAAGCAACCACAGCCTCATAGACAAACTGCTTGAGGAAGGGCATCAGGAGTACAGCGTTTTTGGCTTTTATAGAGGAATTTTGTAAAAAGTATAATAGTTACGGATTCAAATGTTTTCCCCATTATCCCCAAGACCATAAATAACATTTCTATGCAGTGTAAACAGTTGTTTATAGCATTTCATTGTGTTTTTCAATACATTTTTGTGAAATAGATTTTCCGTTTTGATTTTTTCTTTGTCTTCATGACTCCAAATCTTTTATATAATTGATATGACAGCTCTAAAATATAGATATTCTAAAACCCCAGGTTGTACTGAAAAAAAACAGAGTATACTGCTTGACTCTGCATCAAAAAATGACTCTGTTATGAGCAATTATACAAAAAGAAAACCAGGCGAGGAAGGTTCCCCAAAATGACCCTAGACCTTGGTGGGTTAAAAATGCCTCTCAGAGCTACATGTGTGCAATACATGTGTGCAATACAAATGTGAATGCGATGAGAGAACCATTAGTTTTGTGCAGTTGCTAGGTCCTTTTCAGGGGCACCAGAAATGCACTTTGTTTGGCAGCGGGACTTGATAGTTTCCATGACGACTGCTAACTGTTGGTGGAATATCCCAGACAGAAAGTTTAACTTTACAGAGTGACAGAACTTTAATAACACGTGTTTGTTGCAGAGGATCAAAGCGGTGGCGGCTCCAGCCAAGTCGGGTGTGAGCTCTCGGCCCAAAGAATACGACGTGAAGTGTGCGGAGCTGACGCAGACTCTGAACGGGAACAATGGCCTCATGAAGCCCCCAACTGTTGTCGAAACAACAATGTGAGCGCTCTCTGTGAGAGGAAACTGCTTTGTTGTGCTTTGAATAGTTTACTTATATAGAAACCTGGTTTGATTTTTATGAAGGAGTTGTGTAATATTGTCGTCATCAATATAGTTTTTTTTTTACCATGTAAATATGACGTTTTGGTCTCTGTAGTTGGCACTGATTTCAGAAAAAGCATCATCCTAATATAGCTCATGATATGTATGTTTACCATTTTCCATTTTAAAATTCATTCTTTTTTAATGTTTTATTTTTTGTAGAAGATTTGCACTTCTCACCAGTCCCTTTACTAACAACATGAATGTAGTCATGGCCTGCACGGTGTTGGCAGTATTGTTGTTGCCTCTGTCTCTTCAGTCAGATCAAAATAGAACTTTCCACTTCAGTGTTCGGCATAAAACTGTGAGAGGTTCAAAAGGGAAAACATAAGATCAGGGACGTTACTCTAAAGGGACATTTTGTTTTTAAGTATTTCTTTTGCCGGTGTGAGGACTGAAGTCGGCCCCAGTGCATTTATCAAGTCTCCCTGCACTTTATGTAACTTTTCACTTTTACTACGGTGATTAATCTTGCTGGAAAGTGCAAAGCAGTTTAGTTTAGGAGGAAATATTAGTTGTAAAGATTCTAATGTTTGGTGGATATTCTCATGAAGTACATTTCGATCTAGTACGATGTGAACGTGAGTTTGAGCAACACTGGGATAAAGTTTGAAAAGTCGCCGTCTTCACTGGCCTCAGAGAAGTAGCTTCAGTTCGACTGTACTTTGTTAACCACATATGCCTTTTTGTAACTATTTTTTACTACATAAGGATAATGCAACAGAACTAAACAAATGGATTACATTTTAGTGTGCAATATTTATTTCAGCAACTGCATTTTGCTCTTTTTAGTTTCAGCTCAGTATATCATAGTTTCTCCTTTTTTGTAAATCGTTTTTTCTCAAAAGTGATTTCAAAAACAGTATGAAAGTAATGTTACATTTGTAAACACAATATTTTTACCAAAGTCTCACACTTGTCCCTGATAGGATGCAAAATGCGTCATTTTTACACACAAATAAACATATTTGCAGTCCACTTTGTTTTTGTGTTTCTTCTGCTACAAAGATGTGTAAATGTAAAGGTTAGAAATGTGTGAAGGTTAAAGAGGTGCTGTTGAGGCGACAAACCGAGACGCTGGTGATTATTATAGTAGTTTCAATCAGTTAAGTGACCGTTTTTGACAAAATGTTGACGCTAAAAAAGAAAGTCATGGATGCTGTAATATAATCTCTTCACCTGTGATGTCATCGGAAATTAGTAAAGCAGTTTAAAGGGGACATAACCTAAAAACATTCTCTGCTTTTGGCCATGTCGTAGTTTCCCCTGCGTCCCCCTCCCCTCGTAAACACAAGGCTGTTTTTTGCGCAGCTCGTGCATGTTTGAGTTATTTATGCTCATGTTTACGCCACCATTGCTCTCCCCTCAGTCCTCTAACTACCAACACCGAGCCTCTCTTCCGGGTTTTCTTTTCACAAGCAATTGTCTGTTTTGTACCTATGATGTTTAGAGGATCTGCCTGTTTTTGTGGCATAGATGTGTTCTATTATAGGGCTGCATATTTCAAGGATTTTCTGACTTCCAGCATTGATGGTAATAGGCACCATGGCATGTTATTCCTCATTTTAAACCAAGTGTTCTATAGGAGACTGCTTTAGAAAGGAAATACCCAAACAATTGATGCAATCCAAACAAACTGTTCAGAAGAATCTATCATAAAACTACAGCCATACTCCATAGATCAGAGGTGTCCAAACTGGTCCAGAAAGGGCCGCTGTTCCAGCGGGTTTTCTATCAGACCCAGCAGGAGCAGAGCAGACTCCGCCCATTTCCTCAAGTGAGTACAGTCTTAAGATTTGATGAAGTGGGTGGAGTCTGCTGTTCCTGCTGGGTCTGAGAAAACCTGCAGCCAAAAAGGCCCTTTCTGGACCAGTTTGGACACCTCTGCCACAGATGATGATGATCCTTTTGGCAAAATACCTCCATAATGTTAAAGTATATCTTGAAAATATCCACAGATGCAAGAGAAAAGCTTCAAACTAAATTTCCATTGAGTAAACTTTGTATTTACTTTGATCCCAAACTAAACGAGTTTGGCAGCCCTGTCCTGCTTTAATGGGCCCGCATAGCTCTATATGTTCCCCCATAAGTATCAAGTGCTTGTTTATAAACACACATAAAACAGAGAGGATTTATGGCGTCGAGTTGTTGCTGCCCGGACACTCGAGCCACACAGAGGTCTGACTTTCCTGAAGCGGTGCTCTTTGATTGAAGGTATCATGTCTCTTGCGTAGAAGTATCGCCATAGACACTATTGATTACAGTCCTCAAATAGAGCGATTCAGACGTCAGGGCGGGGGGGCTGACTCTGACAGCTCGGCCTAGATGCACGCTTCCATCCAGCACCGTCTCTAACGGCTGGGAGCAGGTGGGCTTCGTTTGGCTCCGCTCAAACCAGACTTATTTGGACATGGGCTGAGGTCAGACCCGAGTCCCCCACAGGAGTGAGGAATACCGCGCTTTAGATGCCGCAAGCCCAGTCCTGAGCCAAATCATAATGGAAAAAATGACTTTTCCCAGGTCTGTGGACACTGGACATCAAAGACTGTGCACTCTTTTTTTAAGATGTAGGTTTAATGGGTGGGGCTAAAATGTGGAGGTAGTAGTATTCACTGATGGGGAGAATACTTGGTTCGGCCTTTACTGCATTTGACCCATTCAACGCCACCTTAAGGCCACCCAGGGACCCGTTTCCAGATGTTGAGGCTCGGCTCTTTGGTGCATGTTTTGTGAGGGGGAGGAAACCGGAGCGCCTCGAGAAAAACCATCCAGACACAAACTTCAGAGAAAGGACCTACACAGGAATTGGACCAGCAACCTTCAGGTGGTTTAAGGCACTGTATTAAAATAAGATGAGAACTATATCAATCTATCCATCTGTCTCTCTCTCTATATGTTACATTTAAATGCATATCTGTCAGGATGAGTGATATTCAGTGGACATTCTAAAATTTCAGTATTGCAAATGATTGCAGTGTATATTATTCACAGCTGACATGTTGCGGCTCAGTTCTGACAGCAGCAGGAAGGGAAACCCTCCAGAACCTCCTCACACAGCGAGGGTGCATAAGTCTGTCACTGCAGCTACTCTCCAGAGCAGACAGTGTCCGGGCTGACAGTCATGGTATTCTGAATACTTGGGTGAATACAATCCACAATAATTTGTAGTTGAAATATAGGATTTTCGCAACTACAAAATCAAACACTTTGTTTGATGGTAACTATTGTGAAATGAAGCTGCCGATTACAACGGAATCTTAAAACAGAGCTGTAATAATTTATCATCCAATTATTTAAATAGATTAGTTAGCCGAGTTGTTGAACCCACAACCAGCTAGGTGGTCGTGGGTTCAAATCCTGGTCAGAACAGGGCCTATGAGTGGAGTTTGCATGTTCTCCCGGCATTGCCGTAGATTTTCTCCAGTTTCTCCTATACCACTAAAAATAAATGTTCATATGTTTTGCAACTACTGCTCAGTCTTGAAATCCCATCTCAATTCTGTCTAAAAATAAGTTTAAGTTTATTTGATTACCATAAGTTGATTATTAGGAAAACACTCCATTTGTTGTGATCATTACTGGCCTGATTCAAGAGTATTTTGAACACGTTTACATCCCACCAGCGAAAGCCAAGGACCACACATTCAGAATTTAAACTTTACTTCATGATGATAGTGTGGCCTCCTGCACAGACTGGTCCACTGCTGAGGTCTTCATACAGTAAGAAACACTCATATACTCATACTTTTAATCGCATATGACATTAAGGACAATTTAAAGACCATTATTTACATGTGCATTAAATTCTCATTAATTTTATAAAACCAAAACATTGGAAATAAAAACAAATAAAAATAAATTTGGAAACCTGAAATGTTTTGACTCTTTAGTAACAGATTCAGAGATGTGTAAAAGTGCTCTGTGGCGACTAAATCCAAGTCGCTCTCTGTAAGCCATGTGTGAACAGCCTGAACCCCCATGAGGACAAAATAGTGACCATGCCCAACATTCTTATAACCACAGGAACCATTAGCAGCCAGAATATGCTTAAAAACAGTGTTCAGACAGAAAAACATGAAACAAAACAACATGTAAAATATGATTAAACATTTGTGAGATGTGACAGGACAAAATTAAGATTTAACTGTGCAAAATCATTTCAACTCGGGGTGCAAATGGGGTAATGCTGTGATTAATGGAGAAAAACTTAACAAAATAGAAGGCAAAAGCATCGGTTTTCCCTTAGGAGCATTCATTGAACACTGAACCATCCGGGACAATTCACTGGAAAGGGCAAGCATTCCTGGTATTGTATTTTAAAGTCCCACAATTGTAACCACTACTCTTAATGCTATGCGTGTGACAGTAAAAGAATCTTCCCAGTGGAAACCAGGGCCACGCGCCAAGAGCCAAAATAACATGGGAGAGCCAAAATAACATGCTCGAACACACAAAACGTGTTCGAGCAGCAAAAGTGGAAATGTGATAAGGAGTGAAAGAAATAACGTGAACGTAGTGGTTGAACGGTTTGGGGAGTTGTGTACGCGCAGACATCTCGACTCAGTCCCAACTACTCCCTAGTTATATAACCTTATTCATGCGGCTTTGCCTTTGAAACTCAGGGGTGGGGGGTGGGGGGGCTTGCCTAGAGCTGCTGTTGGTCTAAAACAGGCGCACAGTGGACGCACACGCACATAGACACACAAACTGCGGTTCCTTCTGTATAAGGGACAGATATAGATTTGGCCGAATGGATCAAAAGAGGGGTGAGGTGATGACAAGGCGAGTTTATGCACAAAAAACCCATCATAGACGCGTTTCAAGTGGAATGACCCCTTAATTAAATCGTCAAATCAAAGTTTCACACCAACATAGCCTCAGCGTGTGAAGAAAAGTTGTCAAACGTGTGGAAAACTCACACGGGAAGTGGAGCAGAGATTTAGAGCTGATGTCACAACAGGGAAATTGTGCATCATTTCTACAAATAAGTTATGATCGTACGTTCAGCAATCTTTATGAGTCACTGACAAGCATAAGAATGTATTTAAGTTTGTTAAATGATCATTCCTGAATATATTCTAAGTTTTATTCCCAGTATTTTACAGTCCCTTTGTGAAGTACTTATAATTTACAACCGGCTCGTAAAGTGATGGCTGGCAAACAGCACTGTATGTATGTGAGAAATATGATGTGTCTAACTGGTTTTTATCTGCATACAACACTGAGCCTCGTCTGCAGCAGAAGTGAAATCTATTTTTTTCATAGGGAAAGAGGATTGTGAGTAGAATTCTTGTGAATGAAGTGGAGTTTTCTACTGCTTTACCTTAAAATATTGCATAATGAAAGAGGCTAAATGAGGCTGTATTGTGTAGAAAGGGCCAATACTGACACGGTTTAATACTTAAGTGATCAGCTCTAAGGTAGATTTCATTGATATGGGGAAAGAAAAATGATAAAAGGTAATTTCTTGTCTATAAAAAGCCGAAAGTCAAAAGTATGCATGTTTAAAAAATAAATAAAATGTTTAAAATGTATAACTTTTCAGAGAGCGATGCTTTTGGTCCTAGGCTCTGAAACGTGGATTAATGACTTTGTGAAGTTGTAGTCAGACAGCCCATTGTGCCCCGCAGACAGAGGAGTCCTGCTGATGACCAGGTCCAGGCTCTCCCCCGCCTCCATGATGAGAGGGACCGTCAGGCAGCAGTCCAGGTCCCGGGTCCGGACTCGGTTCACCTGGAGGACAGAGACAATAATCCATTGTAATACTGTGTTCTGTATCAACATTGAGCATTTATCAACATTTATGGAACAATACCGCTGTGTTTTCTGATTTATTTCTTGTGTTTGATTCTCTGATCTGTCTGGAAAAGTCAACGGTTTTGAAAAGTCCCTGAGATAACTACTGTGGTGATTTAGGGCTGTAAAAGAAGAAATTGAATTGAAAATTGAATCGTATATGCAAACGTATGAGTTTGGGTCTTTCTCTTGTCCAAGTGTGTGCGTGTGTTTTACTGCACATGCTGTACAGTTTTATATAATAGTTTAATAATAAAACACAAACTGAGCTGCACAAAACATCAGGACATATATCTTTATTTAACCCTCAGAGTCCCACTGAGATTTAAGGGGATTCCTGGAGAGGGGAGCTACTGTGAATGTTTTTAGTTGGAGAAACTGGAGCACCCAGAGGAAACCTACAGACATGGGGAGAACTCGTCTGCCGAGCTTTAATTGCCAAATCACAGAGCTACATTTTATTGTTCATTGATCGTTCTTGTGAGTCTGTCTCGAGTCCTTCAGTCTACAATTAGACAACGCCATCTTGAATTTGAATGTACAGTGCCTTGCGAAAGTATTCGGCCCCCTGGAACCTTTCAACATTTTGCCACATTTCAGGCTTCAAACAAAGATAAAATTTTAATTTTTTGTCATGAATCAACAAGTGGGACACAATTGTGAAGTGGAACGAAATTTATTGCATAGTTTAAACTTTAACAAATAAAAAACTGAAAAGTGGGGCGTGCAATATTATTCGGCCCCTTTACTTTCAGTGCAGCAAACTCAGTCCAGAAGTTCAGTGAGGACCTTTGAATGATCCAATGTTGTCCTAAATGACTGATAAATAGAATGCACCTGTGTGTAATCAAGTCTCCGTATAAATGCACCTGCTCTTTGATAGTCTCAGGGTTCTGTTTAAAGCGCAGAGAGAACCATGAAGACAAATGAACACACCAGGCAGGTCCGAGATACTGTTGTGGAGAAGTTTAAAGCAGGATTTGGATACAAAAAGATTTCCCAAGCTTTAAACATCTCAAGGAGCACTGTGCAAGCAATTATATTGAAATGGAAGGAGTATCAGACCACTGCAAATCTACCAAGACCCGGCTGTCCCTCCAAACTTTCATCTCAAACAAGGAGAAGACTGATCGGAGATGCAGCCAAGAGGCCCATGATCGCTCTGGATGAACTGCAGATAACTACAGCTGAGGTGGGAGATTCTGTCCATAGGACAACAATCAGTCGTGCACTGCACAAATCTGGCCTTTATGGAAGAGTGGCCATTTCTCAAAGATATTGTATCTTCTCATCAGCAGAAGATGGGGTTTCCCGCACAAACCAGTATAGTTGTTGGAGAAGGAATGCACTCTGAGTTATGTATTAAAGAAAGAGTTTAATGACATAATCAGAATACATCAAATCCAATTCAGGCTTAGCTTTCAGCCCGGGTCAGCTCCGAGATGGCATGACTGACCAAGAACACAGAGAGGACTAGCATCTTATAGAATGTTGAAGAAGTCATTAGACAGTCACAAGATTCAGAAAAAGCAAACCATACATTAAGGACAGCCATATGCATTGTCCTAACATTAGTGCTGCTCACATGTCTGCCTCATGACTGGTCAGCTGCTTCTACCATTTTGGCCCAAATGTTCAACACATTTTAAAGATACATGCGGTATATGTAGAATTTATAATAGCAGACACTACAATATCCATAAAAAGTCTCATTTAAAGTTTGCCACAAGCCACCTGGGAGACACACCAAACATGTGGAAGAAGGTGCTCTGGTCAGATGAAACCAAAATCAAACTTTTTGGCCACAATGCAAAACGATATGTTTGGCGTAAAAGCAACACAGCTCATCACCCTGAACACACCATCCCCACCTCAGCTGTAGTTATCTGCAGTTCATCCAGAGTGATCATGGGCCTCTTGGCTGCATCTCTGATCAGTCTTGTTTGAGTTGAAAGTTTGGAGGGACGGCCGGGTCTTGGTAGATTTGCAGTGGTCTGATACTCCTTCCATTTCAATATAATTGCTTGCACAGTGCTCCTTGAGATGTTTAAAGCTTGGGAAATCTTTTTGTATCCAAATCCGGCTTTAAACTTCTCCACAACAGTATCTTGGACCTGCCTGGCGTGTTCCTTTGTCTTCATGGTTCTCTCTGCGCTTTAAACAGAACCCTGAGACTATCAAAGAGCAGGTGCATTTATACGGAGACTTGATTACACACAGGTGCATTCTATTTATCATCAGTCATTTAGGACAACATTGGATCATTCAAAGATCCTCACTGAACTTCTGGAGTGAGTTTGCTGCACTGAAAGTAAAGAGGCCGAATAATATTGCACGCCGCACTTTTCAGTTTTTTATTTGTTAAAAAAGTTTAAATTATCCAACAAATTTCATTCCACTTCACGATTGTGTCCCACTTGTTGATTCATGACAAAAAATTAAAATTTTATATCTTTGTTTGAAGCCTGAAATGTGGCGAAATGTTGAAAGGTTCAAGGGGGCCGAATACTTTCACAAGGCACTGTAAATATATCTGGATGTAATTTTCCACTCGATAGAAGTGTGGCACTATTCTAGTCTCTTACATCTTATTTAATAATTTATAGTTCTTTTAAATGTATAATGTACATGTACTTCAGTGTCTACACATAAGGGGGGGCCATATGGGAAAGCCTGGGGATGGTACCTGGAGGATGCGGTCGAAGGGCTGCAGTCCTCCCTGATCGGCCGGACCCTCAGGACGGATCAGGTTTACAAAGACCCCCTTCTCCAAAAGACCATCAGAAACACTGAAGCCGAAGTCGTGGCTCTCTGCGTCTTTCCTGAGGGTCACCTGAGACAGAAACGCCTCCTTAGAGCACTATACACACACCACTTAAAGCTGAGGTACCCAAGTTCCCAACCCCATAACGCTACATGTTTGTCCCAAAGCCTTGTGGTCTGATATGTTCATAACATGTTTTCATCATCTGATTAGAAAACATGTCATATTATTACACATATAAAAGAGCCCTTATTAATTGATGCTTTGGGCTAAGAGCTGATTGGCCGAGTGAGGGTGGTCCTGTGGCTCTCATTTTACTTTTCCGTCTGAAAAAGTTCTAGAAGATGTGAGAGGCCAAAAATACATCTGAAAACTAGGGACGGAAAGAAACTGCATTGAGAACGAGGAACCAGTTTCCGAGATGTATTATATCGTTCAATTTGTGGTGTGAAATGTAATTCCAGTTAGACTTGTCTGGCGAAGTGTACTTTGCATTGCTATTTGTATTTGTATTTGTATTTGTATTATTTGGATTTGTGTGTTCCTCCACTTTTTACTTTGAAATGTGGGTACCCCAGCTTTGAATAGAAGCAAAACTGGGATGGCTTTAACATTGATTTGTCTTTATCCATCATCATACATTATCAAACATATGTATTTATGTACATGTATGACAGCGTTCATTTCAGTCATTAAGATGAAAGTGAAAATAAAGATAGTGTCAAAGTGTGTTTAGTGTAATGTAAGAATTAAAACCTATTTCTTTGGTTAAATTCAAAGGAGCCAAGGTCAGTGAAAAAGACGTTTTTTTCTGAATTCAGATGCAGCCCCATGATTTCCCATGTGTCTCATTACAACTTCCAGAAACCTGCTGTTTGGCTCAAATGCATCAAACTGAGACCATCTGATCGTGTGTGCGACTGTGCAAAGTTACACAAACATATTGAGCTCCTACTGTTTTAGCATGTCACATTATTTATCGTGAGAGCATACGACAGATGGAAAAGGAAATGGCACATGTGGGACTTCACTGAAAACCCTTAGCATAACTGCCTCATCTTGAACTACTGTCAGAATGTGCAATAAAAATCATGTGCGTCACTGTTGCTTCACTGAGTCACTTTGTCCCAGATAATCATGCTGCTAACATGTACAGATGTATACACAACTATATATTTCAGCATATACACATTTATACTGGTTCCTTATTACATTGAAGTCAGGGTTTTTACTTAATTCTTGCCAATGGCACCGTGAAGATGGCGCCATGGCAAGAGCTCTGGTGTGTGTGGTCTTCTATGTCTGGTGCACACTGGGGTAGTCTCGCAGTTTTTGCCATTTGCAGTAAAACTACATTGGAAAAACTGTGCATCATCTTCATCATGCTAAAGTTTATTATTAGGAACAATGCACATTAATCAACACTGATGGCTTAAGCGTCAGTGTAAATGCGGCGGACTTAGCACAACTGAACATTTCAGCCGTAGTCCCAAGGCAGGTCCCAAGGAAACAGACACAAACGAATTTAAAACCACACACATGAGATCACACATGAATGAATACAAAACAGAGAACATAAGAAGGTGAAGCAGACACAGACAGACAAGATAGAACAGAAAACGAGAATAAAAGGGGACAAACAGTATTTAAACTATGGGTCCATCTCATTTTTTTAACCAATGTTTGGAGATGTCCTTACTATGCTAAAGAGAGATTTTATACGGGTTCTTTTTATGCTAGAGTTAGAGATTTTATTTTAGTATAGAAATTTAATAATTTATCTTGCGTTGTGTGCTCATTCCTACTACTGACATTTCCCCACTGTGGGACGAATAAAGGATCTCTTGATGTTACCTTGTGGAGTTTGAGGCCGGTAGAAGCCAGACCGTCAGATTTCTCTTCGGTGCAGATTCTGCTGGGGCCGTTCGACACGTTCATTTTGTTCAGTTTGTTGTTCTTGGACTCCAGCTCTTCCACCGATTTACAAAGAGACTTTTCCGATTGAAACATGGAGTCCTCAAGCGTTTTACTTTCATCCAGATACAAACTGAAAGCACTGCCTGTCATTGAGGCCTGTGCAGAAAGGGAAAGAAATCAAAAGTAATGTATGGGTGTTACAACACTGCTCCATCATCAAAAACAAAATTCAGACCTTATATCAAGCTAATATCAGGAACATTCATGTAACTAGTATGGTAGTATGTATATGTGTATAAATACCACCAAGTTAGAGGTAAGTATTTCCCCTTAATTCGTTTAGTTTTGGAAATTTGGATCGTGTTTGACATTTGCAGTGAGCACAGCATTCATTTCAAATTATGTTTGTGTTGACCTAAATCACTACAGAATAAGATCAATAGTATCTCAGAGGACTTTATAAAAAAAACAGTCCGTTCGCCAACACTTATGAGAGAATGAAACTGTTCAAACACAACAAAAGCCATTGGTCCATAAGGGACAGACACCTCTGCGTGCCCCGTAGGCTACAGCGTCACCTCTGCGTGCCCCGTAGGCTACAGCGTCACCTCTGCGTGCCCCGTAGGCTACAGCGTCACCTCTGCGTGCCCCGTAGGCTACAGCGTCACCTCTGCGTGCCCCGTAGGCTACAGCGTCACCTCTGCGTGCCCCGTAGGCTACAGCGTCACCTCTGCGTGCCCCGTAGGCTACAGCGTCACCTCTGCGTGCCCCGTAGGCTACAGCGTCACCTCTGCGTGCCCCGTAGGCTACAGCGTCACCTCTGCGTGCCCCGTAGGCTACAGCGTCACCTCTGCGTGTCCCGTAGGCTACAGCGTCACCTCTGCGTGTCCCGTAGGCTACAGCGTCACCTCTGCGTGTCCCGTAGGCTACAGCGTCACCTCTGCGTGTCCCGTAGGCTACAGCGTCACCTCTGCGTGTCCCGTAGGCTACAGCGTCACCTCTGCGTGTCCCGTAGGCTACAGCGTCACCTCTGCGTGTCCCGTAGGCTACAGCGTCACCTCTGCGTGTCCCGTAGGCTACAGCGTCACCTCTGCGTGTCCCGTAGGCTACAGCGTCACCTCTGCGTGTCCCGTAGGCTACAGCGTCACCTCTGCGTGTCCCGTAGGCTACAGCGTCACCTCTGCGTGTCCCGTAGGCTACAGCGTCACCTCTGCGTGTCCCGTAGGCTACAGCGTCACCTCTGCGTGTCCCGTAGGCTACAGCGTAGGGCTGGGCGATATGGCTGAAAACTATATCACGATATAAGTCATTCATATCGGTCGATAACGATATATATTGAGTTTTTTTTTTTTTAACCTAAATAAATATATTTGTCGTGTGGGCTAACCAACCTTAGCAGCCTTGTTTACAGTCACGGGGCGATGAGGCTGGGGGAATATGTTCACACTGTGTCCCCCGTTGTTAGTCCTGGTTTAGCTCCTGGTTTAGCTCCTGGTTTAGCTGTTTGAGGGTCTTGTGTCCCCGTGACCGCTCCGTGCGGCTCTCTGTGCCGCACATGCTTCCCGAGGAAAAAGTTAATCTCTTGCTTTCGCCGAATACATAGGGTCTGTCCACTGCCTCTGCCGCCGCACATGTTATTCCGCGCACGTACGTGCATAACCATTGACACGGCATTGAAACACGAGCTATAGATCCATGGACGCTACGCATGCTGCGGTTGTTGGTGTTTTTGCATTTCCCAGAAAGTTTTGCGGTTCCTGCTCGGCTGTTATTGGTCGAGAAGCCTCTGCCTACATCCCCCACAATGCCATGCGCTTATGAGTCGGCTTTACTTCCGGTGTTTTCTTCCTGTTTTTCCTGACGGAGTTAAGTTAAACTATCGAACATTCTATCGACCCCATTCTCTATTGATATCGAACACATGTCTATCGCGATATATATCGTTATCGTTTTATCGCCCAGCCCTACTACAGCGTCACCTCTGCGTGTCCCGTAGGCTACAGCGTCACCTCTGCGTGTCCCGTAGCCTACAGCGTCACCTCTGCGTGCCCCGTAGCCTACAGCGTCACCTCTGCGTGCCCCGTAGCCTACAGCGTCACCTCTGCGTGCCCCGTAGCCTACAGCGTCACCTCTGCGTGCCCCGTAGGCTACAGCGTCACCTCTGCGTGCCCCGTAGGCTACAGCGTCACCTCTGCGTGTCCCGTAGCCTACAGCGTCACCTCTGCGTGTCCCGTAGCCTACAGCGTCACCTCTGCGTGTCCCGTAGCCTACAGCGTCACCTCTGCGTGTCCCGTAGCCTACAGCGTCACCTCTGCGTGTCCCGTAGCCTACAGCGTCACCTCTGCGTGTCCCGTAGCCTACAGCGTCACCTCTGCGTGTCCCGTAGCCTACAGCGTCACCTCTGCGTGTCCCGTAGCCTACAGCGTCACCTCTGCGTGTCCCGTAGGCTACAGCGTCACCTCTGCGTGCCCCGTAGGCTACAGCGTCACCTCTGCGTGCCCCGTAGGCTACAGCGTCACCTCTGCGTGCCCCGTAGGCTACAGCGTCACCTCTGCGTGCCCCGTAGGCTACAGCGTCACCTCTGCGTGCCCCGTAGGCTACAGCGTCACCTCTGCGTGCCCCGTAGGCTACAGCGTCACCTCTGCGTGCCCCGTAGGCTACAGCGTCACCTCTGCGTGCCCCGTAGGCTACAGCGTCACCTCTGCGTGCCCCGTAGGCTACAGCGTCACCTCTGCGTGCCCCGTAGGCTACAGCGTCACCTCTGCGTGCCCCGTAGGCTACAGCGTCACCTCTGCGTGCCCCGTAGGCTACAGCGTCACCTCTGCGTGCCCCGTAGGCTACAGCGTCACCTCTGCGTGCCCCGTAGGCTACAGCGTCACCTCTGCGTGCCCCGTAGGCTACAGCGTCACCTCTGCGTGCCCCGTAGGCTACAGCGTCACCTCTGCGTGCCCCGTAGGCTACAGCGTCACCTCTGCGTGCCCCGTAGGCTACAGCGTCACCTCTGCGTGCCCCGTAGGCTACAGCGTCACCTCTGCGTGCCCCGTAGGCTACAGCGTCACCTCTGCGTGCCCCGTAGGCTACAGCGTCACCTCTGCGTGCCCCGTAGGCTACAGCGTCACCTCTGCGTGCCCCGTAGGCTACAGCGTCACCTCTGCGTGCCCCGTAGGCTACAGCGTCACCTCTGCGTGCCCCGTAGGCTACAGCGTCACCTCTGCGTGCCCCGTAGGCTACAGCGTCACCTCTGCGTGCCCCGTAGGCTACAGCGTCACCTCTGCGTGTCCCGTAGGCTACAGCGTCACCTCTGCGTGCCCCGTAGGCTACAGCGTCACCTCTGCGTGCCCCGTAGGCTACAGCGTCACCTCTGCGTGCCCCGTAGGCTACAGCGTCACCTCTGCGTGTCCCGTAGGCTACAGCGTCACCTCTGCGTGTCCCGTAGGCTACAGCGTCACCTCTGCGTGTCCCGTAGGCTACAGCGTCACCTCTGCGTGTCCCGTAGGCTACAGCGTCACCTCTGCATGTCCCGTAGGCTACAGCGTCACCTCTGCATGTCCTGTAGGCTACAGTGTCACCTCTGCGTGCCCCGTAGGCTACAGTGTCACCTCTGCATGTCCTGTAAAGTTTTTGCTCGCCCCAAGCCTGTAATAACGGAACAGTGGCTGCCATCAGATAAAACGCATCACATGAAATGGCCACGTGCTTCCAGACGGTGAAAAGCCTGACGCATGTTTGAGGCGGTCTTTATCAGGACAGCAGATACCGGATTTAACAGATTACATGATTGAGATTATCAAAATGCTTCATCTGCGGTGACAAAGTCTAACAGTTTGCAGAGCAGCTCCAGATTTGGCACACATTTAAAGCTAGAGTTTGCAATAGATTTGGTTTTTCCCAACAGAAAGTCTTGTTGTCTTTATCCTATGACAAAACATGTTATCTTTTGAATACTGAGAGCTGATTGGTCGAGTGAGGCTGATCTAAAGATGTGACTGAGGCCAAACAAAGTGTGAAAACTAGTGATAGAACCAAACTGTTTCGAGAGAACTATAGAGACATGGATTTGATCACATAGTTCATCGTTTGTGGTAAAGTTAGCTACAACGGCAAAATTCAATGGTTGTGTAAAGTCCTTCGAGATAATATTGTTGCAATTTAGGGCTATACACGAATAAATTGAAAAGAAATATTATGAAGCATTCACAGCTGCTTATCTCTGTATATGTTGCGTGCTTACTACTTAAATATTTCTCCAGTATATGGACTCACTGGCTTCAGAACCTTTACAGGAAATTACTTTTTTTTTTAAATTTAGAATGTGTTTTTTGCATGTCTTCTGGTATGGAGCTTTTACCCTTGTGTCCGACATAAAGTATTGAATTGAATTACTGACTATTGTCCTGTATGTGCGCTGCAACACCAACATGTCCCCCACTACAGGACGATTAACTCTGGAACTCCCAGAGCAGTCAATTTGACAGCTTTAAGTTTTGGAAGTGTATTTACCCATCTCATGTGCATTCTTGGTCTTCAAACTTTGTGACTTTCTGTATCAATAAATAGTTAATAGTAATTTTATTCAAAATTATTTATCACCTTTTACTTTTGAATGTGAGGAATCCTACCATCTACAAGAGAATATCAAGTGCTAGTTACCATAGCGACACAAAGTTTACGGTCAGAAGTTAGCATTAGCCTTTTTATCTGTATTTCAGTTATGACCAGTTGTAGCCCTTAATAAACTGGAGGTTAAATCTGATGACTTATTGAATCTGGTGAAAAACTAAACCTTCTCAGGTGGAATTTCTCAGAACTTCTTTGATTAATGGGAGCAGTCAAAATGACGGCTCTGGGAATTCTAAGATAAGAGAACCGTTATTTGTCCCTCAGTGGAGAAATTTCAATGTTGCAGCGCACATACAGGACAGTAGTAAGAGCACACAGACAGCACACAAAAACACAATATAAGTAGCTGCTATTCTTAGCTAGCTGTAAATATCAATATATCGATACATCCATTTATACATATATAGTGTAAGGTTATATACATATAGGGCAGGATAATAACCAGATTAAGTGACAGAGGACATTTTGAAATTACAATATTGCAAATGATTTCAGTATTTACAGTACTATTTACAGATGAGTAGCAGTTACAGAATCCCAGTGTTTTAAGATCTAATAAGGACTTTTAACAAGAGTCAGTTACTCCTTACTTATCTTAACGGAGTCGCACCTTTTGGTATGTTAATCTTTGTGTCTGGCAGAATAAGAGACTCACCTCCAGGTCTCGGATGATCTCGGACTGGCCACAGGTCTCCAGGTCCTGCAAGGCCTGGGACCAGAAACTCGAGTCCTGGGAGACGTTGCCTTTGAAACGGGGAGGGCTGATAAATCTATGATGGAACCAACATTATGAGAGGCCGCGGGGTCTTCCTGTGGACCTCCGATCACATGGGACTGTTGTGTGTTGAGGGTTAGGATTTATCTTAAAGCTTGCATTTACTTTTACACTAAAAAAATATTCACTATTAATTACACTTCAACAAGTCACCGCAAAAAGAAAAACAAGAATTTCCATGAATACTTCTTTTTCAGTATTTCACAATGTGCGTAAATAGGAGACTTAAAATTGCAAAAAATAAAACACTGGAGGCGGTTAGTAAAGCAGATGGGAAAGTGAATACCTGAGAAAGAAAGAAAAAAAAAAGGACAGTTGGAAACTCAAACACGCACACACAAGCACACAACACAAAATTAACATGTATCCAGACTGTGCGGCAGAAAACGCCAGAGAGTGGAAAAGTAAAGCTATGGGAGGTGGATCTCAAGAATTCCAGAAGGCAAAAGCTACCACGATATATTGGAATGAAAAATATAATATAGGTATACTGTATTAGAACTGCAGCTTCTTACAACTACACCTGGGAAAAGTAGCTAATTTATTTAAAACATATTCAATTCAGTTTTATTCTATTTTTCTTTCGTGCAGGTGAAGCACTTTGGGTAGCTGGTGCAGTTGTAAATGCTCTATACAAATAACGGTGACATTGAGTTTAATGCTGGGGTACCCAACTTGTTTTGTTTAATACATTTTGACTTGTTTATTGATTTGTTTAATACCTTTTGACTTTCTGTGGTAGAAATAACATGTTAAGTTGCAGACCACATCATGCGTCTTCCTCTCATTAGAAAACAAACTTGTGAAAAAAGCAGTCTGTGTGAGGGTGGGCTGCTCTTTCATACGAGCATGTGAATACTAGTTCTTGGTTCCATCACTCGTCACATGGATTCCATTACATCAGAGGTGTCAAACAAATGTTTGTCAGGGGCCGAACAAAAAAGTAGTAACTGGCCCGGAATGATTGTCTTTGGTCCCCAGAAACAAAAAGAGCGTCATCTGTCACCCCCAGTCCCTCTCCCCAAAACCCTCAAACCAGGTCAGATATCTAAGGATAATACTGGAAGTTTAATAGCCACATCAAATCATTAACATCAGCAGCTTTTTACCATCTAAAAACATTGTCAGGATCAAAAACATAGACTTGGGAGATTCTTATCCATGAATTTGTCTCCAGTAGGTTAGACTACAGCAATGGCCTGCTCACAGGTCTGTCCAAACAGGCTTCCTGTGGCTCAGAGAATAGACTTTAAAACAGCTCTGCTTGTTACAAGTCTCTCCATGGCCTCGCAACAAAGTACTTAAGTGACATGTTAGTCCCATATGAACCAGCCCGGACTCTGAGGAGCACAGGGACTGGACTCCTGCTGGTGCCCAGAGTCAGAACTAAAAATGAGGAGGCAGCATTTATGATTCATGTAATTCAAATCTGTTAGGGGCCACTAAAAATTGTCTTGCAGGCTGGCTTTGGCCCACGAGCCTGAGGTTGACATGCCTGCATTACACAGTTCAATTGAAAACGAGATGATACATCTCATGGGGTTTATCCTCTAATAGAATGTCCATAAATAAATAAAAATAAATAGTATGTTGTTTGAAAGGTACCCCAGCTTTTATATTTACAGTATCATGCGTGAGAGTCATTCTTAATTTAGTTCGAATTGAATTCGAAATTGAATTCACTCATTGATATTTTTGAGATGCACCAGAACATTGCTTAAGAGGACATTAAAACACACGATGAGGAGTCGTACCCTGGTACTTTGTCCCAGTCGTCGTCTGTGAAGCGGGGCTTGTACAGCAGCGTGTGGTGGGACAGTCCCGCCGACCCCGAGCCCGACTGACTCCGGTGCTTTGAGTGTTGCCATTCACTGGTGTTTAGCAAGAAGTCCGAGGGTTTGTGAAGATATGAGCCTGGAAACATCAGTGACAATACAACATGCATTAGTGAGAAAGTTAAGCGATCAAACAAACAAATGCAAAAGTAAGTTGCCCAAACTGCAAACATGAAGCATAGGAGCAGTGTTGACATAGATACACGAGAACTTTACATTTGTTTTTAGATTAGATTACATTATTTCAAAACTACACAATTTGTTTTTATACAACATACAAATTACAAGTACCCATTTTAGAACCAATCACTTGTTATTTTATATTATGTAAAAATATGTATTGTGCAGGTGAATAAACACATTTTGAATCAATGTAACAGATTTAACCTTTTATTTCCATATTTATTCATGAAATTGATGAGGGCAGTGCATCTGTAAACATCTGTAAACATCTGTTGTCAAAGACAATCTGAAATATTCTTGTTACGTTTGTACGCCACCTGCACCATTAGTTTTTAACTCTACTCTTGCCGATATAGTCAGCAGACTCTAAAAAAAGACACATTATTGTGTGTTTGTGGACGGAACAGGTCCACAAACAGCTCCAGCCTCAGGACGCACTCAGACACGACGGCTGCATCGACTGTGGCATTCTTATCTGTAGATAAAAAGGCCACAGAGGCCTTTTAGGTAGAAACATTCAAGATTTCAGCTTTGCAACAACCCAAACAAACATGGAGGATCCTGGAGTTTTCTGATTGGTCATTGTGTTCAATATTTGTCAGTAAAGCCCTCAAAACTACACCATCTTCTGTTCATGCTACTTTTAACTGGTTTTTAACCGTTTTTAGAATGTGCTTTTTTGCTTGTAATGTAGGGCAACCTTGGGTGTCAAGAAAGACATCTACAAAATAAATATCATTAAACCCATCTTAACCTGGTTATGTTGTGAGTTGTGTGTCAGTGTGTTCACCCGGGATGTGTGTCTTTGTGTAACCTGGGTTGCTGTAGCCGGTGTCGAAGCCGGAGCCGTCCCAGGAGCTCATGGCGGAGTCCACACTGGGCACCGTGGCAGAGTAGCCTTCAGACAGTTTGCTGGTTTTCTGCGACCCCGTCAGCTCGTCATCCAGGTCACACAGGTATCCAGTCTCTCTGTACAGCAGCGGCCTGGAATCTGGACCTGAACCAGAAAATTCACAGTTTAACGTCAGCGGACGACCAAACGTGGAAGAGGACGAGTATATTACAGGTTTGTACACTTTAAGCGCCAAAGAAGCAGAGAACATGAGCTGCTGACACTTTCTATACACAATTTTGCTTTCCATTAACGTTTTCCTACATACTATGAATGGAGTACGCTCTGCTGGATCCAATATGTGTACCTACATTTCTTGTATTTATTTCTGTTCCTGATTTTAGCAGTGCTCTAGCTCTGGCAAAGTTCCAAGGCTTCATGTATTAACTCATGTCAATTTACAACCAAAACCAATTTTAGTGACAACTTTTTTATCCATAAATGTTAAGATATTGTGAACCAAATCAGATCGCAACCTGTTTTTGTCATCAATGTAAAAATTGTTTTCATCTTTTACAAACTTGCCCACTGAGTCACTGTTTGATGCGAGCTGATTGGCCGAGTGAAGGTTGTCATCACTTTTTAACTTTTTCCATCTGCTTAACTCTGATGTAAAGAAGTGAAAAACCAAAATACATGCATGCGAAATAAAAAAGCCGACCTCCCAAGAGGCGGTGGTATTAGGGGTTCATATCAAATTAATTTCTCAAGCCTAAAACTGACATTTACAGTTAGACCACCAGCTGTAATTCCGGCAAATCCAGGCTGGCGCGGCATAGAGTGCTCTGTCGCTTTCCCCTGCCTGCCTTTGTCACAGTGTGGACCTCACATCACTCACGCTCTGATTGCTTCTTGATCTTGAGCGTGACAGACTCTCCGGCCATCTGCAGGAGGTGGATGGCTTCACTCAGCGGTTTCCCTTTGAGGCTGGTGCTGTTGATGGCCAGGACCCTGTCACCTATATGGATGGCCCCTGTCCTGAATGGATGAAAAGAAACAAGGCAGCAAAACACAGGTTACATAAGACAGACAAGGGCCCTTTTGGTGGCTTTAGTTATTGCTCAAGACCAGTGCGCTGCGAGAGTGAAGAAAGAGGAGGAAATTAGGCAACCATAGTAAATCCCCTCACTATATAGAAGATCTACATAAAATTAGCAGCCTTTAGCTTTGACTTCACCTCTCTCATAAACCCGGCTCACCTCTCTGCAAGGCCCTTTTTAGTCAAGCCCGAAATGACGATGGGGTCAAAAGGCTCCTCTGTGCCAGAAATGGTGATGCCCAGCGGACCGTTGTACCGCTTCAGCTCAACGGTGTAGATTATAGAGCCGGACATTTCCAACTCATCTAGAAAAATACACACGTATACATTTTTAGTAATGGAGTTACTAATAAGCACCTTTATGAATTTTGTATAATGACTAGGGACATAACCAGTATTTGGGATATATATGCATTTAAATAACTTCAGATTCATATTTTTAGTAATGGTACTTATGTGCACCTTTATGAATTCTGTTAGTGCTTGAAACATATCCACACTGCCAAAAGTGATGAAAAAAAAGGGGAAAAATGGCTCAAATTTGGCAAAATGTACCTTAATTTGACCACATTTTGCCTTACTTAAAAGATTTGCCAATGGAACAAACACAAATATCGTGTTTTAAAAATTATACAAGAAATGTCTCCTTTGGAATGTACTAAAGATAAAACAAAAAGACTAAAAGAGCACTTATTACCTCATTTACCTTTTTTAAGTGCAGTATTTGAGTTTTCTATATATGTCCTTAAAAACACTTGTTTGTCAAAAGTGCACGGTTCATAATTCAAAGTTTTCCACTGCTTGCGTCTGTTCTCGGAGCAGCCTGTGCCTGGCGCTCCCTCTCCCTGCCTGGAGAGAGGCCAGATCCGCTTGTTTATAGCGACGTTTGGGCTACGAGTGTGAATGTTAAGAGAAAAACACAAAGAGCTTATTTTGTTGCAGCGTTTCCTATGACGAACAGAAAGAATGACCCAAGAATAATAAACTAATAAAGTGTGCATCAGTCAAAGCCAAATCGAACAGACTATGAATGGTGAACTTCCTGCTGGATCCAATATGCATGCTTGATTCTCTAATCTGTTGTTGAGGAATCGAAATCTTTGTAAAGACTTCCGAGGCTACTGCTGTTGTGCTTTAGGGCTATACAAAATGAATTGAATAGAATATTGAATACCACTGTCCAAACATTTACACATTATTCAGACAATTAGATACTGGACCAGATACAATAAGTTGTAATCTTTGTAATATAGTACTTTACTTTTGCTCCAGGTCAAGATAGCGGCTCCTCAAAACAAAATTCTCACATACATTTAAATTTTTCACCTCTGTCACATCTTTAGACAAGCTTTTTCATAGAGAGAGGATAATAATGAGAGTGACTGATACAAGCAGTTATACTACTATCCACAGTGCACCCAGGCTCCAACAGAAGTGCAATACCAATGTTGTCCTCGTCTTTCTGTATGCGCAGTTTGACCATGTCCTCAGCCTGGTTTAACACATGCATGGCGTCTTCCATTGTGCAGTTCTCCAGACGAACAGTGTCGATGGCCAGCAGCCTGTCCCCCGGCTCCAGAGTGCCTGTTCTAGACACAAGAGACACGGATCACAACCGGAGCCAGACATCTGCTCGTTCTACATGATCAGGAGGTAAGGGGAGGTCCTTTATAAAACACCACAACGCAAAATGAACACCACAAGATGAAGACAAGTATGCACAGCTAAACAACTGTTTTTAAACTGGATTTGAACACTGTCTCACATCTTCAGGAAGACTGTCCCAGATTATAGAAGCATGAATCTGGAATGCTGCCTCCCCATGTTTAGTTGTCTCAGATGTACTTTGGTGTGAGTCCATGGAGAGACTTCTGCACAGGTTTTAAAAGTCTATTCTCTGAGCCACAAGAAGCCATGCAGAGACCCGAGGACTGGACTAATGTGATCGTAGTAAGTCGATCATAAGTCACTTTAAGGTAGGACTGGAAAAACCTGCACTGGTGTTGTGCTGGTATTATCTTGTACTTCCTGGTTCCATTTGTAAGTGTCTGTATACTTTAAACACAACCCCTGAATAATTCTATTGAGCAACAACAGACTGTCATTGGCTGAATCCCTTTAGCTCCTCTAAGTCTTTCTGGGAACTTTAGAGGTGACCATCACCTCAGCTGCGATCCAGAACTGAACCGTTGCTGCTCCACTGATCCATTTCCATAATCTAATCCAATCACGTCTGTATACAGTACACCTGCATTAGCATGATATAATCCAGTGATAAAGCAAAACATTCAGGTCATTGTTGACAAATGTAAAAGGTAAAGGGGGAATTATGCAACTTTTAATGCGGGAGAAAAATGTCTATTGTTGTATTGTTTGGACAGTGTGGTTCTGATCATAGTCAATTCTACACTGCTCCAGGATCAATATAGGTTTTTCTGGTGCGGGTCCCAGAGCAGAGAAAACAATCAAAACAATGTATTCTATTGCATTTTAGAGATCATTGTGATGGAAAGTTAGGGCAACAAACCACTCAAACAGCCACTGGGTCACAAGGTCACATAAAACGTTACATAATGCACCTTTAATACTCGACAATTATAAACTAGGAGTTGAGAGAGTGCTCAAAATGATCAGTAGTTTTACACATTCTCCTGTGAACTTTTGCATTTTATTGTTGTGTGTCATTCACATTTATTTCAAGCACTGATGAGCTGGTGCAAAACATAAGCACTGTATTGTGTTTGCAGCTGTGGGCAGTGAACACAGGACAGAGTTTCTCAGATTCTGTTATAAATTACTTCATACCTGTGTGCGATGCTTCCTTTCTTTATCTCAGAGATGATGAGGGGTTTTCCAGGTTTTTTACTTGCTGAAGGAGGAAAATACATCATAAAATACATCTGGTTTGACTGTAATTAACAGTTCAAAAACAAAAAACCTGTATATTTACACAGTTTCTCAATCTAAATGCATGAATAATGGTGCCAAGTGTCGGTGTTACAGTCAACTCCCTAAAATCATTGCATTTCGTCCCACTGCAAGCTCACCCTTTTCTTATCTCCAAAACAAACCATACCCGAATTCGCTGTTCCTAACACTAACAACAATCCTAACCTTAACCCGAATTTTCAATTATACAGTATTCACCTTTAAACCTGGAAGAAATACCAAGATTTTAGTGAGTCCCGTTCTCTGGGCAAATGAGCCCCTAGTGGTTTGTGGATCACAGAACAGACCAGTGAAGCAAAGTATATTAGTGTTTAACAACAGCGCCCTCTGCAGTTTCTTTGTGTCACTTACCACTAATGGTGATGCCAAGCTCTACCCCCCTTCTCTTGGGAAGCTTCACTTGGAATGTGCCGCTGCTTGGGACCACAGATTCTGATGCAAACAAGACAAGGGCAGTTGATTTGTATAGCACAGTGCATACACAAGGCAACTCAAAGTGTAAAACAAAACAAAATCAAAATCACAATATTTTAAATTGTGACGTATACAATTTTTTCAGTTGTAAGCACATCAAATGACAGACAGCAAAAATAAGATTATCAACCTGCTATGTCAAACTCGATCTCCAGCGTGACCTTGTTGGAGAGAGCCGAGTCTCTGAGGAGCTGGTGGGCCTCCTCCAAAGTGCCGTCTTCAGTGGGAATCCCATTGATGGACAAGAGTCTGTCTCCGACCTGCAGCAGCCCACACCTGAGCACAACAATGACATTCACAGGTTCCATTAACTGATGCTTTTGACGAATACAATTACACATATATTGAAAACTTTACCACAAATCTACTCTCATATCTACAGTAATGGTAAGTATGCTTTAGCAATTGCAGATTGTTAAAGCATACTTACCAGATAAACGCAGATAAAAGCAGTAAAAATAAAAATTCCTGTTATTTTGGGATGAACACCACTTCCTAAGCCTTGTATTTCTCACCATGCGAGAATGTGTTGACATAGTTGACGTTTCGCAAGTCAGAGACCACCGTGTCAAATTCCTCATCTCAATCACTAAAGGTCACATTTGCAGAGTGTAATTTGACCTCAGGAAATCTCACTTCCAAATGCCCTCAGTCCCTGAACTCTGTGCAAACATTGCTTGCATCTCTGTCATAGTTTAACCGAGACAATTCAACCCATGTTTCATTAAAAGAATTACAGAAATGTATTTCAATAAGAATACATGTGGACTGTCTTATACAAATATTTTCCATTGTGATAACACGCCATTTCAATTTCATATGTGATTCGTTCTTTTTAAACATTTTACTGATACATAAGTCATGTTTGAACACAGTGTATCCGTTTGACCGTAGGCAAATCCTAGCCACACCTGGTGCTGTGTGTACTGGGTGCAGATCTGCCTGCCAACTCCCTGACACAGAAATTAATGGGAAGAAAATGGAGGGATGGATGTATGGGATGTGGCAGTTAGAAAGCTATTACACTTTCAAGATTATCTGTGATGTTGGCGGGGTATGCAGTCTACGAGTGCATGTTCTAGATCTAGGTGTACAAACCATTAGTAAGATGGAGACTTTGGTTCACCAGAAATGTCCCAGGGGCCGACAACATGGATTGTGAGATTTAAATATTCATAACATATAACTTCAATTGATCGTTTAAAGTTGGGTGAATGACAATTGTTCACTTTCTCATAAGACACGTCATCGCCATAGATAGAACTTTGTGACACAATCAGTGCAAATAAAGTCAACAGCTGTATTAGAAGTGTGTATGTAGTGCATCAGAAACTCAAGACTCGCTACAGAACTTTAAATCACTTCTTAAAACCCACCCGTTTCAGCTTGCCTTTACTTAATTTTTTGTATTTATGTTTTTTGTAAAGCGTCTGAGTATCCAAAAAAGCCCTATACAAGTTTGATGTATTATTATTATTATACTGTGCAATACTATTACTAAGTGCATTAGTAAAAAATTTTAAATTAAATTTTATATTAAAGAAATCCAACACATAAAACAATCTAATATTTGTCTGAGAGCCAAACACAAGCATCAGAAGATCCGCAGCGACTCCCAAGCCATAGGGTCCTGACTTCTGTTGTAACACATTAAATGCCAAAGCAAGTATTATCAAGATCATTTTTAAGAAAAGACAAATAATGAGATTCTATTCAGACTATTTTGGCGGCTTAAGCTGGATCCCAAATGCTGCGTGTGACTGGGAACAGCCTGAGACAGCAGGCTAAAATTAGATTCAATTTGCATGTGTCAGTAGTTCATTGCCAAGTCCAGTGATTAGCACTATCCCCAAGTTGAAGGTGACTCTATAATTTTTTGCTTGTTCATTGCATGTCAGCTGAGTACAATACCTTTCGGCCGGACTGTCAGGCTCAATAAACCGAACGACCGGCGGCGCGGACAGGGCCTCTGTGGCAAAGACACCTCCCTGAAGCTGGATCCCAAAACCTGTGAGCGGATCTCCCCTCAGGACCACCTCACTCGTTTCCACATGAAAGACTTGACCTCCTGGGCCCACGGAGCTGGAGGCCAGGGACACTGTGGGGGAGGCAGACAGTGGCAGATAATGTACGCAGAGGAGAAAGTGGTGAGTAAGAAGAGCTGACATGCACCCACACAAACTGAGCTAGGGAAAGCCATGACCTAAGACTGTCGGGAAAGTTTAAAATCAAGCTCCAAAAAGATGCAGCTCAAGAGAAGAGGTGAGGACAGATGGAAAGCTGCACCTTTCCAGGACAAAACCTTGCGTTGTGCTCGTTTCTGTAATGTCAGATCAGCAGTCTCCCTTGGCAGCTGTCTAAATGTAGCTATTGTTTTCTTTTCACATTGGGTACTTGAATTCTCATCTCAAATACCACATTTGTCACATCAGAGTCTTGTAAAAGAACATGTGAAGAAATCCAACCACAAAATGCTGTCTTCAATAGTTTCAAGAAAAAGCCTGGTGTGTCACTTTTTGACGCTTTGGGCTGAGAGCTGAATCAGCCACATTTCTGTCTGGCAAAGCTGAATTAAAGACAAAAAAAAATGCCTGCATGTAAAAAATTACATGCAGGCAAAAGACTATAGCAAATAAAATAACCATCTCAGGTCTATTAATTGAAGCTTTTGAAATCATACATCAAAACAAAAGTTGTGGATGTTTACCACAACATGATTCAGTTTTATTATGAACTGAAAATATTATGAATTTATTATAATGAATAACAGGTTTCTGAGAATATTATACTGCACAGATCGATGTGCTACCAGGTAATATTACTGTTATATTATTGTAGTTTAAAAGTCAATTACACCAGCTTCATGAGATCCAAAAAGTATGAACATAAACTAGGAATTTTTGCCAACTAACAAAAGAAGCGCTTGAGTTGGAAATCATTGAGTTTGTCAAATTAGCTCAGATTTACAAGAAGCTGCCACGGTCGTGCAATAAGTTGGCAATGCACTTTTGAAATGCTTTTTATTCCTGGTTTTCCTGCAATCTTTCAATAATAAAATGAAGCAGAATCTTTAGCCAACTTCTTGCATAATAGAATATAATCCCACTTTCTCATATTTGAAAAGAGTATTGCTAATTTCACATTAGTTCACATGTTTCACAGTCACTCTGTATGTCAACATGATGATGAGAAAAGCTTTGCCATTTGGTCAATTTCACAAAAAATGTAGACCCAAATAAACAATGCAAATACCTAAACTTCCCAAATACAATCTCAAAACCTCATGGAAATGGAATGTGGCAATGTGGGGTGAATTATAAGACTAGTCTCTTTTGCACATAAACCATAAACTATAAAAACCATATCTGAATAGAAGGAAGGAATTTAGCATCATATGTTTTTTTTTCTCCTGTACGTTTGTTTTGTGTTCCTGATCGAAAAAGGCAGAGGCAATGAGGGAACTGTCCCATTTCTATATAAATGGAAAGATCTATCAAATTATCTTTTAATTGAATATATTTCAGGCACTCCTGGTGTTTTTCATGCAGTTGACTCACACGAGCGTTCAATGCCGCTTGCAGCTTTAATCATAGCCCTTTTCTCTGGTGACACAGGCATGCACTCAGATCTAAAGCGCACATAGAGAGCAGACATACGTGAACTCTTGTGGTCTTTCTTGCGGGTCCTGCGGCGTCCCGTGGAGCTGCGAGGGCTGGAGGGGGCAGCAGGGGCATTGGGGCAGGGCAAAGTGCTGCTGCCCTGACTGCTGAAGCCTGAAGTGACTGTGGAGGAAGGGGAGAAGCCACCACTCACCAGGGCTGCAAACACACACACCGGCTTATAGTGATCTGCTTTTGTTACATATGGGAACTTCATGTGGAGCTGTCAAGTCCCATCTACATAGCAGCAATAAGAACATGCAAATCAGAATCAGAATCATTTTTATTGCCACGTAAGTAACAGGAGGTCACAGACTAGGAAATTGCTTTGGCTCAGTGCAACAGTCAAAAAGAGATAATAAAAATAAGAATAAAAAAACACTTCTAAAGAATAAATTTAAATTTAAAATAGAGTTACCCATATTACACTGAAAAAACATAAAAGGGTAATACATTCTTGAATCAACGGTTTTTAGTGTTTAATGCTTTTGACTGTCTTAAAGCAAGCCAATGGGACAAACAATGTAGTCTTGTTCAAGTCTTGGTCAAGTTCAGGTGAAACTTATTTCTCCATCCAAGGGAATATTTACCCTTGATATGTTTTGAAACAAGACATTACTGCTTCTCCCATTGGTAAGCCTTGTTCTTAGACAATAAACATGTGCTGAAATGATGAAAAATGCTTGATTTAGGCAAAACTTTGTCAGTGTTTGCAGTCTAGGTGTCAAACCAAAATCCCAATAGTAGTTTAAAAAGATTCAGATTCATTTATTTGCCTGAGGCCAACAACTACACCATACAGATAATGGCCGCTTCAGGCTTAAACTAGTCGGCAAAATCTTTTCATAACTTTGCTGTTTTTCAAGCTTCAAAAACTTACAAATATCAAAAAGGTAGGTCTTGTGGTCATTAGTCCAAAACATTTGTTTAACGCAAACCCAAAGAGAAAGATACTGCATCATCGACTTCCATAAACAGGACAAATAATGTGTAATCATAAATGAAAAGGTCTATAATTTGTATGTCATAACATTTAAAAAAAAAAAAACATTATTAAGCCTAATGTTGACACGAGACATTTTTATAAACCTTGTTTAAATGTCACACACATTTAAACAAGATTTAGAAAAAAAGATGGCCTCATTCTGTTCACTGATTGGATAATCATAATCCACTTTAAAGTCGTAAACATAAATATTTGAGTTTGGTTCTATTGTCCATGCTCAAGAATAACTAATTCTTAAAATTTGATTTGTTTGATGTTGACCAAATATCTGAGAACAAATAAAAGATTCATTTGAAAATGAAACTATGGCATACAGTATCATACAAATTAAACTACAATATTGACTACAGGAGTTTTTATCAAAGTTTTATATTTAGCATCTTTAATAATAGTTGGTAAATAGAGAAAACTAGAGATCAACAGTTCATGCAAATTGCTGCATGAATCTGTGCCACATTTCCCCAATGTGGCACAGATTAATGAACTCTCTTCATCTTTACATTTGTACTATAGGTGGAGGTCTATGAGACAAAAGCCAGTTTGGAGCCTTCGTCATGGGTCACGTGCAGAGAGCCAGGCCTGCGCTCTGCTGAGTAGCCGGTAGCAATGCTGTCACTTGTGATCACTTACATTTGCAGAGGTCCGGCTGGTTGTGTGGGTGACTGGGGCTGCTCCATGTCTTACTATGGCTCACATGTGGGGGATGGCAGTAGCCTTGGTCCCAGTGATGGTGATGGCTGCTCTTCTGCACTTTTACTAGAATTAAAAAAGTAGAAAGCAGAGAAAATCCAGACATATGTGTGCAGCCCATAATCACAACAGCAGTCGTCGCGAAGGACTTCAAAAGTGGTAGATTTGCCCATGATTGATCAACCAAAGTTCAGTAGGCTCCTACCTTTTTAAAATCTACAATGCATTTTATTTGTTCCAGCCGAGAGTGTCTTGTAAAAGTAACATTATGAAAAATTCAGACCACAACATAGTCTTCAACCTATTGGGGAAAAAGGCCATCTTATGCATGTGCCATCTACTCATCTACACTGCAACAAATGAGGTAATACTTGCATTGAGTGTTTCTTATCCTGCCGAGAGTACATTCTGACATTCTGAGACAAAGCCACTTAGTCTTAATTCAAGAAGTGTTGTTTAATTTCTCTCATTGCAAAAGGTGGGCAGTAGACCACATCAGAAAAGTTGTACATTGCACCTTCAAATTTTCCAGAAGATTAAAACAGGATTAAAACTTGAACTATTATTTGAACAGCGGTCATAGGATTAAATGTGAACGACACACAAGGCAATATGTACACAGTATAAGAGGCTTAAAAGACTATAGTAAGTTTTTGACGGTCAATAGAACAAGCAGCTTCAGTCTTTTGATCAGTTCAATTTTTTCTCTAAGAACTTGCTTTTCATTATGGCTCTTCCAATTGTAAGATCTTGTTTGAATAAATTAAAATTCTGGATAACTCATTAAATATTACTCATTATTATTACTTCCTATGTGATAATTACTGTTCTAAGTCATTGAGTTTTTATGATCCATTGTGAGTTCGTGTAAAATGCAAACAATCTTAACAAAGTTTGAGTCCAGTCTCTTACGTCTTTGAGCAAGTTTCCAAAACGCTGAGTGCACATTGAAAACCATTTTTAGGATGTCATTCTCAAAAGAAGCCGCAGGAGAAAGAAAAGCGTGAATAAGTTGACGGCTGGGCATCATGTGTTAGACTGGAGCAGGAAGTATCAGGAAGTAGCACAGTCCTGTTGATTGGAAGCAGCTGGAGACACTACTGCTGCTGATGTCACTGATCACTTCAAAAATATGTTTTACTTTGGGTCTAAAAAATACATTCTCAACAAGATAAAATAGACTTTATTGATCTCACAATGGAGAAAGTTACATTTGGCATAAATAGTATCACTCAGGTTGTGCAAAAGAGTTGCCCAGGTCCTTTTTGTTCATTTATTATAGTGATTATAGTGATTATTATTATTTTGTATATTCTATTCACTTCTCTTGTTTGGCACAATGGGTAAAAATAATTTAAAAAGAAAAATGTGTGTCTAAGAAATTTGCTTCGATCATGCTGAGATATGTGCAAAGACACAATAAAGTATATATATATATATAAAAGGGTTGTGCAAAAGACAGGAAATGTGCAAATATGTTAAAATGTGAAAGATCTTTTGTGCAAGATATATTATGTACGAAAAGATTAAAAGTGACTAAAGCAGTGCAGGTTTTCTTATTGTACTATAGGTCACTTTAACAACCTGGGCTAGGACTGAAAAATTTGCACTGCTAAAGTCAGGATGAAGAAACAGTGAGTCAAAATGTACCATGACGTTGTTATATGTTTACTTAAAGCTAATCAGGCTGGCAAGAGTTGTTGTTTATTATTCACTTTTCTGTCTAAAATATCTAACCAAATATTACATACATATGAATAAATAAAAGTAATAAAAATAATAAAAGAGATAGGAAGGTGTTTTGAAATGTAGGTACACCAGCTTTAGATATGACTCATTTCCCTTCTGTATTCTGGATCTATACATAGCCTGTCAGTCTGTGGGGGCGGATCCCTCTCTCTTTGTAAAAACAGCGTAAAGAGCTCTGCAACTAGAGTGAAGCTCCGAGCATCAAAGTTTGGGATTTTGCACACGATCTTTCCTCATAGAGTTGTCCTTGTAAAAAATATGTGTAATTTTTTTTATAAATCTCCATGTGGATGTTAAGCTTGCCCTAGTAGTCTATTATGTTGCAATTCCATTGGGTTCTGAAGTTTTTTTTTTTTTGACCCCCTAATTTTGGCACATTCCTCTCTTTCCCGTGGTGAACAGCCGACACAGGTTCAAACAACACGCCAACCTTTCCCGTCGTTGTCCCGAGTTGACACAGCATTTCAACACTTTCTGCAATATAAAAATGCCTTATAATATTCAAAACAATAACAAAATGATGTCTGACTCATTGAAATATTCAGATTTTACTTGAAAAATAGTGAATTGGCTGTCTGGTCGGGTGCAGAGGGGAAATCTCACAACTTTTAACAGCACACGTTGTCACTTCATAATCTTTAATAATAATACTTACATTGACTGATGTGTAGAAAGAGATTTGTCATTACATACAAGCAACACGCGACAGTAATCTGGTTTAATTTATAGTGATTAATCTTTTAAATAGCCCGGATATGAAGGGAAATTGTGAAAATCTGCATAACTGGAGTCCCGTCAGTGCGTTTACAAGCTGTATCTACAGGTCACCATAGTAATAGTAAAATGTGGGAAAGAGCAAAGATCGTATTATATTTGAAAGCTTATGTGGAGCTCACCTGAGGCAATCTGTGTGGAAATGGTGCGTTGGAACATTTTCCGCTAATCTCTATGCGGCAGTTTTCGGTGTTATTAAATCCCTGGAGGAGATTAAACAAATTGCATCGTCTAATCACGTCTTATCTAGAAATAGAAGCAGAGAGAATATAGCAGCCCAAAACTACTTCATAAACACATAACAGCAGCATTTTCCCTCAATACATGTAATAATTATAATGATAATAATAATAAAGCATTGGTTTCATACAACGCTTTGTGAACACTAAAATACATTATTCTGTCATTATTCTTTTACCGACACATGGTGGTGATAAAACTACTATTGTAGCCACAGCTGCCCTAGGGCACACTCACAGAAGTGAGACAACCAGTCTGTGCCTTTGGCCCCTCTGACAGCACCACGACTCATTCTTCTATATTTAAATCCAACATGCTGTGGTCTAATTGAAGGCATAGTTAATAGTAAATAACAGAAACAAATTCAATGAATTAAGAAGCAATACTTTTGAAAACAGTTCAGTTCATATTGACCCATTAGAAAGTCGCATTATATATCAATCTATCTGTATCTATCTATCTGTATCCTTCTATGTATCTGTATCTATCTATCTGTATCTATCTATCTATCTATCTATCCACCCGTTGATATTCTATCTCTAGACTAACAATCTAGAGTGTGACCAATGAGTTCAGAAGAAGAACGAGATGTACTGTATTTTTGAGGCTCGTTAAGGACATGAAGCCACAGCTGACCCAGAAATAATCATAATAAACATGATGTCCACTACGACGGAGGAAGTGTGTGCAGGGGCCCTGAAAAGATTACGCTGCTGAATGTGGTTGAAAAAGCCAATTATCCCGAGTGCAATAGACCGGCACAATTACTTTTACACTACACATAGTCAGATCTGTACTGCATTGTGCATACAACATCAAGAGTGACACATTTGAAAAATAAAACACATTGTTATCATTTGCTAACTTCATTAAGAAGGTTCTAAACTATAGAACCAATGGATACAATGCATGAAATTATATAAAATGAGTTGATAGTAGCTTTTACTGTCTGCAACATACTGTTTCTGTTTCATACTAGGAATCAGGATGATTTTCTCTATATCTGCTTTTATATTAGTTTAAAGCAGTACAGTTTGAGCTATTTTCCCTAAATACCTACGGTCCGTCTATACATTGTCTTACACTTTATCCGTTTCCAGGTTGCGGGGGCAGCAGTCTCAGCAGGGAGGCCCAGACTTCCTTATCCACACATTTTACCTCCAGGGAAATGTAAGATAATTGTATTTATTTATTGTCTTTTTGACTCCACCAGAGGGTTATGCATAACTGGAAATGCATAATAATTTTTTTGATGAAATTCTGTAACAGTCTTAAAGTCATGCAGCAGGAACTAATTACCGATATTGGATTATAGAGGTCACTGTCTAGAATTTTTGAACAAATGAAACTTTTCCTCTTGGCGGAGTTCTGCACTCTCCAAGTACTGTTCTAGTTGTGCATCTTTTTTGACAAAGCAGTCTTACCATTTAAGATTATCAAATACCTATCAAAAAACAAACTATTATTGCCACTACAGATTCAAATCAAATACCTGTGTCATGTGGCCGAGGTGGAAGTCTGCTCTGATTGGCTGGAAGTATCTCCAGTTTGATGACGTCACCGGAGTTGGCGAGGAGCTGCGTGGCCTCCATCAGGGAACAGTGCTCGGTACTAGTCCCATCGATGGCCAGAATAATGTCCCCAACATGCAGCGCTCCACACCTGGGTGAAATAAGTTACGTGTGAGAGGCCTTTAAGAATGAGTCTCATGGTGCGCTTAAATTCATATGAAAACCTCCTTTCTTTGTATGTTTGTTGAGACAAGATTGCTCCAGGTTTGGTCTTGGCTTGAGTCAAATGTAATGTCACCAACATCAATGAAAGGGAGAAGGCAATGTGTGTTTCCCCAATAGACCAATCAACTAAACGATAAAGGGAGAAGCACTCAATAAACTTCAACCAAATGAATAGTTTTTGCTTTTAAAAGAAAATAAATATATTCTAAATAAATACTTTCTTGTTTCTTTCTTATCATTTTCATTCATTTATATCTTTTAATTTTTTTTCTCCAGAAATATTATCCTAAATGCAACCCTTTGTGTTGGAAGAGTTCAGCCAAACACAATCTTTACATAAATAGAAAACATTTGAACTGTAGCAAACATGGAAGAGACAACAATGAGAGTCATTATATGCTTTGGACTGAGAGCTGATTGGCTGCTTCCCGGGTAATCCTCCCTTATCTTGTGTGTGTGAAAAAGCCGCTCTGTGATTGTGGATGAGGACAAACATTCATGTGTGCGAATGCTAATGATGTCCCACGTTCACTGTTGCAGAATGACTTCAGTTTCATGATAAACTTAACCTACTAATCACACAAGAAGCATCCTTGTGCAGAGTTGTGTTATTGATAATAATAATAAAGCAGCTGGACCTTTCCACCACACTGGCCGGCCGGATCTTGTCTATAATAATGACTTGTTTGCTGCGGTACAGGGCTGTGGTGAGGCTGATCCCCAGGCTCGATGAAGCGCCACGCACAATCTCCACCAGCAGGGGGCCCGAGGCCTGCTGCACTGCCTCTACACACAGACAACCACAAATAAGATCAGAGGAAGAAAGCCAAGTAATTTCATCTATTTGCAAAAGTGTTTAGACATACATCTTCATGAAATAAACTGAAATTTTCTTTCTTTATTTATATATATTTTTTTCATACATTTTCCACGAAACCTCAAAGTGCTACAGATTAGAATACAATACAACAAACAAAAATAAAAGAGACTACATCAAAAGTCAATAAAATATAAAAAATATAAAGGGGTTAAAAGCTCATAAAATCTGTAATGGTTGTTTAGGTTGTTTTGACCAAAATGTCAGTCCCACACATAACGACCAACTAGATTAAACGTTTATGGTCTATGGTCATGTATCCATCTACTTTTGTTTTACTGTTTTACAACAACCTGCTCAGGGATTGAAGGTGTAAACTAGCACTTCTGCTTCAACATAGTACAATACATGTCTTGTTTTGGCTAATGTCTATTGTACACTGTCCAGGACCATAAAGCCTAGCGTACATCGGACTGGCAACTGATTATATCCGTCGCCTCTGAGTTGCTGCCCCGCACACATCGACAATCTGGCGAAAACGGGCAACTCTGAGTCGCAGGCCAGTCTCTTGAATAACAGCGCGTACATCGACAGCAACTGGCCTCAACCACAGTGTGTTTTCTGACAACAAACTGTTGCGGGCTCGCAATACACGCAATACACACACGTTGTTGGAGCGGCGCATGGAGCGCGCACATCGGAGCAACTGAGGACAACTAGTTGCCGAAAAGTAGAACACGGGCAACTGACTGGAACTGGAGACCGACTGATCATCTCCAGTTGTAAGAGCGCGCACATCGACCGATTTCGGCAACTGATCATCTCCCACCATCTCCTCTCAGTTGCCAAAAGCCGCCTTGCAACTAGTTGTCCCCAGTTTCTCTGTCGATGTACGCTAGGCATAAATCATACTATTTAATCTGGAACAATCCTGAGGAAGTCCTGATTACAAACTGTGAGGCGGTTAATGTGTGCCAACTGTCCTTAGTGACACGTCCCATTTTGCACGATCCAGAGGTGAATATTCAGCACAAAAATTCAGCTGCAGTGGCTTCAAATAATCTGTCTTCAAATATTATTCTTTATGTTCCCTTCGGCAAACACATAATGAAAATGCACCACAGTACACAGAACTATATAGTGTTGTTATGCTGTAAATATTGGACCCGACATTAATTCATATCCTTATCATCATCAGCTCCTGCTATGTCCTAATCCAATTACATTCTCACATTTACTCTGGTCTGAAATGAAACATGGATATTTATGAGTTTCAGATTCCTTCTTCATGCAGCATTTGGAGGATCTATTTATCATTCAAAAAATACCAGAAACCCATGCACACTTTTTTTGTTTTACGTTGTTTACTATGCTAATGCTGAATTTAACCGAATTTATTTCATTGAAGGTCAGACTGACTCACTGCCATGTAACAACAAAGTGATGTGAGAGTTTGTCCTGGACTTACAGTAACAGCCCCAAACTCCCGCCTTCTTACAGTATGTGTTGAACATGTTGTGTGTAGTATGTTGTGTGTTGTAAGTTTGTTTTTCTCACCCATGACAGAAACGTCGTACTCGATCAGGAACAGAGCCTCCTGAGCGCTCTGCATCAGGACAGTCAGAGCGTCCGCATGTTTCTCCCTGTTCAGTGGCATCCCATCAATGCTCAGCAGACGGTCACCAGCTTTCAACATGCCCTCTCTGCGGAAAAGTATCATTATAAAATATATGCACAGTATTTTGGTCAAAAGAGAAACTGAATTAGTCACCAAAAGGAACAGAAAGCAGAGAAATAATTGGACCGTAACCAATCATAATGAGGAAGTATCCAGGTCAGAGGTATTAACCAGTTGGGATATAGAGAAACTATGTGCAATTGAAAGATTACACTTCCGTAGTTTGCAAAAAAAAATTTAAAGCAATGTACTAATTTTTAATTCAAATCTCCATAACAACTACTTTTTTGATGTACTGGGGACGTTCCCAGGACAGAGGGACACACTATCATTATATTATCTGAAAAATTGACAAGAAATTGTACATTTTCTCAGGGCTTTCATGTAAAATGTAAAAACACAACTGTATCTTTCACTTTACCAACATTTGCTTCACATAGAGACTGATATAGTTGTGAAACTTCTCGTGATTTGTTTGGCTGTCCTTGTATAAAAGCTGCCATATTTGTACATTTCCTTCCCTCCTTTGTATAGATATTTAAGCTGTGGAGAAACTGATGTAGTGATTTATGGCAATAAAGAAAGATAAATTCAAATCGTGACCGAGAGGAGATGTGAACTTGAGCAGCCGTCACAGTAAATCTCAATGGTTCCACTTAAGATTTAGCTCCCAGGTGAGTGTGAGAATAAATGAGATAAAGGAGCGTGACGTCTTTGATGGAGGATTGTGTTTGCGCTGCTGTTATACTTGTGTTAGTTTTGTACGGAAGTGTAATGCTGCGCTAGCCCCGGGATGAGCAGTGGCCTTTGAAGATAACACGTAGTAAAGTAAGAGTGCTGAAGGAGAAAGTGCACGCAAACGCATAAACAAAGAACTTACTAAAAATAGATGCTAAGTTTCTATCTAAGGAGTTTATTCATTACATTATGTGATAAACGACAAAGTATATATACGTGTTCAAATAGGTCTAATCAATTGTGTGTTTGACAGGTTGGACTATATGTTCACATAATACAATTAGCTTCGTTATATTTAGGATTTGGTTCAACAGATTTCATATAGATCCAACTCTAGCCATTGTTTTAGGTGGATAATTCTACTTCCTGGTTGTAGATAATGATATTAATGCCTAACACGTGTGACGAATTTTTACAAGTTTGTTGAAGTCTCTCAAAGCACTACACTGAATTTACTATCCATTCCCTTTATACACCACAGTGGTAAACTACTACTTTATAGCAAAGGAAGGTTTCTCACCCATCATCTGTACTTCTTAGCAAGTTTTCCCGACGTTTCGTCCTCAACCTGGGGACTTCTTCAGGGAATGAATTCTCGGACCGCGCGTTGGAGATTTATAACCTATGGGTGTGGTAAGCCACACCCTAACCCTGATACTAACTCGTAAACAATCTCAGGTCTGCTTGATGTAGAAGGGAGCAGGTCTAACGACCCTGCTGAGGCTAACGACCCTAACTCCTTAGCATGTCACAGACCTATTGTCTGCTGGGATGCTCAAGTGGAGTGCAGGTCTCACCCCTCCTAACTCATTAGCATGTCACTGACCTTGTCCCAAGTTAGGGCGTTGTTTTTAGGATGTCGTCATAGATGCGAGGCAAAACAAATCTTAACCCTCCTCCTCTGTTAAGAGAAGGTTTCTGTTTCCTCACAAAAATGGCTTCTTTCACCCCTCTCTCAAACCAATTCTTCTCCCGAGCCAGAATTTTAACCTCTGTGTCATCCACCGTGTGGTTGGAGGCCTTGAGGTGGAGATGAACAGCCGACTGTGGCCCACTAGAGTTTTCTCTACGATGTTGGTAAAGTCGTTTCTGTAGAGTTTGTTTGGTTTCTCCAATATAGTGGTCAGTGCACTCCTCTTCACTACATTTAATTGAATACACCACATTGCTCTGTTTGTGTCTGGGTGTTTTGTCTTTGGGATGCACTAATTTCTGTCTTAACGTGTTGAAAGGTTTGAAATACACAGGGATTTTGTGTTGCCTAAAGATTCTTTGTAGTTTCTCTGAAACTCCCGCCACATACGGTAAGGACACCCCTCTCCTCCTACTTTCTTCTGTCTGTTGGACTGTGTCTCTGGCCTTTCTCGTCCTTTGGGCTTTAGTAAAAGACCACTTGGGGTAGCCACATCTGGAAAGTGCTCTCTGAACATGTTTGGTTTCTCTGTTCTTTCCCTCCGAGCTAGTGGGGACCTGGTGGGCTCGGTGTTGAAGCGTTCTAATGACCCCGAGTTTGTGTTGTAGCGGATGATTTGAATCAAAAGCCAAGTACTGGTCAGTGTGAGTGGACTTTCTGAAGACCTCAGTCTCTAATTGTCCGTTCTCCAGTATGATGACCTTACAATCTAGAAAGGCGAGTTCACTCTCCTTAGCATCCTCGCGAGTGAAATTTATAAAAGGGTCCCACTCTGTTACCCATCCTTTGGTGGGTAACACCCACCATCACATAGAAAACACAAAAGAATTTGTGAATAAAGTCAAACACCTCCAGTTTGACACAGATGAGACAATGGTCTCGTTTGATGTGACATCGCTTTTTACGTCGGTCCCTATTACAGAGGCGGTGGAGGCTGTAAGAGAAAGCCTACAGAAAGACGCCACACTAGGGGAGAGAACGAAACTAACAGCTGACCACATCTGTGAAATACTTGAAATGTGTCTTAACACCACGTATTTCCAATTTAGAGGCACCTTCTTTAGACAGATTCATGGCTGTGCGATGGGCTCCCCAGTCTCTCCTATAGTGGCCAATCTGTATATGGAGAAACTGGAGGAACAAGCCCTGGGCTCTTACCAAGGGACAGCGCCAAGCCATTGGTTTCGATATGTAGACGATACATGGGTTAAGTTAAAGAAACAGGAAGTGGAACCATTTTCAGCACACATTAACTCGGTGGACCCTTTTATAAATTTCACTCGCGAGGATGCTAAGGAGAGTGAACTCGCCTTTCTAGATTGTAAGGTCATCATACTGGAGAACGGACAATTAGAGACTGAGGTCTTCAGAAAGTCCACTCACACTGACCAGTACTTGGCTTTTGATTCAAATCATCCGCTACAACACAAACTCGGGGTCATTAGAACGCTTCAACACCGAGCCCACCAGGTCCCCACTAGCTCGGAGGGAAAGAACAGAGAAACCAAACATGTTCAGAGAGCACTTTCCAGATGTGGCTACCCCAAGTGGTCTTTTACTAAAGCCCAAAGGACGAGAAAGGCCAGAGACAAAGTCCAACAGACAGAAGAAAGTAGGAGGAGAGGGGTGTCCTTACCGTATGTGGCGGGAGTTTCAGAGAAACTACAAAGAATCTTTAGGCAACACAAAATCCCTGTGTATTTCAAACCTTTCAACACGTTAAGACAGAAATTAGTGCATCCCAAAGACAAAACACCCAGACACAAACAGAGCAATGTGGTGTATTCAATTAAATGTAGTGAAGAGGAGTGCACTGACCACTATATTGGAGAAACCAAACAAACTCTACAGAAACGACTTTACCAACATCGTAGAGAAAACTCTAGTGGGCCACAGTCGGCTGTTCATCTCCACCTCAAGGCCTCCAACCACACGGTGGATGACACAGAGGTTAAAATTCTGGCTCGGGAGAAGAATTGGTTTGAGAGAGGAGTGAAAGAAGCCATTTTTGTGAGGAAACAGAAACCTTCTCTTAACAGAGGAGGAGGGTTAAGATTTGTTTTGCCTCGCATCTATGACGACATCCTAAAAACAACGCCCTAACTTGGGACAAGGTCAGTGACATGCTAATGAGTTAGGAGGGGTGAAACCTGCACTCCACTTGAGCATCCCAGCAGACAATAGGTCTGTGACATGATAATGAGTTAGGGTCGTTAGCCTCAGCAGGGTCGTTAGACCTGCTCCCTTCTACATCAAGCAGACCTGAGATTGTTTACGAGTTAGTATCAGGATTAGGGTGTGGCTTACCACACCCATAGGTTATAAATCTCCAACGCGCGGTCCGAGAATTCATTCCCTGAAGAAGTCCCCAGGTTGAGGACGAAACGTCGGGAAAACTTGCTAAGAAGTACAGATGATGGGTGAGAAACCTTCCTTTGCTTTGACTAATCCCTGTACGACTGAGGGCTTACACAAATACTACTTTATAGCCTTAAATATTGAGCAAAACTACTCATGTCTTCAAAAAACTATGATTTGTGTAAATGAGCCATTACTGTGTCGTAAAAAAGATGATGTCTACAGTTCTAAAACTCCGCTGCTCTACTTCTTGTCCATTTAAATATACAGTATATATATATATTTTTTTAACAAACTGTGAATTTCTTTTTACAACATTATAATCTATATTTAAACAGGTGTCATTCCACCAAAACAAGCCAAAATTAGAACATAAAAAGCATCATCATGTGATCTTTATGGTCTTCAAGTTCACTGGTTTAGCCCGTGTCACAACGGCTCAATAGTTTTAGGGAAGCCTTCTATATACTGACTTCTGACGTGTCATGCACTTATCCGGCTCAGCTATTGTGGCCATTGAACAAATTTGAATCTCACCTGTCGGCAGGACCACCAGGCCGGACATATGTAACAACCAGAGGACGGGACCTTCGCCAATCTTCATGAAAACCTCCTAAAAAAATAAAATTGTATGTTTTTAAAAGCCCCATTCCTCACAGTGCTGCGCGTGTAAAAACATGTGTACACTATGGAAGCGTGACTCAGTACAGTTTTAGTATTGATTCTTACTGCAACAATATAGACAAATATATTGCACTTATCATGATTGTATGCCCTGTGCTGAACAGAAATGTGCTACAACACAAGGGTTGGCAACTCAGTCCCATGACTATGGATAACCTGTATATGTCAAGTTCATGGACAAAACAGACAAAACATTGTTGTGTTTTGTCTGTTTATTACAATGAGGGGTGATGTATTGTTTATTGGGCTGGGACTGTGCATGTGAAGGAACTAATGTCTGTTATTGCTGTGTGATTGTACTTTGTCATGTTCTTGATCTATGTTTCAATTGTTTGTCCAAAACAAATGTATCTGTCGAAAGACAATAAAGAAAAATCTGAAGCTGAAGTAGGTCCGTTAAGTATTTGTGAAACGAAGTTTGTCAAGGCTTGAGTCACAGTCGCAGTGTAGGTGTTGAAGGATGTGCCACAGGATCAATCACAATCCAATCGCACAGAAGAACCAGACAAACATAGATTTCAATGTCACTTTTAAAGTTGCCTTATGGGTCAGCTCATTCATTTTAATGAGAAACCCATTGATTAAATGACTCATTACTTTCTCTAGCATCAAGTTCAAACCTGACTGTGTATTCGGAGTGGACTGACCTAGTGCTGACGCCACCCACACTGGCAATAAACCAGACTAAAACTGTTAAGAAAGGCACAAAGCAGCTCTATCCATGTCTTTAATCCTTCATCATTTTAATAAGGAACATTTGAATGGAAAGGCCAGTGCCAGATTCCTGATTCTAGTCTGAATAAATATTTCTGATGGGGAACAAAGTTATAATAAGGTTATAAGAGAGAGACAACCTTGCAGTGACTGAAGACTTTAGATAATAATATGGAATATGTGTTGAACATGTATTTACACAAGTCAATTGAATACCTCTCATTACAAATCCAAAGCTGTTGCCCTCCTTGTGTAAGCACACGTCTATCGTCTTGGTGATGACTCCTGAGGGGTTCTGAACTGTGAAGAAGAAGAAAAAACACTTTGACAGCCTTCAGCAATCATGAATCTATATTTACTGCACATGCAATCCATTTCTAATATTGCGAAAGCGAATGGTTTAAGGTTAAGGTTTTGAGTATTTCAAAGGCTGCTTATTGCAATGAAGCGGAGGTTATTGCTGTGGTCAAAACACACATAATATTTCAAACAAGTTAGTCAGACGCACAAGATCTGAATTCAAAATCACGAGACCAAATAAAATGTTTAATATTGGGTTGTTGAAGATGTGTCATAATCAAATTTAAATAGCCGTGTTGGTGGCCGCAAACAAGAAGCATTTATTTTAAGGCTGGAAAAAATTCATAAGAAAAGCTGCTCAGCTAATACAGATGAAACTAAAAACATTAGAATAGAATTCAAAAGTACATTTATTTTCTATTTAAGTTAAATTCAACCTAAAAATGTGAAACCAGTATATGATATACACCTATTACATGCAAAGAGACATATATTAGTTTGTTATAGACTTGAGGATTATGGCTTACGGTCCAATTTCCAAATATTCAAAATATTACAAGCTGTGAGCCAATTATCAACATTCTAACAAACAACAGCTTGATATATCCCACTCCGCGTGTAATGAGTCTGTCATATATAAGATCCACACATAGACTGTATGTACTATAAACTGGCTATGGTTTCACATTCTAAGTTGAATTGCAGAAGAAATGGAAGAATATTCAAATTTTCCAACCTGTAGTTTAGACCAGTTTAGTTTGGAACTGTTCTGCAATGCATTCTTGGATTAGACTATAATCAGTTACATTCTCATTTTCTATTTCAGAATACAGAACCTCTACAAGCCGAGGACAAAGCTAAAAAAATGTTAGAAAAAATTAGGAATAAAAATAAAAAACAGCCTAATAAACCTAATAACCAGGCTCCTGTACAATGTTACTGCATCAGTCACTGTATGAAACTAAAAATATATTAAATACATGTAAAATACCTACCAAAACTAAACAAACAGATTGTTTTCTATTGTTTTGTATTCAGACAAAATAAACAGCGGCGGAAACATTTACCAAACGGGGGCAGCTCATATTCCACCTCCAGCACGACTCTCTCCCCGATGTTTTTGAGCAGACTGATAATCTCATCGTGACGAAGTTTGGACAAATTAATGCCGTTGACTGATTTAATGTAGTCTCCAACATTCAGCTGGTCGCTCCTTCAAGACAAAAGCAAGATTAGAACAAACCAATTTAGATCGACACAGATAAACAGATAAGACAGATACTTTAATAATCCGCAAAGAAGAAATGTGGGCGTCCAGCAGACTCACAATTACTTAAAGAGTAGACATGATTGACATATTTACTTTCTAATTTCTTAAAGGGACAGTATGTAGAAACCCTGTAGTGTTCACTCCTTGAAGAAAGCAATGTAAATGTAGGCAATTTTGATTTTCTAAGATGTAGGAGCACTGTAATAACAACCACTAGTTATTTAAGAGGCCCCAATGAGGTAGATTTCAGTTCCAAGCTTGAGCCAAAAGGTGATCCACCAAATGGTTGAGCAAATTACAATCTTTCTGCCTGTAACACATTACTAATGTATTAGCTAGAAACATTATAGACTCTGTATTATGTATAACTATCTATTTTTGTAGTGTTTTCCCCCCTTTTAAATGTTTTTATTTTTGTCTTTTTATAATATAATTTCACCTAACAAACTGGTGCAGAGATGGGATCATTATTCTTTCTAGTCATGTCTTACTGCATTTTTCAGCTGAATCCATATATTTTATGACTTATAAATGATTTCACTTACTACACCATGAAGTACATATGACAAAGATCATGTTCAGAGCCAAAATTAACCAAAAAAATGCATATTATTTGTTCATTAAGGGCACGGTCTTCAGTTGGGTTTATTTATAGCGTTGGCGTGACAGCCCCGTATCTGTCAGATCTGCCCCACAGCCACAGACCACTTGCTCCTGAGGTCAAGTGTGCACAAACCCAGATGTGAAGGCCCCACACCACCAGAAAAAACAGCTTTCCTTGTCAACTTAGTTTTGTTCATTCTTGTCCAGAAACACCACACAGTTTATCATCTAGTTGACAGAGTGAACTTGTAAAACTATAGTTACCTCAAGTACAAGGGATGTATGCAAAAATGTAGAAGATATTTATACACTTTGCCAATACAAGATATTGTATAGCAAAACCTTTTGTTATTATTTTGTTATAATACATTTTCTGCTGACAACTGTATGAAGGAAGAGTCTACTGAGCAATAAAAACTAGTCATTTCATAACTTGTAGACCAATAGAAGCATGCATTTCTAATATTATGAAGATTTTGTATGGAATTGATCTAAACAGGGGTGCACATAACTTTTTCAGTGAGTTACTCAGATGAGGACCAGGAGATGGTGTTTGGTACTCACTTCATTTGTCGCGTGGTTCTTAATCGAGATTTTATACTTGCAAAAGTTTAGATCAACGCAGATAAACCACTCAATCCAAGTCAAATAATGACTCACAGGGCTCTTTCTTCAAAATCAAAATCAAATCAAAACAATTTTCTGTTTAATTTGTTCACAACATTTTACTTGGGCACAACCAACATCATTATGCATTATAAATGCAAGCAAGGGAAAATGTAGGTACCACAGCTTTAATTTAGAGACACGGGGAGGACATGGACACTCCTTTAAGGCTCCATAGTCATAGACTGTATTAACGGACGTAGACACGCCTATCTCCGCCGTTCAAACAAATGGGCCAAAAAATCTGCTCTACTGGAGCTATCCAAAATGGCAGCGAGTGGTCCCGCCCACAAGAAAATAGTGAAAAACCCACCTGTGCATGCGTCAGCTGGCGCAAGCTCCATTCATTTGAACGAGAGACTTCAAAAATTCACAGCGAGTAAACTAGAGTGGTCCAAAAAAATGCGCTCCCCTCAGCATTGACACACATTTTGGACATTGAGCCAACTTTTGGACCATTCTGTAAAGACGTTTTCGAGAGGTCTGCCAATGCTATAGTAAGTAAGTAAGTAATCTATTTATATACCGCCTTTTCACTGCACATCGGAGTCTCAAAGCGGTTTACAATTGTGTTTTTTTGGGAGTGGGGGTACCAGTAAATGGTATGTTAGCATACCACTTTTGTGCACCCCTGGATGTAAATATAATATATAGTGTGGGAGCCTTTGACTGTAATGTACAGTACAGAATAATGTTTTGACTGGGTGTTTATATTTAGATTTCCTCCCTAATGTAAATTCTGGGCATGTGAATAACTATCCTGTATGTTGTGCAATGTTAAATTTAGATCATATGAATCTACGAGCATCAGCGACAAGAACAGGACTGCAGAGATAAATACAGCCTTGGCAAATCAATGAAACTAACCGGATTTGACACATAGTAAAGTTGATGTGATTATAGCCTCCTGAATGCATAGAGGAGTGTGGAGTGCTAAGGGTCATATTGTACAAACCTCTGACTGATGTGTTGTCATAATGAAAGACAATCTGAGTCAGTCTTCAGTTCAGACAGTGAGGCTCATTAATGTCATGTGCTGTGTCCTCTGGGGCCCTCGCACCTCTGGGCACTGCCACTCACTCAGACCTCAGCCTCACACAGCACCACATCACAGAGAACCCAGTGCAGGGGCGGACTGAGTGATTTTGGGGCCCAAGGCAAACTTTTTGAGATGGGGCCTTCAAGGATGCAGTGGTATAATCATTGTGTGTGTATGTTAGTTTGATAGGAAGTGATAGGGATGTGTAGATGCCACCCACATTAGTAACAGGACAACCACCTTCAGGCAATCCTCGACCTGGCTCCACAATACCTATTCGACCTCATCCACATCACCAAACCCTCTGCTCACCCCTGTCTAGTTCTCTGTCCCCTCTTTGCGCCTCATCACCATGGGAGGCAGAGCATTCAGTTGCTCTGCTCCCCAGATCTGGAACTCACTCCCACCTCACCTTCGAAACACCAACCCCTCCCCAGCTCAAATCCAAAAAAAATCCGATCTAAAGCTGTGTTCCCATCGGATCAAGAGTGATGTCCGCCCATGTGAGGAATTTTGAGGCACCCGGAGTTGATGTTCTACAGTAATTGTAAACGAGTGCTGGTAATATGTTCGTTGATAAGGAAGTACCGTTAGCATTAGCATCAAAGCCCGACCACCACTTTCAGGCACAGTACGTCAGATTGACTAAACTCATGCAGCTGATATTTAGTGAACGTACATCCATGCCTCAATCATTGCACGACCATGTATCGACAGTGGGAACACAGCTTTAAGATGCGACAGAGGCCAAGGAATACATGTGAAAACTAGTGATAGAAACAAAAAGGTTTTGATGATAGTTAGCTACCATCAAGTTAACTGTTAGGTACCAAATTTAAGCTATTTACCTTGGAATCATTTATTGAGCCGAAAATATAGCAATAAATGTGTGAACTGGATGAATAAATTACATACATTAGTGAAACACCCCCCTCTAGAGGCAGACATTGGAAATGACTTTTGTTTTATTTGATTTCATATTGATTATATATTATTACAGCCTAATGTCTAGGACTTATGTGTGTGTTTATGTGTTTATTGCAATAAGCTTGGTACCAATATAGATTCTTGTACACATTCTGCATAAGAAACATATAACACAGTGGGTTAATGTGTTTGAATATGATTTCATATGAATACTGTAGTCCAAGCTGAATAATATCTGCTGTCGTTTAAAGACAGATTTAGCCCTGGGTAAAGATCTATTTTTGTCCTGCATGATTTCAAATTGGTCATGTTAGTCTTGCTCAAGTCTTGGTCAATTCCCAGGGTTAGTTCAAAGGCTTGATTTTGTCCCAATTGATGTAAGAGGGACCACATCTTTAGTCATGGTGAATGTGTGTGAAGGAGACGATGTTTACTGTATGGTTTTAATAATGCGTTATTCCAGTTTGGATGCACTGTATGTACTGTTTTCTGGTTTGATACACATTCGTTTTGGTGTGCCTTGGTGTGAAATGTTTGAAATGACTGATCCATCGCACTGGATAAACAGCAGTGGGAGGACAAGCTGCTTGGTAGCATTACTGCGTTGTCGCTCTTAACATCTCCATGGACTTGACAAGTGATGGCATTTCTTTCCAAAACGTCATTCTATGTGTGTGTGTGTGTGTGTGTGTGTGTGTGTGTGTGTGTGTGTGTGTGTGTGTGTGTGTGTGTGTGCGTTTGTGTGTGCGTTTGTGTGTGCATGTGTGCGTCACAGCTCGTCAACCATGGTTTAATCATCTCCTGTTCAGCTGTTCATACAACTGAATACATTCAAAGTGCAAGTCTTGGTCAATTTTCAGGTTAGCTTAAAGGCTAATGAAATATATGCTTTCTCTTGTTTTATGATTTGAATGTGTTCTCTCATGTTTTGTCAAGTACTTTGATTTTCCCAGTGTATGAATTATGCGGCACAAATACATTTTACCCTCTCTTCACAGGAAGTTTATGAGGGAAATTTAGAGCTTCAAAATGATAGCCTTCAAAAACAGACGGCATGTATTACTTTTTGGCCTCATATAACAATACTGAGAATATTGGTAAAAGGAAAAACAATCCCGCAACCTCCCTCACTTGAATGTGAGTAATGTTTGGAAACTAGGTCTATTCAAGTAAAATTTAGACTTAGAATGTGAAATAATTTCTTCAGTAAAAAATATATGAAGTATAGATAGCTATAGAAATTATTAGGATTAGTGAAACAGCCCCTTATGGAAGAAGAAAACAGACAAGACAAAATATTACCATTTTAAGTAAACGTCTATCTAAGAAAATGCGTAACTTGTTTACAAAGCCAGACAGATGTGCTAGAAAGGGCGGTGTATGTGTTGTGCTGATATGAAAATGTTTGTATTGTATTATCTCTGTTAGGCACATTGAATTACTGTTTTGTATGAAATGTGCTATATACATACATTTCCTTCCCTTCCTTCATACAGGTAACGGTTTTACTGTAGATGTGGGAACATAGACGTAGCAGGGACAAAGCTGGTGTACCAAGTTTTATCATTTCATCAATAATATATTTTGTTTGTCTAGTAAAAGAGGTCTATTTATCTCATTAGAAGACATTTGATATTGTGCATATCTGGAATTGTGAGTCACAATTTGAAGCTTTGGCAGAGAGTTGATTGGCTGAGGTGATTGGATTCTCTTTATTAACTTTTCATGAAAAGCTGACAGAGGCCCCAAAACTGGACTACAACTAGTAATAAAACCAAACTGATTTAGCAGCCAGGAACTATTGTGATAGATTGTATGACAAAGTTCAATAGTTTTGTGATTTGAGAGCTAGGATCTATATCTTACACATATTTTTTTGGTTTTAAAATGAGTTACCCCAGCTTTAACATTACATGAAACAGTTACACAAAATGTCTCCTTTTGTTTGCAAAAATGACCACATGAATGTCACATGATGATAGATGCAGCTGCAGTTGGAGTGTGAGCATCCTCTGAACAGCTGTGTTTGTTGCGGCTGAAGAGAACCATTATAGAGCACATGGAGGGGGAGGTTTAGAGCTTACCTGGCCGCGAGCCCACCCGGCCTGAGGTTGGACACTCTGGGTTTGCCATCTTTGTCTGAGCCTCCGGAGATGGTGAGACCCAGGCTGCTCCCCTCTCTCTTCATCAGCTCAACAGTGGTCACTCCCCTGAACTCCTCTGGGAGACAGACAGAAGAGCTGTCAGCTTAGAGCCAGAGTCGCAGCATCAATCCGGTCAAAAAGAGACACATTTATCCTTTCTTTCATTTCAGATTTACAGAAACCTCGACTGCCACAATAGTGCGCTCTTATCTTCACTGAAGGGCCTTATGGTTTGCAGGGAGCGGCTTTAGACACAGGAATAGGGGGTTTGTCCTGCATTTTAACTAGCAAATACTGGTGCGAGATACAATGTGAAAATATTTATGATATCACAAAAGCTTTATGCAGACACCGCAATTTAATGGTCCCTGCGCATTAATCTATTTTAATACACTAATCAAGACTGCCTTGGATCTTTTTGTTTGTTAAATGTCATTAGTGTTTTTTTTTTTTTTACTGTTTATCCTGAAGAGCACCTGACAAAAAAAGAACCACTGAATCTAGGGCTGGGCGATTAATCGATTTTAATCATTAATTCGAGTTTTACGTTTAGGGCGATTTCTTTTTTATTTTTCTTATTATTATTATTATTATTATATGGTGTTGAGCAGTCATTTTGAAGCTAACCTAATGCTAACAGTCTCCCTCTGGCCTGATGCTCGCTCTCACAGTTGGTGCTGTTGCAATAACACTTCAAACGTTCAAGAATCAGACTTTATTTAAATCGCCAGAACACACACACACAGGCTCCGGTCGTACGCCACATCTTTCACGCTCGTTATTCCAAAGCGCACTCCCGTGTCCGTGGCGCGCACACACTCGTGTCCCACTGAGCCGCTGCACTTTGGGGAAAGACACGTCTCACACATTGCTCTCATTGCTCTGATACAAACAACGTGTTCCCCGCTGTCTGCTAGCTACAGTAGCTGCTACAGTAGCTGCTAGCTACAGTAGCTGCTACAGTAGCTGCTAGCTACAGTAGCTGCTACAGTAGCTGCTAGCTACAGTAGCTGCTACAGTAGCTGCTAGCTACAGTAGCTGCTACAGTAGCTGCTAGCTACAGTAGCTGCTACAGTAGCTGCTAGCTACAGTAGCTGCTACAGTAGCTGTTAGCTACAGTAGCTGCTACAGTAGCTGTTAGCTACAGCATCAGAATGTAAACAGGAAGCTCGGACAATGCGGGAGTCACTGAAGTTAGTATTAGCGCCACCAGCTGGACCGAGCGTTGTACTACAGCACAGTTACTCAGGCACAGTTGAAAGAACAAGCATGAAAACCCGAGGAGGCTTTTGGAAAAGACTGTCTGTTACAACATTTCTATTTTGAGTAATCAGTTTTAAAAATGTGATATTTCATGTAAATAATGCATGTGTTTAATAGGATTGATATATTTGCGATGGGCCTTGTTTGTGTGATTTAAGTTATTTTGAAGGTGCATAGTGTCATTGTAAGTGAAGTTATTATAAAACTGTTAAGCTACATTTTCACTGTTTACAATGGCAGAGCCATCTCGTTTACAAGCATGTTTTAAGGCTTAATTCCTGTTACACTTATGCTCCATGGGGATTTAGATTAAACTGCATAAAGGAAAATCTTTCTTTGTCAGTTGTAGTTTGTTTTTAAATAGAAAAAAATAAATCGATTAAAATCGAAAATCGGATTTGGTGTGAAAAAATCGGAGATTTTTTATTTTTGCCATATCGCCCAGCCCTAACTGAATCACTCATCTTTCTTAAACTACCGGTCTATAATAACTTTAAAATGTATATAAATGTTGAGATCACATTGGGTAATGTTATTTCTCAATATTTTGATGGCTAACAAATAAATAAATATACAAGCATTCTTTCTGTTTTGCATTTCTGTTTTGGGGTTTTCTTTCTTGTTTAGCACTTTGAGCTGCCTTGTGTATGAACTGTGCTACATAAAACAACGGGATTTTTTAGACAAATTATAAATAACATATAACATAATTTACGTGTATGTTTATTTTTATATTAAACAAAAAAATATATATTTGTATTCTATTACAAACAATCGGGACACTAAAGCTTGCATGTTTCAAAGCCTGTATAATAGAGCAGTACAGCGTTCATTTAATTATTAAAGTAGATGACAATTAGTTGCAGCCAATCCACTCATAATACAGCCCTAGAATAATGTTAATTCATTAGAAAACTTCTCTCATTTGGCCCCAGCTCCATTATGCTGTGCTGTGATATGACTCCATGTTACATCTCCACAGGCCTCAGTGCTTGTGACAGATACGCTGCATTTGCGGTTTTAATAATGTCCAAGCATTTATGAGCTATTCAAACAGTGATCCATCAAAGCAAACACGGGGGACTCGTGCTGGCGGCCTGTGCGGTGAAGACGTCAACATGACTACGGCCCAAGAGGAGGCTCAGATGATTCAGACAGCGGAGGAAACACACTGCGGCTGAGCCAGGTTTGATCGGATAGTACCTGAAAGACTGTGCCGCTGGCTGGAATGTGATTGGTCACATGGTCCTGAGTCCTTGTTCCCCTTCGAGTATGGGCCCTCATCTGCAGGGACAGACACGAACATGGTAATATTGTTGGAATACAGCAGAAAAGACAGAAGCACTGAAATGATAATGCATTTGAATTTGCTACAAACAATGTCTCTTTTTTCTTTTGGTCCAGTCTCTGCATTTTTGTAATACATTGAACTTATTTAGTGCTTTTTGGGACATTCAAAAACACTTACAGATGACTAAGAAACAAAAACAATGTGTAAGTAGGTTGAAACAGCTTGGTTTTGGGCAATTTTCAGTCCTGAAGTGAATCTGAGTTCCTGATGATGTGGGAGTGAGTTCCAGCTGCAGCAATGGCTCGGCCCCCTGAGGTTTGACACTTTGTTCTGATGGGAGTGAGGAGGTTGGAGTCAGTGGATCTGAGGTAGCAGGAGGGACAGTGCTGTGAGAGGAAGTCGGTGAGATATGAGGGGGGCCAGGTTATGAAAGGACTTTTAAGTGATGAGGAGCACCATACCTTTCTGCTCCAGGAGCCACATTTTTAAAACATACAACACTTTGTTATGTTTGTGAGATATGAAAAGACAACTGGACTTAGAGCATTTGGAGATAAGACAGTATAAAAGCCAAGAATAAAAGCTACTTATTGTTTTGCTTGTACATATATTTCTGGTTGAAATTCTACGTTAGTTTTATGAATAAGGCCCCAAACCCACTGATTTGAATTATTATTGCTTTGTTGATATGATTTGGTCCTGTTCAGTTCTGATTTATCTGGTCAAGTTACCTACAATCACATTAGATTTATTAAAAGAGGTGGAACTTCATGGCTCTCAAAGCAGTTTGACATCACTATTTTGACCAATAGAACAGCTTTAGGTCAGCAGTTTTAGAAAAAAAAAAGACGTATATAGTGTCAAATATTGTCTCTGTCCGACAAGATTGAAATCACAGTGAGGACAGCTCATAGTTGTCTGATTTGTTATGAGAATTTTGCTTTTAAGGCTATTTCAATGGTAACTAACTCTTTATTTAAATCCTACCAACCCCACTGGTTCGTTATGGTTATTGCTTAATGTAAATCGATAGTTGACTAAAGCTGGGATACCTCATTTTTTTCTCCCCCATAAAAAACACAAAACATTTGTTTCAACAAAAAGCTTTAGCAAACAAATAGTGGTTTCAATATCTTTTCATCCTTTAATTTATATTTTGAATACTTGTAAGAAAGAGTCCTGGGAATCACTTTGGATGATTTGAGCAGGGAACTGATTGGTTGAGCAAGAACACTCCTCTCATCACCGCTTCTCAGAATGAAAAAAGCTGCTCTAAAGATGTGACAGAAGTAAAACTGCATGCATGTGAACACTAGTGATAGAACCAACCGTTTTGAGAGAAAACAGCTGTACAGATTTAGTAAGTAATGAAGTAATCTTTATTTACATAGCGCCTTTCACAGACCAGAGTCATGAAGCGCTTTACAATTGTTGTGGGCATTTGTCTCTCACTCCACACAGAGATGGGAGCAGGGTTGCCATACCAGACCTATTGTACCTATTTTTAGTGGTAGGGGAAACCAGAGCACCAGGAAGACAACCTACCCAGACACGGGGAGAACATGCAAACTCAACACAGAAAGGCCTAGAAGTGGAATCGAACCCAGCACCTTCTTGCAGTGATATACAAGCGCTAACCACTACGCCACCTTACGGCCCGATTTCATTATTTAGTTCCTATTTTTGTGGATTTTGGAAGTTGAATACCCCAGCTTTAATGTTGCATGAATCCATAATATGATGTATCGCAATTTGCACCGGATTCTTGTGAAAACTTGTCAGTCAGTATTTCCAGCGGTTTATCAAAAAGGACTGAAATGTGCTGCTAAGATGTCTTTGAAGTGCAGCGGAGGGATCAGGACGCTCTAAGCCTCAGCGGTGACAAAGTGAACTGAAACCTATGGGGTCACTCCTCCCTGTGTCTCCATGACATCCAGAGGAATGGTCTGGGCCTGAAATAGCTGCTCTCCCAAACGCGGCCTTTTACCATGAGAATACATTTGCTCTAATCTGTGCGGCTCAACCATGGGGCTTTTCCTGAAGGAGCAGCTCGTGGTTAATAGACTGTTGGAGCATGGAGAGAAAATTATCATCTTTGTGACATTTCAGCAGCTGCTCCACAAGCTGAGAATGTGTTCAGTCTGTTATACTCAGACGGACATTCAGTTAACCCAAGATGTTTTGTAAAGTAGATATAATAATAATCTATGTGTTCATTGAGATGGCACATTACATTTACAACATACAACACAAAAAATAGGCATAAGCAGAAAAAGTCAGGCATGCATCTGCGGTTTTAGGCACAAATAAATCATACATATTACATTTAGGTCTGGCAACAAGGCACAGAATCCTTGGGCAGACTGGCTTTCCATGTTGTATCTCACTGCTCCTCACGGTCTTGTCTTTGTTCCGTCCTTTTTGGTGTATACCTTGTTTGCTTTATTGTCCTGTATGTGTCAGGACAATCATTTTGATGTTATAGTGATGAATGATTTTATTTCAATTATGACTTTGTAAACATTGTGCTATACAAATAAATATAATCATTAGTATATTATTCACAACATCCCATAGAAATCTAGGTTTGTAGCTGAAGGATAAGATGAAACATAATAGAATGTGGCACTAACTGATGTGGGCAGCGTAACAGTTCCAACATTGTTAAGTGCAACATCCAACTTTATGAAAAAGAACCTCATGCAGCACCAACAGCAAACATGACGAAAACAAAGTGAACAGTTTATAAGAAAAAAGCCCTGAAAGAATGACATTTATGTGTCTTACATTAAAACGTCAAAATGCTGAGTAGTGACGACTGATGGGCTTGGAGGGCATCACATCCAAAGCTTTTCTCTGGAAATATTTTACATTAAAACTGACCCAGAGGACAGTCACAGCTGCCCCGGTGCCTGAGCAGCTCCACTTCTGTGAGTCATGGCCAAGAAGCACAAATAGCACTATACCTCCATCACTCAGCGCTTTGTGCGCCTGCAAAAGGAGCTATGTATTTAATGATGACTCATTATATTTTGTATCTGCAAACAATTAATTGTCCTGTCTCTATGAAATTATGAATAAACCAGATAATCTAAGATCTGAATAAACCTCTTAGATTACAACTACTTTAAAATCAATGTGTGTTTCAATGCAATGTTCCTCTCTTTGTAATAACTTACAACGAATTAAAAACATGTTCAAAGCTGATTACCTTTGAAACCCTATTATAAAAAGAAACACTGAAGAAGTATGTGGGGGGTTAGACAGAGTGATGCCCTCAGTCTTTAGACTGTACTTAAGGAGTGCAGACGTCACCAGTGTTTTCCTCGATGCCGAAGAGGATGATAGGCTCAAACTATTGGCTATTGCAGCGAGATTGTGGAGCCAAATGTACACAAATGTTGTAGGTGGAAATAGCTGGATTTCCAGGATTATCAGGAACGATTCTGGTCGGTCCCCGCTCACGCTCCTTGCAAGCTAATGGCAAATTCGAGAACTTAAGGCTCCTGATTGGTAAATTGTTAGGGCTCATATTAGGATTAACAAAAACAATATCACAATAAAAACACCAGTATCAAAGAGCGCTTAACCCTGGATTTTATAAGCCCCAAATTGTGTCACACAAAAAACGGTTACTGAGCAAGAGGAGTTTACTTCTCAATGCAAGTCAAAAGGAGCCAGAGCGAATTGGAGTATGACTCTTTTATATGCACTTTCCTATTGGGCTTCATAGAGCTGGGAGGGTGGTCATTGTCCATTTAGTTACAATCTATGGTCCGTATGTGTGTGCGTGTATTTGTCTTGGGTTGTAATTAATGTATGATAAGGGTTTTTAGCCAAGTACGCATCTGCTTTGACTGTGCATTTTGGTTTATTATTTCTCTTATTCATTTGTTATTGAATGTTTATGCACAGGCTTGAGGGAATAAATAAAAACTCAATCCCTGTGTTTGTTTAACACTGTTGTTCTCACTCCAAGACAAATTATGAAAGTGCAAAGAACGTGATCAAACATTTGTGTTAATCATCCAGGTTTTGAATGCCACTGCTGGTTACTATTCATAAACAATGGCCTAAAAAAACGTCTGGTCTCTTATTATTATTCATCTGTGACATAAGCATGGCATTTCACAGCATTTGAAACACTTCTTTGCACAAATGCCACGGTCAGCTGGGCGCATACAGTGACTGACACATCCGTCGCTGTGTAAAAGCCTCCAGAGCATGCGGCTCCTCGGGGCCTGACAGTCCAGCAGCTGTCACTGCAATCAAAAGGCAACATTAGCTACGGGTTATGTGGACCACTCCTCCGCACGTGACACAGCCAGAGTAATAAGGCAACCCATGTACCACTGCAGCTTCAAGGGATACCCAGGAATAAGTCTACGGAATACATTTTCATATTCACAAGCTGTAATCCAAATACACAAAAAATCAGCTGAAAAAAATGACAAAAATAATAAGTCTTATAGAGAATATTCAGACCTCCGCTACAATGCTTACGACACATATCACAGAATATTTAGATATATTTGTCCTTTTGTCATGTTAAATGGTTGTATTTTCAATATTAATCCATGCCTCTAACAGTGAATCGGAATCTAGGTTAGAAAGCTGTGACAATGAAATCATAATGCTATTTTCATCACAGAAAGCAAAGCCAAGATCCACTTCAGGAATATTGTATTGAAAGGAAACGAATATGAAACAACAACAAAAGTAAGCCTGTCCCAAAATATCACAATATAGAATCTAATAATGAACAAACTTGGGAAGATTGTGAGTGAAATTTAAGCAAGGGTTTTGAATGAAGACAGAAATACAGGAAAAAATATGTAAAACTAAGGGCACACACACGCTCACCGTTTAACAATCTCTACAAAAGGCAATACGGGTGTCTTAATGTTAATAATACTCTACTCTATTTGGCAGCAACACCAGATTGTAAATCACACATTGTCACAAAATATTCTCTCTCAAACCGACCTACATATGGCCTTTCGCATGAATGGGATTTTTCAGTCCAGGTGATGACCGTCTGCTTGCCCTGTTGCCTGACCCCACATTGCAAACGTCAAAGAGAGTTTTTCTTACCCGTGCTACTCTTGGAGTCTCGTCTCAGACCACACAGCATGCTTGCAACAACTCGGGCACAAACGCCTTTATCACCCGGGCAGTCAAAGTTTAACAGAGAGGTTTAAAATATAACCCCTGTCTTTTTCACTGAATCACCATTGCAATTTCTGTTCAATCCAGCTTGACCTTTGCCATTGTCTTTCCTTGCGAGCAAAAATCAGTTATACCATTTCATCCTTTTCTCATAGACGTCCAGTAAAATAGTCCTTCTATGTTTGCGTTTGTTCAGCTCCTTAGGAAAGCCAAAAGTGTGACGCGCCTTGCTGTTCTCATTGCTGTGGCTCCTGCAGTCAGTTTTGGTCCATTTTTCTCATGGATTTTGCGGCTTATGTTCACGCAGCTCGTGCATAAGCTCTGGAGTGAATGTGTTGCTCTCTCAGCCTTGGAGGGGTGAGACAGTCCCTCCCCCTGCTCACTGCACACTCACACCGAGTTTAGACCCCACAAAACTGATCGCCCCTCACTCACTCACTCAACACTCAAGTCTCACCACAATTAGCATATTTTTCACAGGGATCTGTACATTTCCAAATATGTTGCGTACATGTTGTTGGATTGTATTTTAGTTCTCAACTCAATGGGAAAGACCTGCTTGCTTTTAACACTTAGACAATGATGCACTTGGGTTGCAGATGTTCTTGCTAATGCTTTTATATTGTAGTGTAAGTAAGTAATCTTTATATATACAGTGCATTTTTACAGACCAAAGTCACCCAAAGTGCTACACAATGTTCTGTATTTAAACTGCATGGTTTTTTTCTCCTGTCAGAAGCACTTACAGCACTGATTGTTGTAAATTTGCAAATAAACTTGACAAGCAAGAGAATTTGAAAAACAACATGCCCAAATGTTTTCCCCAGATCATTCACAAATCTGCCATATTATTCTCATTGGCCCAACACCATGCAGGTTTATGAATAATGTCACCACTTCTAGACACTTGTGTGTGAAAATATGTATATAAATCCATTTGATATGGACCGAGTAAGATGTGTAACTTTGTGACTATTTTTCTTTTTTCTTGACTATTTTGTGAATTGGCCGAGGATATACAGAAATAAGCTCTAAACTAAGTGTCTGAATTTTGACAATTACCACCGTTACCAGGAATACCATTTCAGCTGCCCTCCACCACAATGTTAAACAATAGGCTCTGTATATTGTTATGTCATGTCACATAAACACAGCCCATTACTTTCATGTGCATCTGAACAAATTGGTTTCATAATCCTTTAACTATACATGAGCGTATTGATACTGTCTATAGATTGTTTGGTTATATTAATTTAGATCCTATTTGGTGTTGCTACATGAAAAAAAACATTCAGAAGTTTTTTGCCCAAATTGACTCAATAGTTTGATGCTTCACTCATTTATTCTTGTCTAGACTATTTGCATCAGTTGTCCTATGGGTGTCAGTTTGGAGCAGTATAAATTCCATGTATTTCACCATGTGTTTGTAGAGACAATATTTGAACTTAAATGTAACAAACAAAAAATACCCATAAATCAAAGTAAACAGACCAAGAATAGAGTACAGTAAAAATCCCTAAGTACTTCACTTCAAGCCTAAAATAGAACTGAGCAGCTGTGGTCTGTCTGATGTTATGAAGTCTACATTCAGACACATTTAGCTCAATAACATCGGGTAAAAAAAGTATCCTTATTCAAACTTCATACAGGTAGTCCTTTGTCAAGTTACGCCCTGATTCTTAACCTTAAGGTTATACACCTTTCAACTATTAACAAAACACGTTGGCTTTGTGGAAGACAGAGTCCTCGCCACAAAATCAGCACTTGAAAAACAAGAGTGATGCTTTTTGGAAGAAAACACATTTCCAGTCAGTGTATCCTAGGGCAAGACACTTAACCCCACTTTGCCTGAAATAGCAAGGCTATGCTTTGTGTACATGGATCTATTACTTGTGTATGAATTGTGCTATATAAATAAACTTGCCTTGCCTGAATTACAAATGCTATGGGTATAATGGCTTCTTTATTTAAATGCAATTCCATTTATTTGTGTATAGCCCTAAATCACAGCAGCAATGGTTTTGGAAGACTTAAAGTTGTTGATTCACCAACAACAGATCAGAGAATCAAACAGGAACGAACGAAAACAGGAAATAAACTCATAGGAGCCATTGGTCCATAGAGAGCAGGATGAACATTGTTCAGAAATGTTTACATTATATATTTTGGTAATAAATCTGATTATCCAATCTGAAAGCCGAAATAGCATCACACGACTATCTTTGGGTTGCCAGTTTATTTGGTGAAACTGAGCCAGTTTGGTCCTAAACCCTGCAGGTGGACATCATGCTTTGGGGTCACTCATGATGCAGCCAGCGGTACAGGGAACATTACACGGGTGGAGGGAAATGCATTCAATTATTCTAAACTCTGAGAACTAAATGAACACAAGAAAGCTTAAATTTAAATGAAAGGTCGCTAAACAGAATGGAAAACGCAGTACATGATGAATCTAATCAATCCATGTGTAGATCTGATAAGACGTTTGTTAGCCAGAAAAACACCCAAACTAGAAGTGAAAATCTTCTGCCTACCTTCAAAAAGAAACTCGTATTTTTTTCCCAAATAGGTTAGGTATGCGACTCTGCGAGGTGTCAACATATTCTCTTTGGAGATTGTCTTTTAGAAGTTGTTCTACACATGAGCCTGTTTGTGTCGCAGGTCAATGTATTTGTGTAGCCACAACAGGACTTTACAAAGTTGTCGATAAATCAATACACACAATAAAAGTTGTCCTTACCCCGTAACTGATCCACGTGCTTTCTGCAATATTAGCATGGAATAAAATACACGGTTTGCTCCCGACTTCCATCTAGTGGTCATGAAGGTGTATTGCAAGCATGTGCAATACTGATGTGTTGGTAAATGTTACAGGACAAATATTTGTATCAGTTCCATCTGTACAGAACCCTCAAACGTATCTTGAAAAGCAAAAAAAAAATGTCGCTATTTGATTAAATATGTACGACTCAAGGACTTTAGTCTGAAAGTCCTATTAGCCGTGCATATCTTCTATAATATTGTCACCACTTCTTGACACCTGATATTTTGTTTAGTATCCAATATGTACCCGAGAAAGATTTGCAAATTTGTGATAAATTTGGCCTCCCGTCGAATTAGTGAAATTAGCTTAAGTCTTTATGGATCTCCCAATCATTACCAGGAAAGATATGTCTTCCACAATAGGCACTTTGGAATGTCACAAACGTAACCCATTTCATGAACATCAACTCATAATACTGCATTAGACCAATTAAAAAAAAAAAAGATTAATTTTCTTTGGACAATTTTATAATGAATTGCAAGTAAATCTAGATTATATTTTTATCAGGATGGTCTTACCTGGGATTTGGACTAAAACTACAGAATGGTCCCGATTTCTTGCTCTTCCCGTGATGATCCCCATCCGACATCGGAAAGAAAAAGAAAGCATCCTTCTCTTTGGCAGAGTGCATTTTTTCTTCATGACTGCAGAGCAAATCCTCTCTCACCTAATGCTAACCTGAAGTTACATGCCATCACAATAATGAAAAGGCATCTCTGGTCACCAAACTAGAATTGCAGGAGTCATTTGTCAGTCCTGAGTAAACAACAGGATGAATACATCAGCAGAACAGATGGCAGCGGGTTCACAGCTCAGTTTGGCGCCAGAATGAAATGGAAACATTCTCTGCAGGGAGCAGATACAACCCAGATCTCTGGCCATTTAAAACAAAATTAAAAGTGACGCCTAATACATAAGGACTATAGGGTGATTAGTTTTACTCAAAATAACATCAATTCCTTCAGTTAAAAATAAATATCCTCACCACATTCACACCATCTATGGAAATGTGGACAGGAAGTGGTGGCCAACTGATAGGATTTGACATGCAACAAGCAAAACTGAACTGCTTTTAAGAACAGAAACAAAATGTAAGGTAGTCGTTAAGTTAGCAAAGCATTTTATACAGAATGACAGTATAAACTAAGATTGAGTCGCCATGACAACACTCTTCACACTGATATACTACGTTTCCAGCTCAAAAACTAGCACATTAGACATTTTAATTTTTATGTATTTATTGAAAATGACCAGTTTATTCGTTCTCCTCGCTCCTGAGTCTGGCGTTGGGGTTTGTGACCTTGATGGCCAGCTGAGCAGCCCGCTCCACGATCAGCTTCCTGTTCTTGGAGGAAACGTTGTGGGCGATCTCGGCGCAGTGAGTCCTGTAAGATTAAATAGTTAATTAAAACACATGCCCGAAACTAGAACATTAAGACCATTTTATGAACTCAGAATCAGAAACACTGCGAAGATATTTTCATGTATGGATTAATTAGATCTGCATTCTAAAGTTTAGAATCTTTTCTCAAATGACTCATTTTCCATTTACTTAAAGTACGTCATTTATAACAGTTGAGAGTGGAACTGTAAATTTACCACCCTCTTTGTAATGTAATGCGCGAGTATTTGGGAAGTGAAATGACAAGTGAGTATTAATATTTAATGAATTACAAGCATCTAGAATAGTATTGAGTTGTTGAATTGCACATTTACAAACACGTTGAGCACCGCAAGAATCACAACGACAGGGCAATGAACCGTCAGCCCTGAGGGATCTGGCTGAGTCACATTGACAATCAAATGTGTAAGGGCCAGCGAGGAGTTTATCATTCAAATAAAGTTACTTTAATAGACTTAGACCTATATAAAATATTTAACATCCACGTGACAAAACTTGACATTTAAATATAACAACCCCACACAGCATAAAGGGCCACGGTCGTCGAGGTCAATTCAAGTTCTCAGCTTTGGCTGCACAGTTCTGTTTTACTGTAAATATGTTTATCCCTTTTCTTAAATTTTAGTAAGCCTTAAAGTTTTATTTACTTGATTTATGCCAATTTCAAAAACATGCATGTCAAACCACAATATTTACACACAAAAAAGCTTAAGTGTTGTTCCAATTCAAACCATCACATCTTGCTATAATAATTACGCACTCTAGTTAAGAAACCTATGGCAACCTTTTCTATATAACCCTGTCATGTCAATTGACACATTATCCGAGCATAAAAGTAACTAGATTAAACCTTTGAACCTCTAGTCTAAGAACTTGTGCCATGACCCATGAAAAGGCGATTGAGGAGTCACAAAATGCAGAATTATTTTCAATTTAAAAAAAAAATTGGGCTGAGGTCAGCTACTGTGCTTCTAAATGTTTTGTAATCAGAAAGAAAATCATGAGCTCTGAATGTGATGTTTCAATACAGGAAGTATTGCCCAACTTAACTACCAAGCGCTGTCTTATGACAACGCATTTGCAAACTCAAATGTAATCCACAATAAACATTACACATCACAGTGAAAGATCAATCCAGATTATGAAGATTGACAAACTATTTCATCTACACCACAAGGAGAAATTACGCAAATATATATTTTAAAAAGGTACAGACACCAAATCAAACAAAGCAAAAAAGCAATTTATGGCCAATGATTTTAAAGAAAAAAAGTTGAAGTCAGTTGAACACCAAGTCAAATAAATTGTTGCTAGGCTCATATTTTTCAAGAGGCACACTAGTTTTATCAAAACCAAGCCGAAGCAAAATAGCATAAAAAGGGATTTATACGCAAGGGATAACTTATATTACGAAGGTCATTGTCGGAAAATAAGTACAGAGAGGGCGAAGCGGAGTGACCCATACATAAACCTAACCTAAATCCATAATTCGATCCTCTGCAAATTTGTCCTAAAATGTGCCGGTATCTACTTCCGGGTTTTTCGGGATCGCATTTTCTCGCATTAGTGTTTTTGTCATGAAAACGTAAACTTAAAATTCTGAAAACTTCTGTGCACTTGTATTAAGAATGTATATTTATAATGTACTCTCCCATTAACATTTAATTGCGTCGATTGATTGGCATTTGCGTTTAATGAGCGTGGCTAGCTCCGGAGGGGCCTGGACTACTTGCGGAGTTATCTACGCATCTGAAAGATGAGCAGAGTGCGTTTCCATTGGCAGCGGTCATCGTTTTGAGAGGTCCGTTAGAGAATATAATGACCGGTAGAACGTTTTAAAATTACATACAAATCAATGGAGCATTCTACTGCTGCTGTGAGGAGCCATGTAATAAATTCAGATAATACCATCCACCAACTGTGACATGCAAAGAATGAAACTTTCTGCAAGTTGCAAGTCTCCAGCAGAAATGTGTCCACTCAGACATTAAAGGTTAGAGATACTTACTTGTTGCTCATCATGAGAACTTCGAGCTCCTTGATGTTGTGGACCAGGAACTTCTTGAAACCAGTGGGCAGCATGTACTTGGTCTTCTTGTTGCTTCCATAACCAATGTTGGGCATCAACATCTGTCCCTTGAATCGCCTTCGCACCCTGTTGTCAATACCTCTGGGTTTGCGCCAGTTTTTCTATTAAGAAGGTTTGTAATCATTATCCAGACTCTCAATTCTACAAACGTTACAGTTCCGATACTTACTGCAATCTTGACATATCGATCAGATTGGTGACGAATAAACTTTTTTGTCCTCTTCTTGACAATCTTGGGTTTGGTGAGGGGCCTCAGGGCTGCCATGGTGACTGAAAGGAATAAAACCAGAATACAATCTGGAATTAATATCTTATTTCAGATGGCAGGTGTCAAATGTCTCCACTGTGAGACGAATAAAGGAAAACTAAAACTGCACTACTACTATTGACACTATCTGACTGCCACTTTTATTGTACATATATCCTACATGTAACATGTTTGCACATTTCCTCCTTTCGCACAATCTTGAGTGTTCTATCCATGCCAAACGTGACATGTAAATTTCTCCTTGTGATATAAAAACCATATCTTATCTTAGGTGTAATTCGGTATTGCCTGTACGCACGATATTACTTGAATCATACAAAACAAATAACGTTTTATCAATTTACACCACACACATGCTATTGGAAAGTATACAAGCTGCACTCATGGAACTAGATCGTCATAGATCCATGAGTGAAAGCACTTATATTAGCCACAGGACTATGTTTAGCTAGTGCTCGTTAGCCACGTTACCTTCGGAAAACACGCTACAATAACAGTTTAAACAGGGGAACTAATTAATTAAACGCGATAAAGAGGGGCCGTGCATTAAAGACTGCCTTCATTATTGAATCCGCATGTCTCCAAACCATGTTATTCTGTCAGCCGGCTGCAGTCACGCACATAAAATGAACGCACGTCTACGGTAGTAATGGTGGCCGTGTTTCAATACTTTATCCGTACGTCCCGGTGATCAATTGCACAACTAAAGGCATTATTATCAAGCCCAGCTCTTTCTATCTTACTTTCAGTGGGAGAGCAGTGTGTTGGTGTTGTATTTAGAGAGGATTGAGACCGATAACAGTCACTCACCCGCCGATGGGAATCCAAAAAGGACTTCAACGACGAAGGAAGGGAAGAAAAAGGACTTCCGGGGTTAACCTGTGGGCTTATGGGTAGTGTAGTTCAGTAAAATATCACATTTGTTTTCGCTTGCACAATGTCAATATTTACAGTTTACGTTTAATAAACAGAAAAATAAAGTTTATTCTAGAAGATATTGTTACATCGGTTGAACCCACATGGGTCAGATGATCATGTTAATTTTGCGACTGCGTCAATATGTGTGAACCAAAGTCTAAAGTTTTATTTTCGTTTTCCTGTCACAAGACAAAAGAGGTAGTGGCCTAACGGTGAAGTAGGGTGACTGAACAGGAAGCTTATTACGCAGTAATTTGCCAACGCTGAAGCAGTGAAGTACTTTTTGAAGAGTGAAAAGTGTTTTAGATTTATCTCCCTGCAAGTCCGTTCCTGTCACTATACTGGATGGAAAACCAACCATTTATGAGGTGAACATAACATGGTGCTACGGTTTATAGATTAACAATGTATTGACTTCGCGCACGTGTTTTTTGAAAAGCAACTCAAAATTGTTTCCTGTTTATTGTTTTAGTCACAACAGATCCTACGGTTTGGCCAACCCCGGCTATGTCGCAACACCAGAGACAGCTTCAGGTATGGCCAGTTCAGGAAATGTGCCTTTATGTTTTAATTGGGGAGAGGGCATCCAGAAACTGTTGCATATCACAGAAAAGTAAACCAGAAACGTTTGCTTATCACAGAAAAGTAAACCCCACGAATGGGTCAAGCAATTTGGTCACGAGTAGCAGTCGTTTTGTACCATATAAAAAGGATGATGACCATGATCATGTATGGATACGCGCTTCCTTGTTCTGTGCCAAGTGACGTCAGTCTGTAGTTCATGAATCTCGAGTATGATCCAGCCCATGGATCCTGCCCATGGATCCAGCCCATGGATCCAGCCGCTACAAGCGCTACAAGTCAGTTTCTGACTCTCGCAGCAGGACGTTATTTTCATTAACTTTTCTTACATTTTTAGACCTCTTTCGGTTGTTACAAACAATTTTAGGGAAACGGATCATAATAGCAATAAGGTAGGTTAATCTGAGCACTCTATTTATAGAGGAATGTAGCAAATGTAGAAGGGTTAACTTGGATGAGTAGGCCTACTGTGGGTTTTTTGATGCTTATCATTACAGCAATATCTGCAAACATTATTTTTTGTGATCCTTTAATGTTGGAAGTTTTAGTTTTTGAACTGTGATTGAACTGGTTCTTCGTGTTTGTTTCAGCAATGTTTGCCCCACCCACCCCAGACCCAGGTCCCAGCGCGCCTCCAGCCAGTATGTTTGACAGTATGCCTGGTTATGAAGGGACCACACCTGGAGATGGAGGTACAGTGTTGCCTGTCCCACAGACAAAATTCTGTCGCTTTCTAAATCTGTGCTAAATGCACGTAATGTGGGAGCCACACCCACATTTCCTGTGGCGTTTGGACAAGGGGATGTTTGTATAAGCATGTGCTGTGAACACAATGAATATTGCTTATAGCATATTCAATAGACTTTAAAATATTTCTGCTTGTGTACAAGTCTCTCTATGGCCTCACACCAAATTATATTAGTGATATGTTAGTCCCATATGAACCGACCCAGACTCTGAGGAGCACAGGGACTGGACTCCTGCTGGTGCCCAGAGTCAGAACTAAACATGGGGAGGCTGCATTTCATGCTGCTTCATAGAACAATCTCCCTGAAAATGTGAGACAGGCCTCTTCTCTGACAATGTTGAAATCCAGGTTTAAAACAGTTCTGATTAGCTGTGCATACAATTATATATTTGTTTCTTTTTAATGTACTGTGATTATTTATGATTTTAATGCTATCTTGTTTTGCTCAGCACCTTCTCATTCAAAGAGTTTTTTATTTTTGTGATTATGAAAATTGTAGGTTCACACTGAAGGCATCAAAACTATGAATTAACTCATGTGGAATTATGTACGTACCAAAAAAGAGTATGAAACAACTGAAAATATGTCTTATATTCTAGGTTCTTCAATGTAGGACCTTTTGCTCTGATTACTGCTTCACACACTCTTGGCATTCTCTTGATGAGCTTCAAGAGGACCTGTAATGGTCCGAGTTCCCATAGATGCTTAGCTCTTGTTGGCCCTTTCGCCTTCACTTTGTGGTCCAGCCCCAAACCATCTGGATTGGGTTCAGGTCCAAAACCATCACCCCACCCAGCACCCCACCACTCTCCTTATTGGTCAAATAACCCTTACACAGCCTGGGTGTGAATCTATAGTCAATAGTCATTAAAAGAAAGGACACTCAAGGAATGAGAAAGTGTGTCCAAACTTATGATCTGTACTGTATATGAATTGTGCTATACAAAAAAAAACTTTCCTTGCCTTGTCTTATTGCACTCTATGGCACTGTATGTACTAGCCACATGTGTGTAGTGTACACACTCCCTTGTGAGAAGACATAGGGAATCCAATAAATATATATTTGTATTAGGTGGATTTCTGCCACCTCCAATGCCTACCAGTCCTGTACAACCACCACAACCTGGACCAGAGCAGCCACACTGGAAGTGAGTTTTCATTTGAAGGAAGTTGCAAAACTAAATTCTGAGAGTAAAACATTCGGCACAACATTTTATTTTGGTTCTGTTTTAATAGTGTGCTTTCTTTTTTTCTTAGCATACCGTCAATAAGTGAAGACACAGCCCGTGATGCTTTTATACTGTTTGCGTCGAGTAAGTGCTGTTACAGTAAATCCCCCGCTAAGGACGGAATCATCACGAACATGGAGGCCTTCAATACATACAGAGTAAGAAGGGAGATCATTTTATTAGCCATCAATTAGGCCCAATATAATACCTCTGTTAAAGTAATATCAGAGTGCAAAACAGTATAGCCTTCTCTGAGTCTAGGTATGTTTATTAATTGTTTTTGATTAACCACAGACAAGTGGAATTGTCTATAACGATGTGAAATTGTAGCCTTGTGTGTGTTTTTTTAGTACAAATTGGAAACTTTTACTGAATCAAGATCTACACACTGGGCACATGAGCCATATCATGGTAAATGTGTCTGGTTTCTACATTACTAAGTATTATTTACATGGATCGGATGAAGTACAGCTTTTCCTGTTACTAATTCAGGGCAGCCAGTCGATGCCTATGCTCAATCACCACCAGGACCTTGGGCCATTGCCGCTCAAGCCCCAAGCTTTTTTCAGGATTCCAAACAGGTTATCAAGGTTCCATACACATCATCTATGAAGGTAAATAATAATGATAATCATCATAATCATTATCATAACAATAACAATATTAATAATGGTAATATTACAGAACATTTATTCAATAACTTGGTCTTTTATGTTTTGTTTTTGCAGCCATGCCATGGGTGTATGGGAATGGGACGAAAACCTTGCACTCAGTGTGCAGGTTGTGGCAGCGTGAGTAATTTGAATTATATTTCATTATATGGCGTGATTTGACCTGTTTCCTAAAATAAAATATTCATTAAATAGAAAGTTTGTTGGGTCTGCAATGGAAGTGGTTTTCGGCATGGAAATGATCGATGTCATACCTGCAATGGACGAGGACGGGACAAGTTCTGTGACTGAAAAAGTGTATATTTTTACTCGCTGTTACTCCAGTAAGATAATAGATTTTATTTGCACATAGTTGTCACCACTGTAACGGTAATGGATCGTCAAACTGTACAACGTGCCATGGGAAACAACAACTTCTGGTTTACATCAACCTCAAAATAAAATGGTAGATCTTTTATTCAATACCAGAATAATTTTAGCTAGGTACAATATAAAATAATTCACATGAATGTTCTTTCAGGACAAACAATTGCAATGATTATGTTGTAGAGCAGTCAAGTGGACTTCAGATTTCCAACTTGAGCAAAGTGACTGGCAAGGAGCTTTTCCGAGACTCCCAATACTTGGTAATGGTTAATTTGATGTTTTTAGTATGGTAATCTAATGTATCACTGACATGACCTCAATCCTTTATATACAATAGTAATAATACATGTATTCTTCATGTCTCTCTGTGAGCTTGATATTTAGCTTTAAATGTATGTTTATAAATCATTATGTTTGCAATCTACAGGTGTACCCTGTGATGGGGTTTCCTGATGCGTCCGTGGTGAACGCGGCACAGCGCCTCGTTGGAGAGCATGTAAGCAGGTTCTCCCAAACATCACGCATTCTTCAACAAGTAACTATTTACTTTACTTTTTAAATTAAAATTAAATGCAATTGTCATAATTTACACTCACATTTTTGCTTTCTTTGTCAACAGCGACAGAGTGTAGAGCTCATTCCTGTGACCAAGGTGACCTACTCCTGGAAAGGAAAATCAAACCACTACTTTGTATATGGAAATGAGTTTAAAGTTCACACAGATGACTATCCTGCTACTTGTTGCTGTTCTGTCATGTGATGTCTCATGTACTATATCTGTATCTTTCTAATTGTTCTTACATTAGAAAAAACGATTTTGCATATTTGACACAGCTTGTTACTGAATGTATAGACCTACACATATCCTACTATTATAAACACATAATTATAATGCAATTGTAACGCCGTGCAAGACTTATTAATAAGTAATTATATTAATACTGTTATTCTTAACATCATAATTTGACCACACACACACACACACACACTTTATTCACAATCAAATAAACTCTTAATAATAATAACATACAACGGGGATTATTTTGTTCCTATTGATTGGATTGTTTCGTTCCGAGAGGCTTGTTTTGACAAAGTTGAACATTTACATAATATTATATTTTGTAATAAATTCTTGTAAATACATTGGAGGTCTCGTCATTGAGAGCGGCCCGTCGCAGATGGAGTGACGCGTATAACGTGTTCGCCGCAATGATAATAAAGCGTAAACATAAAGCTATCGTTTACTGCTTTAAAGAGTCAAACGGGGCGTGTTTTTTCACCCAAACCCATCGTCCACATAAGACACAGCCGTCTGTTTCCTCTCCTTTATAAAAGATCTGCTCTTACTGAACCAGAGGGAGAGGTGAGCTGAACAACGCGGGGAAGTTAGCATTCCGGTAGCAAGCTAGCAAGGCTAAAGCTCCTTATAAGTGCGTTTTAACGATGCATATCATGTTTCTGTTCACGGTCGATTGTAATGGTAATGTAATATAAGCCGAATAATGTCCGTGTATTTTATACAGGTTTAGTAGAATACCGAAAAGGATTTTCTTTAGCTTAACTAAATCGAACTTGGCTAACAACATTAGCCTTCCTCATTCACCAACACAGTGATGAGTACTGGAGAAAGCTGGATTGCAACAGGCAGTCAATAATTGTTTAACAAACTAATACCTAAAAACCCCTTGTTAAAATAGTGTCTTTGTTTTTGCATGTTTAGCTTGAATCATGTGGTCAATACAGTGAGTTTGCTGTCACTTCAGACAAGAGTTGTTGCATGAGTTGCATTTTTTTTTCGCTTTAAGGCTACTTATGTAACAAACTGAGCAGTATATTTGAGCACTGTCTCACGGTCGATGCTGTACTTTTGGCTGTGTTCAAAGCACTGCACATAGGTTGTGCCATGGCCACAGCATCTGCCACTGTGGACTCCAAGGCAGAGTTGACTGCACTGTTGGAACAATGGGAAAAGGAACAACAGGGTGCTACTCAAGAACTGGTCCACATACTGACCAAGTATGTGCTTTTGATCAAAGACGTTTATATTTATATGTATTATCCTTAATTCTGAGATGTTTGTTCTCCTCTGCATACTGTAGGATCTCAGAGCTTGTGGAGAAAGAAACAGAAGAATACCACAAAGCAGATCCAGACCCATTTGATGATCGTCATCCTGGTAAAACATAACATTGCCTTTTTAAAGTGACAGTTTGTTTCTGACATTTCTTCTTTGGCCACTAGGGAGAGCTGATCCAGAATGTGTGTTGGGGCACTTACTGAAAATATTGTTCAAGAATGATGACTTTATGAACACTGTAAGAAGAAACCCTTCAAATACAATGAATGCAGTCCAGATAATAATGATACTTACCAATGCTTTCTTTTAATAGTTGGTGAATAGTTATGTGATGAACAGCAGAGAGTTTTCCCTAAATACTGCAGCTTGTCGCTTACTTCAAAACATCATGCCTGGGTTAGAAACTGCAGTGGTCTTTCAAGAAAAGGTGGATATTTGCATTTTATGGATGTATTATTTTGTATGTAAAGACTAACTTAATAGATGTATATGTGTTTCTCTAGGAGGGGATAGTTGAAAAGCTTTGCAAATGGGCTCAAGAGGCAGAGCAACCACTGCGAATTTATGCCACAGGTTTGTTGGCAGGTGCAATGGAGAATCAAGATATTGCTGCCAATTACAGGGAGGAGAACTCTGTCTTGGTTTGTAATCATTTTACATAGATGTTTACCTTTTTATACTATGCATGCACACCACAGAACATCTGCTTGATCTAATATATAAGAATTATTATCCTGGTAAATTTTTGTTAATAAAATGTCCCCACTAGGTGCCTTTGATGCTACATCGTTTGCGAGAACTTCTGGATAAAACCATCGAGAGCAAACGTCCCAGTCCGAGAAAGAGCTTGACTCAATCTTTACTGCCTCTAGATGAGGAGGCCGTGGATGGAAGCTTTGAGGACAAACCTTTCACACCAGTCAGAAATGGAGCTGAAAAGGATCTTAAAAACCCAGGCCCAGACGGTGAAAAGACATTTTCTGGCACTGAGCAAGAAAATGAAATGTCTTTTCGAATTAGTTCTCCTCACAGAACCAACACTCGCCCAAGCACCGCATTTAAAACCATGATGAAACCCATGTCTGCTTCAGAATTACTCATTAAACAGTCTGATGGAGGCAGCTATCTACGAAGAAAATCAGAAAGAGAAATTTGCAGGTTGTCAAAGCAGAACATAAATTTCTCTTTACCAGATCCGGAGAGATCCTTCAGTGAGCTGTCAAACAGCAGCTGGTCAGAGATGAGCCCCTGGGTCATTGGCAACAACTATCATCTTTACCCTTTGACTCCAGAGATTGAACAGAGATTAATTCTTCAGTATTTAACGCCTTTGGGAGAATATCAAGAGGTATTTTAGATTGATCCATTGTTTTGTATGCCACTGTGTCAGTGTTATTTTAATGAATACTAAATGTAATATGCATGTTTACTTAAAAAATATGCACTATTCTTCTATTGGACAATTTGAAACTTGCTAATTGTTGTCTTGCTAAGACTCTTTGGCCAGCAGATGTCAGCGTTGGTCAATTCAAACAAGTCATGAAAGTGACACATATATTGATTATTTGTATGGTACAATATTATTAATCAGACTGAATGTTAAAAGCAAGTTATTTTTGCAGCTTCTTGCCGTGTTCATGCAGATGGGAGCTCGGGAACTTCTCATGCATTATATGGATCTAAAGCAGACAAATGATGTACAGCTAACCTTTGAGGCCCTAAAGGTGAATACTGAAATATCTGCTGTTAATACCTCTATAATGACATTCTGCCTTACATCTGTATGCACTCTTTATCCACAGTATCTTGCTTCATTGTTACTTCACAAAAAATTTGCTGCTGAGTTTGTGGCACATGGGGGAGTTCAGAAATTGCTGGAGATTCCCAAACCGTCGATGGCTGCGACTGGAGTGTCTCTATGCCTGTATTATCTTGCCTATAATCAAGATGCGATGGAACGAGTACGTAAAACACATGGCTATGGACAGTTTAAAAATATATATATATTTTGTGAATCCTAATCTCATTTTTCTAAATTCACTTTTGGATCTTCACTTAAGGTGTGCATGTTGCCAAACTCTGTCCTGTCAGATATGGTCGGCTACACACTGTGGCTGCTGGAGTGCTCACATGCGTCCGGCTGCTGTCATGCTACCATGTTTTTCTCTATATCCTTTTCTTTCCGGGCTGTCCTTGAGCTGTTTGACAAGCAGGATGGACTCAGGCGCCTTGTAAACTTGGTAGGAATAAAATTGCATTGTACCATAAGGAGAAGTGACAATGTTTTTGAACAGAAATGACCTGTTTGCAGATCAGCACATTGGAGATCTTGAATCTTGAGGACCAAGGAGCTCTGCTGAGTGATGATCAGATTTTCTCCAGCAGGCAGACAGCCAAGCACACCTGCATGGCTCTGCGCAGGTACTTTGAGGCCCATCTGGCCATCAAAGTCGAACAGGTGAAGCAATCATTGCAACGCACAGAGGGAGGTGCCCCCATTCACTGCCCACCATATTACAAGGTACAAGGGATTCACTCGAATCAAATATGGTTATCAAATTTTGATGCCACCTCCTCACCATCACACATGAATATTATTCATCCTTCAATTTGTTTTTAACCAATTTTTTTACAATTTCAGAAAGCAAGTATTTAAGAAAAAGTTCATCAGTAATACAACTAGAGTGGCTTTTGAAAAACAAATTATAGTCATAATTAATTTTGAGACAGTTTTTCAAGTCAAACAACGCAATTAACTGTGTGTATTCTGTTAATTAGACCATGTTGGATTGTATTGTCTTTCTCCTGCTCCTAGATGGCTATTCTGTGCTCATGGTCATTCACAATTATCCATAGCAAACAATAAATAAATAAATCTTCTAACATATAGTATAAATGTTCTCAAGGTGCACATTAAATGAACAACATCACAAATGATGAAAAAAAAAAAGGAAACTGGTGGAAAGCAGTTTGATAACCACAGCAAATCTACTTATTTTCAGTGGGGGTAATAAAACACTGTTGTATCTAGTGTAATGACATAGACTTGAATGGTGTTTTCCAGGCTGTGAGCTACAGTCGCGAGCAGGTGGTGGAGATGATGGAGTTTCTAACAGAGTACAGTCCACTCAGACTGTACTGGGAACCTGCTGAGGTTTTTCACAAACTATCCTGTGTCCAGCTCCTTCTGCAGCTCATCTCTATTGCCTGTGATTGGAGAACATACTATGGCAGGTATGAGATTTGTGAGGCCAGTTTTGATGCACCCATTTTATGAACCTTAAAGTTAAAGGGGGAATTGGATAAGGCATGTTTATTTGTCTTCATACACAAGTAATTCATACACAAGGCAACTTTTGCTCTACGAGACAAGAAGGGAAACGGCAAACAAAATCCACTTTTTACAGCTTTGCATGGGTTTAATAGTACTTTATACTACGCTGTATTGTGAGGCACAAATTCCACAATTTCCCCCAAGGCGGGCTTCATGATTCACATTTCATAATCATGACGTTTAGCAGGGCCTCTAAATACATTTTTATTGTTCTTCATATGTATATATTTATATATACATATTTTTAGCAGATTTTATTGAATTATTCATGTATGTATTTACCTTATTTTCTCAGCTAAACTCTAACTCTATAATATATCATAGTATGTCAGTCTGGAGATTTAATGAACGAGATGGAGGGATGCAAAAATAAAAAAAACATATTGTAATAGCTGTCAATAACTGAAAAAACAAAAACAAAACATGCATGTCCTCTTTTAAATGCACATGTCTTTATAGGAGTGACACGGTTCGCTACGCACTAGACCTCCTCAGTATCCTCACAGTTGTACCAAAGACTCAGCTGCTGTTGTCTGAACCTGTAGCTGTGCTTGACGAGGCCGGTTCAACTTCCACCATTGGTGAGTGCATGAATAAGGTTACTAGCTACTGATAAAAAGCTGATTCGAATGTGCTTCTCTGCTTAGGAATGAGCATTGTCCTGGAAGTGGCAGAAGGAGAGATTTTTGTCAACGACGCTGAGATCCAGAAGTCTGCTCTCCAGGTCATCATCAACTGCGTATGTGCTCCAGACAAACGCGTGTCCAGCATTGGAAAGTTCATCTCTGGAACTCCTCGTCGCCGTCTGCCACAGCAAAGCAAGGCCAGCGAGAGCGTGCTCGCAAAGATGTGGAACGTGGTGCAGTCCAACAATGGCATCAAGGTATTCTTATTACTTTTTTTGTGGTCATTTACGTTGACAAATTTGGACTTGCAGTTTATATGCCTTGACAATTGGTAAAATCTTTTTTTACATTTTTTATGAAAACCTTGTTGAGACAACAAAAGGATAGAGCTGGAAAGAAAGATTAGCAAAAAATGCCATAAAAAACCCTCTTCTTATGGTTTAAACAAATGGCATTCATAACATTTTTAATTGTTCACCTGTGATTGTGATATTCTTGACTGTGTGCTGACCAAAACCCTGGGGCTACCCTGCATGTTTATTTAATGAGAAAGTGGCCTTTGATTAACTCTCAGAATTTTTATAAAAGATGGAGGACTACCAAAATCATTAACAGAAATAAATAAGTCAAAGGCCAAGTCGCTGTACAGAAAGATTTCTGTGTTCACATGTAGCAGTTCCGCTACTTTGGCACCTAATGGTTGATTTGTATGAAGTGTAAGGAAAATATGCCTATCTATATCCATAAACCATTTCCTCTACAGGTAGATGTTCCGATCACACACTCCTACATCCACATTCACACCTCTAGACCCCTTAGGTAAGCAGTAAAAATAAGGCTATAAAAAATCTAATATTTTCTTTTTTCTTTCAGGTGCTGTTGTCTCTGCTGATGGTGAAGATGCCTATAACAGACGCTGATCAGATTCGTGCCTTGGCCTGCAAGGCTCTGGTGGGCCTGTCTCGTTCAACTACCGTCCGGCAGATCATTAGCAAGTTGCCTCTGTTCAGCAGCGGACACATCCAGCAGCTCATGAAGGAGCCGGTTCTCCAGGACAAACGCAGCGAGCACGTCAAGTTCTGTAAATACGCCGCGGAGCTCATCGAGAGGATTTCCGGAAAACCTCTCCTCATCGGAACGGACGTCTCCCTGGCGTGGCTGCAGCGAGCCAGTGTTGTGGCTCAGTCCAGAATCTCGTTCCCAGAGAAGGAGCTCCTGTTACTCATCAGAAACCATCTTGTGGCCAAAGGTTTGAGTGATGCAGCTGCCACACTGAGCAAAGAGGCAGATCTCCCAATGGTTTGCGTTTCCCATTCCTCGCATACAAACCCTGCGTTCCCATGTGTCCCTGTTGCTCCCTCCACCTCCTCCCCTGTCACCACATTACCCAGGACCCCGCGGTTGGCAAATGGCGTTGGGTCAAGATTGACCAACCACGCCTCCACCCCTGGATCCAGTCATTCCCAACCTCGGACTAGCACTGTAGCCCAGCCCACACCTTCTGCTTCCACCTTTCCCCAAACAAACGCTCATCAATGCACTAACGGCTCCCCAGTCATCGGCCGCATTTGTTTCTCTCGTGAGCGACAAACCATAAGCTGCGGGAGTATAGGCTGCAAGAAACCGCGTGGGCTCAGACAAAAGTCTGACCATGGCGCCTTCAGTCAAAGCCCAGCAATGAAAAAACAATTCGACAGACATTTGCCCTCCCCTCCTGCGTTGGACAGTATTATCACAGAGTATTTGAGAGAGCAGCATGCACGATGTAAAAACCCTGTTGCCACCTGCCCCCCCTTCTCGCTCTTTACCCCACACCAGTGTCCTGAGCCCAAACAGAGGCGGCAAGCACCCATCAACTTCACTTCTCGCCACACGAGGAGGGTCATCTATCCCAAGTACGGAGGAGTGGACGGAGGATGTTTCGACAGACATCTCATCTTTAGCAGGTGTGTGTGTGATATATATTCTACGTAAAAAACTAAAACTATTATGAAACTTAATACATTCTCAAAATGGAATGGATACACACAAAATCATGTTAAGAGGACAAAATGGGAGATTCTTTGATACCACGTGATCATTTAAAAAATAAATCTGCAATTTTTAATTTCTGATCAAAAGCTGCTCAAAGTTGTCATTGTTGAGTATTTTTATTAGGACCAAAATAGTTTTTATTTTAATTGACGACACCAGTTCTACAATATGGTGGGTGGTGTTAATGCCTTTCAGAAAGGCCAGGCCTTTCCATATTGGGGTTGCATGTATCCACGTGTCTGAGTAGGTTTCCTCTGGGTGCCATGTATAATGGGAAGATTTCAATAAAATTTAGATGCAAGCCTGTTGGAGACAAAGATGACATAGTTCACCTTTATACCTCTTGGCAAATAAATACTTGTTTATAAAATTTTCAAATGTGTTTTTATTTTCAAGAAGAGCATTGGCTGTAAGGAGTAATGCTCCATAAATGCATTTTCAACCCTTTGGTTAGATGTTTAAACTCGACAATAAATATCAAATCATCAAATTTATTTATAAAGCACAATTCATACAGTGTAACCCAAAGTGCTTCACAAGCAAAAAAACAAACAAAAAAACAGTGTATATGCATATAAAATATTGTAATAAAAAGTTAAAAGTTACGAACATTAAAAAATAAATACTTCAGATTAGTCATATGCATACCTGAATAAGACAGTTTTAAGCCTGGACTTAAAGACCTTATGACGGGTTTGATTTATTTAGAAATACAGTTTTAATACCATTTTATATTAGAAGAGAACTACTAAAGGTTTCAAAATCAGTTGTTTTTTTTGTCTGATCCCCCCAAATCGAAATAACCCCATAGCAACGCCCTTAGAAACAAAAAAACTTCACAGCCCTTGGTGACGTCAGAACGGGTACGTTTCAATGCTGTAAGTTGTTTACAATTTGGTATTCATTCTTTTTTTGCGGATATTCAAGATGACAAGGCCGTGTACAGCGAGTCTAAGATAACTACTAGAATGTATATTTTTGTTGTCACTGAGATAGTCCAGTGGTTGTGTTGATGGACTGTCAATCCAGACACTTGGGTTCAAATCCCAACTAGGACACTTTTTCACATTCAAAACGGCAATTTATGTGTAGTGAGCAATTGTCACCTGTAGAGTGCAGTATTGTGTTGGGCATCAGTGGAGAGAAGAGAGAAAAGGCAGTCCTGTGGCATAGATCCATGGTTTTCAATGCATGGGCGTTACCCGCTATGACGTCACACACAGGTTAGAGCATAGACAACTTAAATTCATGAAAAACACGTTCTTTTTGTAAAATATAGGATTTTTTTTGCCGGAATCTCTTTCAAATTGACATTGTCATGCAATTTTGATATCCACTATTTTTAAAAAAAAAACCCGTCATAAGGTCTTTAAACATTGCCAGGGTCGAGGCCTGTCTCACAAGCTCAGGGAGACTGTTCCAAATTCTGGCTGCATAAATTTGAAATGCCGCCTCCCCATGTCCAGTCCTGACCCTAGGCACCAGCAGGAGGCCAGTCCCTGTGCTCCTCAGCGTCCTAGCCGGCTCATATGGCGATAACATTTCTCGAATATACTGTGGTGCGAGGCCATGAAGAGACTTATACACAAGTAGAGCTGCTTTAAAATCAATTCTCTGAGCCACAGGAAGCCAGTGCAGAGACTTAAGAACTGGACTAATGTGGTCGTACTTCCTGGTTCCAGTCAGGACTCTTAGCTGCTGCATTTATATCCCTTCCCTTCTTTAGATTTCGTCCCATCTCGGTGTTCAGAGAAGCGGACGAGGACGAGAGCGGCTTCATGTGCTGTGCCTTTTCGGCTCGAGAGCGGTTCCTGATGCTCGGGACGTGCACCGGACACCTCAAACTCTACAACGTGTTCACGGGACAAGAGGAGGCCAGCTACAGCTGCCACAGCTCCGCCATCACACACCTGGAACCTTCACGGGTCTGTGCTGCCATTTCATGAGACATGTTGAGAAAAGAAACTCTCAGTTTTGTCTAACTCAAGATAAAATGCTTTCAGGATGGTTCACTGCTTTTAACATCTGCCTCTTGGAGTTATCCTCTGTCTGCGCTGTGGGGGATGAAGTCTGTGTTCATTATGAAGTGAGTTTGGAACAGTTTTTCTGCTTTGAATTCAACTTTACACAAAAGACACAGCACAGTCAACATGTCTTTGTAAAAATAATGAATAATAGCAATGTCATTATATTATGTCCCCATAAATGAGGCTAGGAACTAAGATCTGGTTTCCAAATCCAGGACTGAGACCTAGACCAAGTTTATGATGTAACCAGTGTCTAAATCGTCATATAATTATCAATATTATGCACTGTAATTGCTAGGAATTGCTTGGAAGACCCGCTCCTATCTTGCATATGGAGTAACGGAGGTTTTGTACATGGCTGAAACCTATATTCATAAAGTGGCAGATGGTTATTAAGTGCTCACCCTTTTGTTTCCTCAGGCATTCGTTTTCAGGAGATCACTACGTGGAGTTCAGTAAGCTTTCACAAGACCGGGTCATCGGCACAAAAGAGCACATGGCAAGAGTAAGAACCAACATTGTATTTATATTTGTTTTTTATTAAGATATTAGTAACATAATAGTATTTTGTGTCACAACATTGTAGCCTCAACAAAATTAAGTTATTTTTAGCTCAAATCAAACTAATATCAGGAACTTCTGGCCCTAACTTTTTCCATTTTTCTATTCTCAAACTGGGTAGACCAATTTTTTTTCACAAACTGCACTATTTTTTATGCATTTTTAAAACAAAAGTATTGCTTCTGACTTAGTTTTGTGAGTCCTATTTCTACCCTATGCCCACGTCGTTGCATCAGAATCATCTCTGGGACAAGTGGTCGTATTTATCCATGACTTATACTTAGCCTCACATTCTAAAATATTCAGAGCCAGACAAATAAACAGATTTTTATTTTTTTATTTTGCACTTTTATCTTCTGCATTGGTTTGATGTTTGAAACTGTTTTTGTAGATCTATGACATCCAGACGGGACAGGTGACGCTGACCCTCAATAATCCCGATCTGGCAAACAACTACAAGAGGAACTGTGCGACTTTCAACCCCACGGACGACCTGGTGCTGAACGACGGCGTGCTCTGGGACGTCCGCTCGGCTCAGGCCATTCACAAGTTCGACAAGTTTAACATGAACATCAGCGGAGTGTTTCATCCCAACGGACTGGAGGTCATCGTCAACACGGAGATCGTATCCTTTCATACAGGCTCATCTCTTCTTCCTCACACTTGCTGGTCTGGTTCACTTTAGCTTCTGGAAAAAAATACTTTCTATTCTATTTCAAAACTTTACTGCGAGAAAGTACAGTTAGTGTACATTTCTCCACTGTGAGATGAATAAAGCTTATCTTATCTTAGTGGACACATTCACTTTCTTATTTAGAACATTTATTTTCTCATAACTCAAAATGATGGACACAGATGTTCTAGGACATGTCGTCTGAACAGGGTTTACATGCATGAATTAAGCATTTTTCTACAACCTGGCAATGGATAAAGGGGAGGAAAAGAGAGATAGATGGAGTTGACTACAATCCAGGTTCCACAAATGTAAGTTATGTTCCTTATCTTGAGTTTTAGTGGGATCTAAGAACCTTCCACCTCCTGCACACTGTTCCTGCCCTGGACCAATGCAGAATAGTCTTCAACAATAACGGGACCGTCATCTATGGAGGTAAATACTCATATGCGAAAGGACCAACATGTTTCACCTTTTATATTCTATGAGTTCAACTTGACCGTGACCACCTGCTTTCGGACTAGACTGTCTAATGAGCTTGAGTTACTAGATACCTGCAAACATATAAAACAACTATAGAAATTATAAATCTGTCTGCATCTTGTAAAATCAAATACTTGCAAGGGGGTGGTTAGTACGGAAGCTTGTTAGGTTCACTTGTGAGTGTGTTTTTTTTCCCGCTGGTATGTTATTTCATGATACTTTCATGAAATAACATGATAAATATCATGTTATTTCCATCCATCCATCCATTTTCTTCCGCTTTATCCGTTGCCGGGTCGCGGGGGCAGCAGTCTAAGCAGAGACGCCCAGACTTCCCTATCCACACACACCTCCTCCAGCTCGTCCGGGGGGACCCCAAGGCGTTCCCAGGCCAGCTGAGAGACATAGTCTCTCCAGCGTGTCCTGGGTCTTCCCCGGGGTCTCCTCCCGGTGGGACGTGCCCGGAACACCTCCCCAGGAAGGCGTCCAGGAGGCATCCTGAACAGATGCCCGAGCCACCTCAACTGGTTCCTCTCGACGTGGAGAAGCAGCGGCTCTACTCCGAGCTCCTCCCGTGTGACCGAGCTCCTCACCCTATCTCTAAGGGAGCGCCCAGCCACTCTGCGGAGGAAGCTCGTTTTCGACCTCTTGTATCCGCGATCTCGTTCTTTCGGTCATTACCCACAGCTCATGACCATAGGTGAGTGAGGGAACGAAGATTGACCGGTAAATTAAGAGCTTCGCGCTTCACACTCGGCTGCAAACCGTCCCAGTGCATGTTGCAGGTCCTGGTTCGTTGGAGCCAGCAGGACGACATCATCCGCAAAAAGTAGAGATTAAATCCTGTGGTTCCCGAACCGGACCCCCTCCGGCCCCTGGCTGCGCCTAGAGATTCTGTCCATAAATACAGTGAACAGAACCGGTGACAAAGGGCAGCCTTGGCGGAGGCCAACATGCACCGGGAACAGGTCTGACTTACTGCCGGCAATGCGAACACAGCTCTGGCTCCGGTCATACAGGGACCGAACAGCCCTCAGCAGAGGACCCCCCAAAGGACACCCCGGGGAACACGGTCGAACGCCTTCTCCAAATCCGCAAAGCACATGTGGACAGGTTGGGCAAACTCCCATGAACCCTCGAGTATCCGATGGAGAGTGTAGAGCTGGTCCAGTGTTCCGCGACCGGGACGAAAACCACACTGCTCCTCCTGAATCCGAGATTCGACCATCGGACGTAGCCTCCTCTCCAGTACCTTGGAGTAGACCTTACCGGGGAGGCTGAGGAGTGTGATCCCACGATAATTGGAACACACCCTCCGGTCCCCCTTCTTGTAGAGAGGGACCACCACCCCGGTCTGCCACTCCATTGGCACCGCCCCCGATTGCCACGCGATGTTGCAGAGACGTGTCAGCCAAGACAGTCCTACAACATCCAGAGACTTTAGATAGTCAGGACGGATCTCATCCACTCCCGGCGCCTTGCCACCATGGAGGCTGCCAACCACCTTGGTGACCTCGGCCAGGGAGATAGAAGTATCCGCCCCAACATCCTCAGCCTCTGCCTCCTGGACGGAGGACGTGACGGGGGGATTGAGGAGAACCTCGAAGTATTCCTTCCACCGCCCGACAATATCCCCAGTCGAGGTCAGCAGCCCTCCACCCGCACCATACACGGTGTTGGCAAAGAACTGCTTCCCCCTCCTGAGGCGCCGGACGGTTTGCCAGAACCTCTTCGAGGCCGACCGATAGTCATGCTCCATGGACTCTCCGAACTCCTCCCAGTCCCGGGTTTTTGCCTCTGCAACAGCCCGGGCCACGGCACGTTTGGCCTGCCGGTACTGGACAGCTGCCTCAGGAGTCCCACGAACCATCATTGCTCGATAGGACTCCTTCTTCAGCCTGACGGCATCCCTTACTGCCGGTGTCCACCACCGGGTTCGGGGATTGCCGCCGGGACCAGCACCAGAGACCTTGCGACCACAGCTACGAGCCGCCGCATTGGCGATAGAGGAAGAGAACATGGTCCACTCGGACTCGATGTCCCCCTCCTCTGCCGGGACCTGGGAGAAGCTCTCCCGGAGGTGTGAGTTGAAAGTCCGTCTGACAGGGGGCTCAGCAAGACGTTCCCAGCAAACCCTCACTACACGCTTGGGCCTGCCAGGTCTGACCGGCCTCCTGCCCTGCCAGCGGATCCAACTCACGACCAGGTGATGATCGGTTGACAGCTCCGTCCCTCTCTTCACCTGAGTGTCCGAGACACGCGGTCGAAGGTCAGATGATACGACTACAAAGTCGATCATCGACCTCCGGCCTAGGGTGTCCTGGTGCCACGTGCACTGATGGACACCCTTGTGCTCGAACATGGTGTTCGTGATGGACAGGCCGTGACTGGCACAGAAGTCCAACAACTGAACACCGCTCGGGTTCAGATCAGGGGGGCCGCTCTTCCCGATCACCCCTCTCCAAGTGTCACTGGCATTTCCCACATGGGCGTTGAAGTCCCCCAGGAGAATAACGGAGTCCCCGGGCGGTGCACTGTCCAGTACCCCTCCCAAGGACTCCAAGAAGGCCGGGTACTCTGCACTACCGTTAGGCCCGTAGGCCGTCACAACAGTGAGAGACTTGTCCCCCACCCGGAGGCGGAGGGACGCGACCCTCTCATTCACCGGGGAGAACTCCAACACGTGGCGGCTGAGATGGGGGGCAATGAGTATGGCCACCCCAGCTCGCCGCCTCTCCCCGCGGGAAACACCAGAAAAGTGGAGCGTCCAACCCCTCTCAAGGAGTTGGGTTCCAGAGCCCAAGCTGTGTGTGGAGGTGAGGCCGACTATCTCTAGTCGGTATCGCTCAACCTCCCCCACAAGCTTGGGCTCCTTCCCCCCCAGTGAGGTGACGTTCCACGTCCCAAGAGCCAGATGTTGGGTGTGTGGACTGGGTCGTCGAGGTCTCCGCCTTCGACTGCTGCCCAGTCCTCTCTGCACCACCTATCATGAAATCATGTTATTTCATGATACCAATTTATCAGAAGCTGACAGCTTATTCTTCTCCTGTATCTACAGTATCATGTTATTTCATGATAAACTGGTATCATGAAATGACATGATAAATTGGTATCATGAAATTTCATGATAAATTGGTATCATGACATTTCATGATAATTGCGTATCATGAAATAACATGATACCAGCGGGGAAAAAAACACACTCACAAGTGAACCTAACAAGCTTCCGTAGGTTACTGGTTTTTCCTCAGCTTTAGGTTTGGAAAGTCCTGCTTTAAATAGTAAAAATAACATTGCATTTTATAGTGCCAAATGTAAGTACCCTGAGAGCCTTTAATTTGTAAAAAAAATAAAAATCCCATTGAAAAGGATAAAAAAAAAAATTCTCCCATTTATTTCACCGTGTCCATTTACAGCAGTGTCTGGAGAATAGACTAGAAGAATCTTTTTGTTCAGTTATAGCTTTTATTATTAGCTATAACTAAACAGCATTAAAACTCTTTAATTCGAATTGACAAAACTGGGAGCAATCCTGGACACACTTCAGCCTCATGAACTCCGGAGTAGAAATGCCAAAGTCAGTCAAACAGCCAGGACTTGAGGGACAAAGCGTGACCCAGCTCCGTATCTGGGCCTTGTTCCCACATTGCCATAGAGGCATATGGCTGAGAGCTCAGATTTGGACGGTCCGCCGTGGAGCCAGCTGGTTCCTCACACATTCACAGGGAGAGCGGTCGACGTGCCACAAAGGCTCTGCCCTGACGACGGCCACTTGAACTCTCGCTGAGGCCAAGATATATTTACTTTTCTTTATGTCACAGCCATGTTGCAGGCAGACGACGAGGACGACATGATGGAGATGCAGATGAAGTCACCGTTTGGCTCCTCGTTCAGAACCTTCAACGCTACAGACTACAAACCAATAGGTATTTTTGGTATTCACTTCCATTCAGTTTATTTTTGTACAGCCCTAAGCCACAACAGCAGTCGTTTCAGAGGACTTTACAAAATTTTCGATTCACCAACAACTGATTAGAAAATAAAATGGTTTGAACACAGGAAATGCAATAATAAACACACAGGAGCCATTGGTTAATGGCAGGGGTGTCCAAACTTTTAAGTAAAAGGTCCACTTTAGTTCAACAGACTAAAAATAAAATGTAATTTTTCATGTAAAACATGATACAGAATATTACATTTTCTCATCTTTATTGTCAAATATTATGCAATATAATTCTTATTTTAAAGAGGAGCTAACATGCAATATTGATCTCTGTACGTTGTAGTCGTCCTCTTCCCTTGCGTTCAGAGTGATTCATTCATGTTTGAGTCATAAATGCGGCCCCTCCCCTGCGGCTCCTGACACAACCACTTGTTTTACTGATGTTTAATGAATCTGCAATACTCTGATGATTCGTCAGCGTTATGCTGGTGCTTTTGCTCAAAGTAAAAACAAATCCATTGTTTAACTTGATCTACAGTGATGTTGTATCAAGGGGCAGAGTGCGGAACAGTATGGCAGGAATGAACAGTTCTCATGCTTGTTCATTATTGAGATGGTACAAAATGTTTGAGCCACTAGATGTTATGTCTACTTAAAACTTTAGAATAAATATTAATCACATTGTGGTAAAAATTCTAATACTTCCTGATTTGATTGTTTGTTTTTTTCCAGCAACAATTGACGTGAAGAGGAATATTTTCGACCTTTGCACCGATACAAAAGATTGCTATCTGGCAGTGATTGAGGTAAAAACTCAAATATCTTTGGGAATCAATGCAGGGAATAATTGTTTTTATTTCTCTTGAAGAATCAAGATTCAGTCAACACGGACACGGTCTGCCGCCTTTATGAAGTTGGACGTCAGCGATTAGCAGAGGAAGAGGAGGATGAGGAAGATCAGGTAAAATGAGATTTGCCTTATGGCCCTTATCACGAGAACGACTGCTGCACTGGACTAAAAGCCGGTTCCATGTCTGCTGAGGATTAGACGTTTTGTTTATATCTCGATCTATGGAAACGTTTCCCATGAGGATTCGGGCTAAATTACAATCTCTGAGGACTTCACACAACCGTTGAATTTGTCAACACAAATCAGAGAATCACACTAAACAGAAAACGCATTGGTATTGATCCAAAAGGGGCAGATGACCAAAGTAGTGTTGTTGAATGTTGAGTGTCCTGGATCATCACCACCGTGCTTTTAGTTAGACTTCAAGGAGTCTAACAGACCTTGTTGCATGGGCACGGAAACACTCTTTACCCAGTGGGAGAAGTGAGTTTATGTCGATGGACTTGCAAGCTAGCGAGACCAATCCAAATATTATAATAGATGTATTGTGATTGGACTAAAGGGCACATGACCAGTTTGAGATATTAGCACAGATGGAGCTTTAAAGTAAATCTAGGTCTGTTCATGACAAGGGAACACGGTTGTAACCTGGTCTTAACCCTTTAAGCGCCAAAGTCGCAATATTGCGACAAGCAACATTGCTCACTTAAACAGGCTGTATGTAAAAATGTGGTGCAGAATCTTGTTAATACTTTTCACCAGGGGTTAGTGGACATGTGTGCCTGTGATATGAGCAGCATTTGTGGGTGTGGTTAAATTGAAAGTTTTTGAGTAAATTGAGTTCGTAAAACACCTGCGGCGCAGCGGCGCGGAGGCGAAGCAGCAGCGGTAGAGCTGAGAGGAGCGAGAGCAGAGCAGAGGGAGAGAGGGTTTTTTATTTACTCACGAGGTCTTCAGTACCAGAGAAGTACTTGGTCTGGGTACTGGCCCACTCAGATTCAGAGGAGGAACACATGCAGGTGTCCAGTGAAGCAGACACGGACATTATTGGTGACGAGGAGACCGCGCTCCATAGTCCACAATCAGCCCCTGTGCAGCGGCTGCTTGTCCTCCGTGTGGCCGCGGTAGAAGCATTCTGTGAACGCCAAGCAGGGGCCGTGGTCGAGGGGACAGGGGGATCATAACACCGGGCATGTGGGAGAAAGTAGTGGGGGTAGACATCCACGGGGAACACGGGAGACGCGGGAGAAGTCGCGGGAGAGCCGCGGGAAAAAGCACATCGCTAATTGCGTTCACAGCGATGATGAGGATGAAGGCAGTTCTTGAGAGAAAATAATACACAGAAGTGTTGAAGAGCCTGTTGTTTCTTGTTGAGACGATCTGACATGTTCTGAGCCCATTCATTTCATCTCTCTGTTTCTAAACGGTAAATCCTGGAGCCTCATTTCCACTGAGAAAAATAGTAAGCCCACCACTTCTTTGAAAGGGAAGTATTGAAACCAATCTCCAGATTTCATGACTGTAAACTATGAAGAGTGCTGTCTTGATCACTGAAGGTCTTTGAAAATAATACAATTCCATATGGCCGCGAACCAGTGCTAAAACATTATCTATAATCTGGATCAGGGAATTTATTTCTATCCCAAATTCATTTCATACTAAAGATATTTCACATTGACTGTTTATAGTATTCCCTGATCTCAAATAACTCCCAAGCTACAGCTTTTTGAAGTCTTTATACAATAATTAACATTTTCCAAAATGGCCGCCACCTTGATGACGTCACAATATGCAAATTAGATGACGAATCAACTTCCATCCCAAAGTTTGGTTCAAACTGAATATATTTCTAATTTACAGTATGCCTTTATCTCAAACCATTTTAAAGTTATAGCCTTTTGAAATCTTGAAATCAAAATTGTATATTTTCTTGAAAAAACTCTGGCGCCTAAAGGGTTAAAGCTCCAGAAGACGTCTCTCTCTCTTCTTCTTCTTCTTCTGCATTGCCTTTGCTTGGCTCCTGTCAGGACGACGAGGACCAGGACGATGATGACGATGACGATGAAGACTCTGACGATGACGTGGACACGGACCCTCTGATGGCGGAGCTGGAGGAGAACGACCAGGACGGAGTGGAGGACGAGGACGGAGCCGCAGAGTTCTCTCCCTCCGACGACGACGCGGAGCAGCTCCTGGATGAAGACGCCGACAACGTGGGCGACGACGAAGACAATAACGATGACGATGATGACGATGACGACTCGGACAACGATGACGTGGATTTGGACGGAGACAATGGTGAGAAGCTTTTCCAACAGAACTTGTGTGATACCAGAATGCTTTTGTGTCCTGAGGGGTCGCTATGTGTGGCGAGCAGGGACTGGCCTCCTGCTTGTGCGCATCAGCCATCTGGCAGTCTTCCTGAAAGTGTGAGACAAGCTTCTGGCAATGTTCAAGTCTAGATTTAGGTTCTTTTTATCTGTGCGTTCTCCATGGAGACAAAACCTACTATTGCCCCCCTTTACACAAACACACACAAATGTACAGACATTACTTGAATTATAGATAGTTTTTTTTGTCTCTTGTTTTGTAAAGTCCTTTTTGTAGGTGTTCATTCAAAAGTTTAAATATCCAGAGTGACACAACGGAGGCTAACAAGGCTGCTAGCAACTGTTCAGCCAAAATAAACTATTAAAACACTACAAAAACATATTTAATGTTTGATAAACTTTATTAATATATATATATATATATTATGGTAATTTCTCATCACAAACTGATCGTCCCCGGACAAACACGCATACAGAAGTTTTGAATATTTTTATAATAAATGTTTTTCTTAATCATATGGACATTCTTTGTCCAGGAAGCTCTGCCCATGATGCAGCTCTATGACTCATTCCTTCACTATTAGAGAAGTTTTCTGGTAAAACAAATCAGACGGCTAAATGAGCCTCACATGAGTCTTTGGGTCATTACCAGTTTTAATGGTATAATTCAGATCAATCATTACTGACACTGGCAATCCAACTTCAGTTATAAGTGTAGTTTTGGTTTGTAAACAAGGTTTCAAACGCTATATTGTTTTTAGCATACGTGTCTGTACATTTTAGACGTTAATGTACGATGTGTAGACCTGCTTTCCTCTGGTCGGGTGAAGACTCGGTGAAGGTCCACTGCACACGGTGAATGTTGCTATGTTTTTCTATTTACAGACAGCTCTGACAACTCTGACCTTGAGGACGACATCATCCTCTCTCTGAACGAGTGAGAAGCATCTGGAACCAAAACCCTGACGACAGTTGTCAAAGTCTCTGCTGCAAAACGACTCAAACCTGCACAAAACTCGTGCCGGCCCGGCCTTAAGCAGAGGCGCCTGTGCATACGGACCAGCACCAGGGCAGACAGTGGGTCACGCTTGATTGTACATAGTATAGTTTTATGCTACTATGAAGTGAAGTCAAACTGCATTTCATAAGTGTGGCGTGGTTAGCGGTGCACTAAGAAAATGTTTTATATTTTTACTACCTGCACCTTTTTCATTCAAAAAGACAAGGCTACATGGTTGTGAATCTGTTTGTACTGCAATTGATATGATTTTTGTTTTCTCTTCTGGGTGAACTTTTTGTAATAACCAAATGGTACCATCTAAACTGGCAGCTGGCAGCGACACATGCTCAGAATCTGTGTCAGTCATAAGTGCTATTCAAGCTCACAGCGACGCCGTCAACATGGTTTCCTTCTTTCTTATGGTGTGTCATAAAACTGGTCAAGTTGAATTCCCGGAGAATGATACAATCATTCCCATTTATAGTTACCAAGTACCAGAGCGTGGACTTCAGTCTAAGCTGTTGGTATTCAAACAGTAGTTCTTCAGATTGGTGTTATTATCTGGTATATAACATGTTTCTGAAATGGCAATGTAAAAGATATGCTGAAAAGACATACCTCAATTTGTGTATTTTCTCTTTAAAAAAAAGAATTGATCAAACATATTTTACTCATTTCTTTTCCTAAAGGAGTATTTTTATGTTATGACTACTTGTGTAAAGCTTGTATGTATCAAAAATATTTTTACTATAATTAAAACTTCAAATCACATTCTTGTGGTTCTTTTTATTACATACATTTACGACCTAATGATAATGACACAGATCAGAACCAGTGTAACCACGTGAAAGCTAGAACCCAATAGACTTCTGAAGCTGTGCAGGGTAAGGCCTGGTTAGCACTGCGATGGGAGACTTGGTAACACAGTGGGGTGGCTGTAAAGTGTTGAGCTGTTGCTGTGTCCTTAGGCAAGACATATTTCACCCACATGAGTCTGGTGTGTGTGTGTGTGTGTGAATGGTTGGTGGTGTTTGGAGGGGCCGATGGCACATACTGGTTGCCTCGCTTCTGTCTTTCACTAGGGCAGCTGTGGCTATGGTAGTAGTGCATCACCACCGTGTATTAAATAATGACATGTGAAGCATCTTTGAGTGTCCTGAAAAAGCTATATAAAAACAAGGCATTATTATTATTACGAAGATAACTTGCTTACTAAAGCACACAATCTTTACCCAGACCCAGTTTTGTGAGCAGCTGATTGAAGAGGACTTTTCTTATCGCCTCCTCTCCTCTCTATTGTCTGCTGGCATTGAGTCTGTTCAAACCAATGGCAGCTCTCCCTCTTTCTTTCTCAACCGCAGCAGCCAAGCAACGTCAAAACAGTCACTCCTGCTCAATGTTTTATCAGCATATGCACATCTCACCGTTACCAGTTTAAGATGAGACTTGACAGACTTCCTGCCTCCATCGGTGCCATATTGACACCGTACACGCTTTACATGCCTGTATCTTTATGCATGTGTTTTTTAAATCCACCCACAATGTTCCACTTGAAGTAATAGACAGATGGGAGTCGGTCACAGCGCTGCTATGATGGAGAGAAACCACCCCGCTGAACGCTGCCCTCCCTCCCACACTACATCAAATGCACTAAACACTGTTCACCAAATCACAGTTTTTGCTTATTACATAATTCTTCTCTTCATGCAGCGCAGTTAAAAACACAAACACAAGCGACGGTGCTCATGAGTGCAGTACAAGCTGTAATGTGAAACTGTTTGTCCGTTTTCTAACTGTAGAGAGATCTTGACCCTTTTGGCCGTGACTTTCAGGGGTTGCTTCAGTGACTTGTCTTGTTTACAAAACTCATATCTGCTCTTTGCCTCAAGATTCTGCCAAATATTCTCAATTGTTTTGTGTGTGCCTTATACCTATTTTTACCAACAAAAACAAATTCTGATCCGAAAGCTTTAAATTCCGCAGCGACAGTGGCTCAGTTGGTAGAGCATTGGTCTTCGGGTCTGTTGGTTGTGTGTTCAAGGTCTACTCCATCTACTTCCATGTCTGTTGTTGTTGTGTCCCTGGGCAAGACCCTCTGCCTGAAGCTTCCCAGAAAGTTCAAGGACCCACCTCCTGTAGGAGCATCAGTGAGGGGCTGGCCGCTGCATTGTCACCCTCCAGACCCTGAAATAAATATCAAGTCCTGTATCACAACAGCTTGTCTCTTCAGAAACTCTTCAGAGTTCTTCAGAAAAAAACGGCCAACAACAGGAAATGCAATAATAATAAACACATAGGAGCGGGATGAACTGTCCATATATTTGAATAAATATCCCGGATCATCACTGTCCTTAGACCCTTCTTAGACGTGTCGGCAAGGAACGGCTGAAACAGGTGATCCACAGGCCAACTGTCCCACAGGATCATGTTGTCCATTGCAGTAAAACAAAGCAACAAAAAATCTTGGACACAATTGTTTAAACTTTTTTTTATATATCAATTATTTTAATATATTTTGATGAAGACATATGCACACATTGCAAATTGAAGCATGAGGCCAAGTACAGAGAAATTTTGTTGGATCTGACGGCTACAAGGGGCAAAAAGCCTCATTTCTTTACCAAATTGTATCATATTGACTTGCCCTGTAGTGATTCATGTACCATATAATGATTGATGTATTGAGGGTTGGATCACATCTGCAAATCAAGACACTAAGCTCTATTGTCCAATCCCGATCTCATTAAAGATCAAGGGTGTGGGACCTTTAGCTTTGTCATTAAAGGTGCACGGTGCAACTTTTATGTGGAGTTTGCTGAACGCTTGCTGCTATGGAGATGTTATTGATAGCCCCTCAAACCTTGTAGATTATTTAATTAAATGCTTTTACTCTTCGAAAACCTGAATTCTTACCATGGGTCTTTGCCTTGTGCCCTCAATAGCTTCACAAGCAAATAAAGGTGCTCCACAAAACAAGAAAATAAACAACCAAATTACACAATGCATTAAATCATAAATAATCACAATGCATTAAAAAGAAAAAAAAATCTCTCAGTTGTATGCAGAGCTAACCCGAACTGTTTTTAACCTGGATTTGAACATGTCGGAGTAGAAGCCTGTCTCACATATTCAGGAAGACTGTTCCAGATATTTTGCTGCATAAATCTGAATTGCTGCTTTTGGTAAATTTCATATGTACCCAAGCAGAAAGCAAACTCTTCAGCAGTGTGCGTATAGCTGTATTTGTCTTAATGTATTCCAATGTGGAGATGGAAGCATGCATCTTTGAGTCGCCCTCAGTGGGAAGTGCAGAGTGATATAGGACAAACTGTGCTGCAAGTCTGTCCCACACCTCTTCTCTGTGGCTTAGTAAGACGCTGTAGGAGTTATGATTAAGCATAAGTCACTGCTGAGTAGAAAGTGCATATAGATAAAGTTGGGGGAAAGACTAAATGTGCTTTTGTGGCAGGGTGGTACAGAGACCTTGGGGCGAAACTACAACAATTCAAATGGGAAATGACTGGTTTCTTATCAATGGGATCATGACTGTGTGGAGAAGCCTCATAGTTGATGTGATATGACTCAACCAGGAGGTGCTTCCCGCGTATGTGACCTGGAGATTCATGACCACAGCCCCCATGGCCCCACAGAAACCACGGCCCCTAAAGAACCACAGCCCCCGGGTCCAGTCCCCAGCGGAGGCTCCTGTCTGAACGCAGGCGTCAGTGTGGACAAAACAGCATGTGATGAAGATGGCGCAGCTTATGTTGTATCTCATGTATCCTCCACTTCTTTGCAGCAGGTCGCCGTGAGCGTTGCGTCCTATTATAGCCGCTAATTACCGACTGTGCGGGAATTGTTTGCGCAAAGAGGGTCGTATCTGAGAAGCGGCTGGACTTGAAACTGGGAATAAATGAAAGAAGCCAGAAGAATGCGGCTCTGAGTCATATTGACGAGAATCGACTTGGCTTTTCGCATTTCTTGAAACGCTGACAGCTTTTGTGAGACTAGCGGTGAGCGTGCGTGCCTACGTAAACGTGTTTGTGCGTTACATTAGGTGGACACGGACACTGCATCAGCCCGAGACGCCGGGACATAATAGAGCCCAGAATCTGAGGCTTTGGCGCCTGATTCCTCCCTTTTTACTCCATGCGTCCAGGACTCTGCATCCACTCGACATGTAGCTGTGTGCGCACACAGAGCAGAAAGGCGATGTTTGCCTTCGCTTCTTGATCCAGCAGCAGCATTCTGCGATAACAACATAATGAGGCTCTCTCTAACGGAGGAACATTAAGCAGAATGTGGTTGCCTACAGAAGAGGAGAAAATCGGAGTTGGTAAGTTAATTATATCATTCCCCTCGATTGTCTTTGATTTCATTCTCATTGCTGCATCAAACACTCGCTCTGGGTATTGACATCCAGCATTAGATGCACATTTAGCAGATATTTATTAAATATGGCTACTGGAAAGCATATACTCCAAGCGAAACGCTGCATAGAAGGGAATTGCGTGGGATGATATAGTCTACAAGATGCTACATTAGCGATGCGGTGGCTGTACCTTTTACACAGCTTTAAAACGAAGCTAAAGCGACATTACTGCTTTTGATAAAAATGCGTCAGTGTGGGTTGGTCGTTTATGTTTTTCTTGTATCGTGTGTGAAAGGGAGAAAAGGGGAAAAAAATGAATTCACGCTGCTGCCACAAGGGGGCGTCGTGACTGCGTCCCTCCAACAGGTGTAGGCTGCTGGAGTGAGGCTGGTACCTGTGGTGTAGGGAGAGTGCTGCAGTAACAAACTATTGTCCAGAGCTAACGATGTGGCCTTGTTCAAACTTTAGACCAACAGGTAGCGGGCTGCTCAAACCCCAATCCAAACATTTCTCATTATTATCATAAGCCGCGGTAAGTTTTAGTCCCATATGCTGCCATTAGGAGTGACTCATGTCCACAGCGTAGTTTCAGCGCCACATGATGCTACACCCACACGTTTTATTTGGGGAGGTCGTGTGTGTCATGACTAGATGCAGAGGCCTTAACCTTACGCAGTGCACGTAACATAACACAACATAACGTAGTGATTATAATCCCATTGGCTCTGGTGTGTGTGTGCAGAGATGTGTGCGCAGATAGAGGTTCGTGAAGGAGAAATAGTGCAGTTTTACAACAGCAACAGATCAGTGTGTGTGTGCGTGAGAGAGAGAGAGAAAGAGAGTGTATGTGTGTGTGTGTGTGTGTGTGTGTGGAGCCTGCAGACCTGCGCTGTCCGTGGTGCTGAAACTTCCACACGGACTAAAAAGGCTTCAGCACTTTGGAAAGGTGACACACGCATTCGCCCATAGCTCAGTTTACCTTTTCACACTCAACCCAGTGCTTTGTGACTCACCTGAGCTCATGGCCTATATGTACTTGGTCCTATAGGCCTGCACTGACGACAGCTTTTGTTTGACTATGAGTTCAAGAATCTACTATGATCAGCAGGTTGCGTACATTCGATCGATTCAATTTCAATTCAAGTTATTTATGTAAGCCCCTTGAGATGAAAGATTGCATTTGAAAGATGGACCAACCTTCACCAGGAGAATTCTCTTAACATCACTGTTTCATGTTGCACAAAAAATCCCATAATACACTAGACATGTGTCATTGTGCACATACGGCCGAGTAATGAGGGTTGAGCTTTTAACTTTCCGAGTATGTGTTACATTTGTAGACAAACCTAGATGTCTAAACCTAGAATCTTTCTAGATTCGACAAGATCAAACATGGCCCAACACACAGTGCAACTCAACATGCTTTACTAAACGAGAGAGACAAAGTTTAAGTTGTATGCACAGTGAAGTAAAGTGTTTAAAACCTGGATTTGAACATGGTCAGAGTAGAAGGAAGAAGAAGGACAGAAGTGAGAAGACTGTTACAGGTTTCAGTGGCGCAAATTTGAAATGCGGACTCCCCATGTTTAGTCCTGACTCTGGGCACCTGCAAGAGACCAGTCCCTGTGATCCTCAGAGTCCCAATAGGAGACCAGTCCTTGTGCTCCTCAGAGTAGGATCTGGTTCATATGGCACTAACTTGTCACTGATGTACTGTTTGTGTGAGGCCATGGAGAGATTATATAAGTCAGGAAACAAGCTTGAACAAGAAATTATAGAAATGACCCTGACCCTAACCCTACGTTGATGATGGGTTGTGGGCTGGGTCAGACTGCCTGGAAGTTGAATAGTCCTGATCTTTACAGTAGGAATGGGGAAGAAGGTTTAATGTCCACCCGTCTGGATGTCAAAAGTATGGACAATCACCTCCCCTAAAACTAGAATAAAACCTTTGTGGTATCTATTGTTATTATGTCTTTGAAAATGACAACTTAAAAAGAAGCTTTTGGTACAATTGGTATCAAGTCTGTTTATTAGCATCAAAATCGAACCACAAGTTGCAATTTTTCTTTTTACAGTTTTTCATGTGACTTGGAGAAAAACCTGAGTGTCTACAAGCTATCCCAGAAAATCAACAATATTATACATTATTTTCACCACTTTTTTGATTAATGAATAGATCGTTTAGTTGTCACAGTGGGAGAATATCACAGTTTACAGAAGAGTAAGAACGAATAGTACACAACACAAGATAATTGATTCTTAAATAAAGTGCATCTCAAACTAAATATAAAAGCTATAATGGAGGGTCCACTTCTTGCTTGGGTTACAAATAAGTCATACTAACTTCGAGGCCGTATCTGCGGAGAGGCGAGGTGGCGCATTGTAAGAACTCAGGTTTGAATGCAGAAAAACATGTATGATTGACTATTGTATGTTTTATATCATACTGAGATACATCCCAAGCCTTGACATAATCCCATTTTAACTTGTTTTTGTAAACCGCTAATTTATAACAGCAGTCATCCCAAAGGACTTTAGAAATTTGTCAATGGGCCAAGAACAAATCAGAGAATCAAACAGCAAATAACATACCGGACAATGCACCTTTTAATTATAACAGAACATGAGGTCAAACAGACAAGCAAAAATTCTCTATAATTAGTACAGCATCTGCAGTTTCCCTCAATATTATCTCATATCGTGGACCCTATCCTGTCTTGTTAGGGCTGCTAATTCTTCTAAGATACACTTAATGCACTATAAATAGCTACAGATCTCCTACAGTTCTCCTCTCCCTCTTGACAATTAGCAATAGGTGTGTATGAAATGTCAATAGTAATGATGACCTATCCTTATCTAATTAAATATGAATGCGACTTCAGACCAGGGCCAGGCTGCGTGCTCTTAAACGTCCATTTGAAGTATAACCTTTACACCGACATCACTCATTTAATACGGGCACTTTTATTTGCTTGTGAATGGATCAGTCTTTATCCCGTGTTTGTCTGGTGAAGTGGTCGCTCGAGGTAGATCCCACGGCTTTGTGTGTGCAACTCTGCGCAACTCATCTGTGAAAATGTCCCTAATCTATTATTTATTTTACCTCTGAAAACAAATGTGGGCAGCTTTTTTTACCACTCCAGACCGACTTTAGACAGTAAACACTAAAATCTGAAACTTGGAACCAACTGGGAAAGCAACAAAAGGTCCGTATTTCTGAGTATTTGGATCTATGGATTTTTGATTTATTGATACAGAAATATATTGGGAAGAACGATAGGATTCTCATTACACAGCCTGAGAATCTGTGTCAACCATTTTGTCTTTGTCATTAAAACACACACGCTGGAAAACGCAAGCGTCGCAGCGGGTGGCGGATCCCAGCAAAAAGGTCCTGGGTTCGATTCCACCTCCAGGCCGTTCTGTGTGGGGCCACAAATCTCCGGAAAAAAGAGATTCTGAAATTTCTCTTAGACTTCCCTGGGTCAATAAAGGTCAATAAACAGAGAAAATAAGCGACGCATATCCATAAAACTCACTTATTCGGCCCAAATTGTATTACATTACAAAGAAAGTGGCAAAGAAAATGTACGGACAATGACATTTAGCCCCATACTAATTGTATTATTATTATTATTATTATTATTTGGTTGTTCTATACCAGACAAAGCTAAGATGGTGATGTTATTACACTATAAATTATTTTCCAAGAAGACAAGATCAACCTTCCTAAACGCAGCAACAAACAGATCCTCCATCAGGAAAGAGGACTTTAGTGCACATTTAAGCCATCCTTATCTAAAACTTTGAGAAAAAGTTTAAATTCTATGATGTTGAGATCATTCAGTAAATATCCTTCTGTATAGTCTCGTATGACAAATGCCAAAACAATAAATTGGATTTACCAACATCATAGAACCTCTGACCAATGATTTATTCTTTCCTGATTAATTAAAGTATACATGAAAACTAATAAATGATGCGCCATCTGCATGTGAAAGCCCGATCCCGTCAGACCTCTAAAGCCAAGCAGCGCAGGGTCTGGTTAGTATTGTGAGGGGAGACCTCTTGGAACACCAGGTGCCACAGTGGGGCGGCTGTAAAGTAGCACACCGCTGTTGTGTCCTTAGGCAAGATATTACACCTACATTGTCTAGAATGAGTCTGGTGTGTGTGCGTGAATGGTTGGTGGTGGCAGTTTGCCCCAGGGCAGCTGTGGCCACTGTAGTGTTTATCACCACCGTGCATGGAGTGAAAGAATAACGGCATGTGAAGCGTCTACATTACGGCTAGTTAAACCAATACATTATTCTTATTAAGATTATTATTATTACGAGAATTAGCAACTGTGCATTTCTCCAGCTAGCATATGAAGGTTAAGCCATTCGTTTTGTCTTGACTTCTGCTCTCCTGTTTGCTCCATGTCATTCGGAGCGCAGAGAGCCTTTCCAAACTCACACTAAACCCTGACATGATGCCTGTGAACAGCAGTGTAGCTAAACTCCCAACTCAAACCGTCTTCTGCGATGGGAATTCCACGTAAATCCCCCTTGCATTAAGTGTTTAAGGAGAGTGAAGCGCGCTGGGGTCGTGCCGGAGAAACATGACTCACAGCTAAAATGGTTGTGTAATGTTCAACTTGTGCAGAACTGGGACAGGACCATTCAAGGCGGTAAAGGACATCCTACATGCTTCATTTCATACATCCAGATACGTGCCTTCACTTAAATCTGCCTTTGTCCTCACACTTGCCATGGAAAAGTAGGGGAAAAAATCGGATGGATGACAATATTTTGACTAATCATAGCTAGATATAACACCAACGTAAAAAGCTGTAGAATCAAACCCTGCTTTTATACATGTTTTGTACACAAGGCCCTGGGGAGATTGGCTTTTCTATGCAGATGACATAATATTACTCTGAGATCCAGGACAGAAATCTGTAGAATTGGCCAGTTTTG